TATACCACCATACTTATACCATAGCTATAAGTATGGAATATCATCAAAATTAATATATTATCCCGAGTGGCTATATTTACTTATTACAGTGCAGTCGTAATATTGAAATTATTATTTTAACAATATATTTTCCCGTACACAATGTAATGCATCCTAGTTACTTAATCTAGTTAATAGAACAAGTTACTTCATCATTGATGCCTGAATATTTCGATTCATTTTATGTAATAATACTTTTTCTGTTCTGTGGATATGATTTATTTTTCTTGTGAAATGGGAAAATACTTAACTTTTTTATTTTAATAACATTAAAGCTCGTCACTAATTTAAAAAAAAAACAGTTGGCAAACGGAAGAATTGATTTTTTTTTGCTTATTTTTATATGTATACTTATAAAATGTCCCTCACGCCATTAAAACGCTTACAAATAAGGCTAATTTAAAGAACATTCACTAGGTTTTTTTTTTTCAAAACTCTCAATAGCTCAGAAAATTAATACTAAGAAAACAATACGACTTAAATAAGATTTGAAAGCCATCTGTATACTACTAGCCAATGAACAAAACCGCATCACTCGGAAGGCATTCGATGATCCGGTAACATTCTCTAAAGCTGCCCAAGGTGAATCATTTAAAGGCAAGATTAATAAATTAAGCGTAGGAGAGGCTCGTTTTCGTAGATAAACACGATACGAAGTGTTACTGCCTCCTCTTTTGGCTGTTTCTTGGTCTTGTGATCAGTATATATTAATACAATGGAGTTTCAGTTGGCTTATTGGTGGAAGTCAAACTTTACGTTAAAAATCTTTGACATTTACGGCAAAGATGAAACTAGCTAGCTCTTTGTAGCTATTGTGAGTGCGTTTCCCGCACAATAAAAAGAAAAAAAATCATGGAGGCGTTGAATCTGTAATGTTTAACTAACTACCAGTTTTAGAAAGGTCTAAAACGTACCTAATTGTTTTTTCTTCAGACAGGCAAATGATATTCTATTTTTAAATTGCTTAACTAGGTGGTCAACCTATGTGGTTTCTGGGACCTATAGATATCGACGTAAATACCGCCACCCACCTTGAGACACGAGTTCCAAGTATCAGTATTATAATGCAACATCTGCCCCACACTTTAAACTGGTATGCATTACTGCTTCACGGCGGATATAAGCGGGGGAAATGAAATGAGCGACAGATATACAAAAAACCTTGTATGAAATACGTCTTTCTTTTGAAGCATTGGTACCTGCCTCTGGGATTTGAATACCTTTTTTCTCCTAGCTGGTAACCTCGAGGGGCTATGCCAGCTTCACCGAGCTAGTAGATGAGCTCACGGGGCTCTAACCTGGCGAATTTGCTAACACTAGCCCTAGCTCAAGAGCAGTGCTTCGCAGAATCTACCACCAGGTAGGAAACGCGCGCCACTGAGAAGATCCTTTTTTTTTTAGGATTGAACTACTGGTGGCCCGGATGCCTTTCCAGTTTCACGAGGACAGATGGGCTGAAAAGATCCTACGAGAAACTCATTGAGCTGTGTCCGAGGGTTGAATACCGACAAAGGCGCATCACTTGATTTTATTACATCAGACGTCTTATCCTTTGGGCCACCACGACTCTAGTTGTATAATATACCTGTCGTACTGGTAGTAGGACCTCTTGTGAGTCCGCGCGGGTAGGTACCATCACTCTGCCTATTTCTGCCGAGAAGCGTAATGCGTTTCGGTTTGAAGGGTGGGGCAGCCGTTGTAACTATACTTGAGGCCTTAGAACCTATATCTCAAGGTGGGTGGCGCATTTAAGCTGTAGATGTATATGGGCTCCAGTAACCAGTTAACACCAGGTGAGCTGTGAGCTCGTCCACCCACCTACGCAATAAATAAAAAATACAACGGCTTCCAAAACATCGTTCTAGATATCGGCTTTAATTGTTTGCCCATCGACAGAATAAGAGTGTTTATCAGATCTCGCTATCTCACATACACCAGTATCGTAAAAATAACTATACACTGGATGCCATGAAACAATGTGATCGTCCTTTTTTGTTTCACCACATTGATTTCTTGAGTGTAAACATTTTCAGAGCACAATAAAAAATGATTCCTAATTTTTTAAAATCACAAAGTTTCAATTAAAAATAATATTCGTAGCGCGATAAACTTAAATTTACACAAAATTCAATTTCGAGTCACGTAAATTTTATAATGTGATTCAAACGCATTTGGATCGTGTGGATCTACACAGCACCAAGCCGCAGCCGTACGTTGGTATTAATTACAGTTATGTGATAGGTACCACATGAATCAAAACGAGATTACATATTATCTATATTTATTTATGTGTAATAGTCATGCGGTTTTCTTAATTTAGGTAAATCCGGAATAACAAACAACAACTCTAATCAAAAAAAAATCTTGTTCTGCGTCCAAAGAAATGAAAATATATATAGAGAAGAAAAGAAATGAAGAAAAACGTTTCTATTGAGTAAATTTGTTTCATTGCCTGATTAACTTGAAACTTGTAATATTTCTCAAAACAATAACTCAGACACGACGCTCGCAGTGGGGTAGTAACTTATAGTATAAATAGTATATACGCTTAAATACTGTATAAGCGTAATAATACAGTAGCAATGGGTCGCGCTTCCGATCTGGTGGTAGAATCTGCGAAGCACTGCCCTTGCTTTTTTTTTTTTTTTTCTACCTAAGCTGATAGCCTTAGGGGCTATTTCAGCGTAACCGTGGCTAGTAGGTGAGCTCACGGGGCTCAAACCTGATGACTCCCCTTGCTAGAGCCAGTGTTAGCAACACTCCCGGTTTGAGCCCCGTGAACTCTCCTACACGTTAGGGTGAAGCTGAAATAGCCTCTCAAGGCTATCAGCATAGGTAGAAAAAAAAGGATTTTCTGAATTTTTTACCCATTTAAATTGTCTCATTTATTTTTATAGGCTAGGGTCGCTTACGCCGCATTGGTTACGCATTGCTCAGTGCTCAGTATAATTATATGTGATATTCTACGGCTGATCTAACTTTGCGGTATTTATAGCATACCTATGAAGCCGCTGGCAACAGATATTGTTTTATTATAAATTACTGTTTTCCGCCAGAACGGAATGCAGTAAGCTCTTACTTCTGTCACGACAAGATTGTACGCTGACCACTCTATATACAATAAATGTAATTGTGTCAGATTAATAATATTAATTATTCTACAAAACTATATAAAATTGGATATCACACTTAGGCTAATCAGTAAGGTGCTTAAGAAGGTTGTTTCTTCAGTTATTTTAAAGACGTAGACGGGCGCACTAGAAAAAACTGCCCTTCTGATTGTTGTTACTTAATGGGCTGTTTATAGACAATGCAGCGTGAATCGTCTCTGCCCCTTCCTGATTGTGGGAGGAACTCCATCCTTTTTAAGTCATGTATGTAGTAGTAGGCTAGTACTCGTACTAAACGCAGCTCCACATCGTATGCGTCATATCACCTGACGTTTTGTAGCGACCGGTATTATATTGACAATTACTTTTTTTAATGTGCGTGTTGTGATTATTGATTTTCATTCAGTGCAACACTAGGAGCAGACTTTGGGAACCCGTCAATCGGGTCGGGAAATCGGCAAAGAGTTCGACGTGCAACTGAACCCATGCCTCAACCCGCTGAGTTTTTCTCCGGATCTTCCCAACGGGTCGCGATTCGGATCCGGCAGCAGATTCATTCGCGAAGCAGCTGCTCTTAAGTTGTTAAGTCTCCTTTGGAGGCGTTCAGGCAGCTGTTAGCGAATCCCACCCCTCCTGGCTGAGCGTTTGCTCGCCCTCCTGTCCTGGTGAAACTGGAAAGGCCTCCGGATCACCAGTAATCCTTCCTTCATAAAGTTTTGATTCAGTGTGCTTTTTAAAATTGACCTGACCAATATGAGAAATAAAAACCACACCATTGTTTATCTTCCTTGCACTGCTTCACGTCAGATGACTGTTTTGAACATTATTTACCAAACGGTAAGCTGCAAGTGGCTAAAGGTCTAGTACAACCTGCCACTTCACATGGTAGTTTACTTCGCTGCACATCAGTAAAGACTGTGGTACCGAACCGTACAGGCTTACAACACAGCTATCACAACAAATAAACTACAAAAAAACTACAGATATTTATTTTATTTTTATTTTATTTTTTTAGGTCGGTTACCCGAATTTTCTACGTAATGACCACCGCAAATTGTAGGAATTAGTTTAATCAACAGACCAAATCATTCCCTTGCGCTCGAATTAAGAATCTCCGAGAGTTCTTCCTTCTTTGAAGTCTGTTAAAGTACCAGTCTACTCCTGAGAGCATCCGTTTTTATCCTCATCGTGGAATTAACATACAATAGAGCAGCACAATACATTTTCATGCCTTGACCGTGACAACAACAATAATATAATAGATTACGTAGGTTATCCATTAAGATAATCTAGGACGCTAAGAATAGATACATATTTTCACTGTAAACAACGTTACACAGGCGCAGAATATTTCTAATTTAATTCTAACTTAGTGATCCCTCTGATAGTGATTCTAACTCTAATTCTCAAAAAGTAGTTTTAATTTTAACAATAAATAATTCATTTATTTTCAAAATTATCGTAACTTATTGAGCATAAAACTGTTCAAATTCAAAAAATAGTAGAAGCAAGATAGTGTCGTCGCAACTGTTCGCTATGCAAATTTATTCGAACATAATTAGAATTAGATAAGGGTATAGCCAGAATGTATTCAGAATGATTACCACAAAACAACATAATGTTACGACGTAACCTGTAAAACATTGAAAACAACGTGATTCTCTGGTCAATTATTCAAAATTGTCTCCAACCCAGCTCGATTCGCTAGTGACGTCACCATAGTTTGGTTACAAAACGTAAGAAGTATCAAGAGTAGCATAAAAGCCATATAGTAAAGGAAAGAAAACTTAATATCCGAAGTGTAGTATGACATCATCTAGGGTTACGTCGCGTTCCACCGAGGCCATCGAGATGTAGCCGCCGCTCCACTCCTCGAGCTGCCCGCTGCAGTATTGAAACAGCACTCGGTGTGCACGAACGTTTTTATTAAAATTGTGATTAAAATTTATAATCGTTAACAACAATCATGGCTAATGTCATGGGTAAGTCAACATTTTTAATAGATACTTGTTTCAATATTTAATTTGATTTTGTGATGTCGCAGGTTTTGTAGTTTATTGCGTTTCTACTTTTGATCTTGATTTAAATTCCAGACTTACGGTCCAGTGAACATTCGTACTTTGTTAGCAAGTCTAATTTTGTTTTTGAAAAAAAAAAAAAAAATGCCGGCTGTTTGACATGTACCGGCTTCGAAAAATAACAGCCGCCTATTCCTTGGCGCAAGGCCAAACTCGGGGCGTGGTGTTACCGCACAGAAAATTCGTTAAGAGATCAATAAGATTGACCTGTTTTAGATTGTTAAGTGACTCAATAACATAATACGAAGACCCATTCAGAATACACAGTTGTATTTATTCACATACTTACCATTGTATTTATGACAGCATGACATCATTGTCAACTAGACGAAGGTTGCCTTTTGCCCTACGTTTTGTTTATTGATCAACATTTTTTAGATAATGCTAAGTTTACCTAAATTACTATGAGCGTTTTATTTCTTTATTTATACGAAGTTTAAAAGTAGTTTGGAACTATGTTTAAAACTACTTTAAAACTATATTTAGAAATAAATTAGATACCTCCAGACTTGTAATTTCTTTTTTTACTTAAATTTTCATTAAAACATTAATTTGAATCACAATCATTATTGACGTCACCGAATTTAATAGGTAATTTAATAGGTTTAATAGGTTTCATAGTTAGAGGTTTGTAAATACCTGTAATGCCTCTCAGTCTGTCCGCTCGATGAATTTTAATTGATGTAATTAGTGGTTGCCCTTCGTTTAACCTTGGGAATCTAACAGAAACCGAAAACATTATCAGCACACCTTATTTCTTCTTTCGCCTATATCGTAGCCTATATTGGAAATGACAATAATTTTCACGCACCTTCGTTTGTAATGTTGCTCTGGCCTTGGTTTTTAATGAGATCGATGACCGGCTATATCTACTACTATTTAAACCAAAACAGATAGCTGTTTAACATAAACATACAAGATTGTGTGGATCCAATGGATCTGTCGGCGTAGATATTAAAACAACATTATTCTTACAAAAATTTGTTTTGGAGCGCAACATAACTACCTGCTAATACTACTATTTCCCTTTAGACATACTTAGGCAAATTATTTTCGACGCTAATTTTTCCCCAATTTTGGGCCTTGAGAATAATTTGTAGCTTCGATACAGCACTAGCCCAGACGGTATTGGTATTTAGCACTGATGTCTCATTAGGTGTATTTCAGTTGCGAATCAGTTCCGCTTTGAAGTGTAGGTAAGATAGACATTAATCTATTGCAATTAAGACTAATTTCATTAATCAAAAGAGGCAACGGCATTAACCATGTCGTGCCTTCGAATTCCGGTAACTCAGATAGGGCTGTGAACTGATCTGCATTTCTACGCCATCTAAAGTACTATTATTAAAACAAAATTTAAAACTCCAGCGACACGAGACAAAACGTGAAAATATGCAAAAAATGTTGTAGTCTGTTGTTTTGATTACAAATTAAATCACCGAAATGGGTATTTGTTTTCGTGACTATGACAAAGCTACAGAAAATACGTGAGAGAATTAAGAAACACTACAAAATATCTCATGAAATGATGCATAAAATACAATTATTTACAATTAAATGAAACTGAATAGACACGTCGCCGTGCCTTACTGTAGTTGTAATACGTGTTACTCACTATTAATGTAATAGTGAGTAACACGTATTTTTATATTTCAAACTGATTAAATTCTGTTACGGCATCGACGAGTTTATCAACTTTGAATAACCTTTTGATTAATTGACTCGTTAAATTTTTATTTCAACCGAGTCTCATAAACAAGGAGAACTGCGTTATTGTCGCCGAACTACACGAGAAGTCCGCAGCAAATTTTATTGGATGACGTCATTCGACCTCTTTAATGCTTTTATAGATACGCTCCTACCAATTTACCTTCAATATATACCTATATAAGAGCGTGTCGAATTCGTTCTTTAACTTCTATGAAACTTATAAGCGTTAATAAAAATTTTCAATCGTCTAACATGTTTGTGAAAGCCGAACTATTGAGCTGCTCGCACACCAAGTCTCCGCTATATTTAGATTCACTAGACTCTATAGCATATTAAATCAATGGTAGGCACATTGTGATTGGTATGCGCAGTTTGTATGTAAGCGTTTAAAACGATCCAAAAAGGACTTCGGGAAATTCCTGAACGAAATATTAAGTTTTTAACCGTTAACCGAATGATTCTGAATACATTAAAATAGTAATTATTACAAGAGTTTGCATCCATTTTCCGCAGATGTGGCAACAGATGACAACCTTCAATACCAATTCTTCCCCGTTTCAAGTGGATCAGTTCAGTTCAAAGTCAGAGCAGCGAATGATGCCCACATCGCGCTCACGACAGGCCCGCAAGAATCGGATCCTATGTATGAGGTGTGAATTTGCACTGATATATCTATTATAGTTTACGCTGTGGTCGAGGGGGTAACAGACCCGGTTATGTCGGATTCTGGCACCTCCAGACAAGAAGAGGGAGAAGAGGAAAATCGAGGTCCTCCTATTCGTCCAATTCCTCTTAGGAGACTACGCCTAGAGAAAGAAGCGCGAGGGGCCGCGCAAGACCCTCCCCGCTAGCGACTAAACCTCATCAAGCTCTACCACTCCGGCTCGCCGAATCCAAAATGTCGACGAAAAACACCTTAGACGTCCGTCACCACAAGACCCGTAAAGTATTCGAAATGTCCGAAACAATATAATGATAGTAAAAAAAAGGCAAGAATAAACCGTAAAAGTAGTTTTAATTATATTTAAGTAATAGGGAAATCCTGGATGACTCATGCTGGAGCAATAGTTTTACATATCAGTCGATTTCAGGTGATGATTGGAGGCTGGGGAAACGCTAAGAGCGTCATCAGGAAAAATAGAACCAAGCCCGATAAGGTTGAAATTGAAAGCCCCGGAATTCTTAACGGAGGGGAATATCGTGGTTTTTGGGTTCGTTGGGACAGCGGCATTATCTCCGCTGGACGCGAGGGTGAAGCTATTCCATTCATATCTTGGTCTGATCCCGAACCTTTCCCAGTTTACTACGTCGGAGTCTGCACAGGCTGGGGTGCCACAGGCTCCTGGAAAATCGAAGGTACGTATATCGATTATTATGCATCTAACACAAAATGTACCCAACAACTCTGACTTCATCTCAAAATTGTCGATGCAGATGGAGCGGAATTCGATACTCCGGACAGGTTAGAGTATAAGTTTGGACCTGTTGCCTCTGGTTCTTTGGAATTCGATTACCGCGGACCGCACAACTGCCACGTTTCCCTCACAACTCATCCCGCAGAAGTAGATCCAATGTATGAAATAATCATCGGCGGTTGGGAGAACACACAATCTGTTATTCGTTATTGCAGGCAGAAACCCGACAAGGTATCGTAACCAGTCGTGTCCGACGTCGTGCAGTTATTAGTTAATTTACACGAAACACATTGTTACAAAGTTATTGACTCTTCGTAGGTGACGATCCCGACGCCCGGAATCATGAACCCTAACGAATTTAAGAAGTTCTTGATTGAATGGAGATGCGGCAGATTGTTGGTGCGTGACAGGACGTCGGGGACGGTCCTCATGGAGTGGGTCGACCCTGCACCCTTTCCCGTAACGCACTTCGGTGTGCGCACTGGATATGGCGCCCGCGGTCAATGGCGCATTACGCATTTCGGCAGAACGGGCGCACAGCCACGTTGAGTGTCCATAATTATTGAAAATCCTTTGCTTTTTGGGTGTAAATTGCTAAGTTTTTATTTAACGCTGTATTCTGATTGGAATGTTTAATGTAACATACCTATACCTTTTAATTGAATTGAAATTCAATGATTCACGTGACTAACAAAATAAATTGGATGTCGTAGTCACTTCGGCTTGTGTTTAATTCAGGTTTGAAATATTTTCTCGGCCACACATGAAACGAATGAAATTCTGGTATGTTGGGTACATTTTGTTACTAAGCTTTTATTTTAATTATGCTTCAAAATTTTTAACAGGAACCTTACTTTTTAGGCAATGACTTATCAATTTATGCCGGGTGATTTATTATTCTTACTAATGTTCGGGAAATCACATTACGCACACCATCAAATTTCTAAAAAAAGGCTTAACTTTTGGGTTAGCTACAAAGATCTGCATATTTTTCTTATTATTTTTCTTTTGATATCGATGCGATTTGAATGTTGATATAATTTTTTATTTTAATTATATATGCATGTTTCACTAAACTCCATATTTTTATAATGGATTTTTGGGTCCCATTTAACAGTAGATTACTGTAGATCTGTACAGTAAGAATCTTAATAGATACTAAGTTAGATAATACTGTTATCAAATAACGTAGTGTTTAAACAGAATAAGAACAAAACAAAACAAAAAAAAACGCACGTTGCGTCCAACTTTCGTTTTAAAAATACATCAAATATATAAATATATATTCATAATATAGGATTTAGAATCCTATAAAACATAGGAAGTCGGCAATCACACTAGCGGTACGTACATACATGGGATTAATAGGGCGATGATTTTACAATTTGAATTTGATTTGACAATTGATTTGTCAATTACATATCATACGCTGTATATACATTCGGGGCGTGACGATTACTAAAACATAACTTGAATTTGAAAATGATCTTTTGCTTTTGCACCCGTATACCTAGCATGTACTTCGTAGCATGAAATGTATTTGTGTATGCTTATATTATGTATTAATATTTATCGAAAAGTAATTTTAAAATACACAATATAAACTCGTAATTCGACCGTAACAGCTGATACAAATAATATTACCTATGTAAAAAAAAATAGTCTTCGAACTCAATAATAATAATAAATTACTTACTCATTTTAAATATTTCAGTGCCACCGACTGCACCTGTAGCAGCTGCATTGTACGCAGCCCCCCCTGGCTACCCTGGAGGCTACGGAGGAAACGTACCCCCTCCGTCTGGAGGAGCCGGTATATGGGTTGATGTTTCAGGAGGTCAAGTACCTCCTGGCGCCGTTGTGGGAGGACAGGACTGCTCAGGAGAACCTCTGTATGTGGCTCGTGCTGTTCACGAAGGTGCCACGATCCCTGGTAAACTCGTTCCTTCTCATGGTTGCGCTTACGTTCCATGGGGTGGTATTGAACATGGAAAGCCTCAATACCAGGTCAGTTTACGTCTAAATCAACTACCTTTTAAAAACTAAGTATTATTATTTATATTAGAAAACCAATGTGTACCAGTGGGTCGCGTTTCCAGTGCGGTATTAGATTCTGCGAAGCACTGGTCTTGCTAGGGCTTGCTGTTAGCAACGTCTTCAAGCTTAGAGCTCCGTGAGCTCACCTCCTTGTTTGTTGAATCTAGTATGACCCCTAGATGTCACTTTAGCATGGTCTGGTTACAATTATTATTATAGTTCATAAACTGCCTGCTTCAATTGATTTTTGCATCATGCGAGGTTCGGATGCGGGTTGTTTATCGACCGGGAATTTTGGTCTGTTGAACTCAAACATGCGCCGCTAGAAATTTAGATAGTACAACCCCTCTCAGCTATATTAATAATCGATGCACAATAATTAATAACGTTTTTCTCATTTATAATAGATCTTAGTAGGCGGCCCAAACAACTGGGTTCCTACCAGTGGATCCAACGTCCCGCCAGGTGCATTCCCCGGTGGAGAAACTGAAGATGGAGAACCTTTATACATTGGCCGTGTCCGCCACGAAGGTAGCCTCACCACCGGCAAGGTTCAACAGTCTCACGGCGTCTGCTACATTTCGTTTGGTGGACAGGAGCTTGGATTCCCGGACTACGAAGTCCTCATGCCCTAATTATTATCACTCAGCAGAGTCAGGGACGGCTTATATTAGATTGCACCAAAAGTACACAAAGTAATTGTTTATTTCGAATGATGTATTCATGATAATACATGTTTCATACCGGCTCTTTTGATTTGCAGCAAAAAAAAGCAGATGGTGGATTATTTTCATGACTATTCTTCAATTTAACTTTGAAGTTTTTTCACAACGCACTATATTAGATAAATAAATGCCAGACTAAGTCCGTCCCTGCGCAATATGAATCTCCTAATAACACGCAATGTAGAATTTGCTTAATAAAATAGATATGGTGCATCATGCATCGTTATCGCGGAAAAAAATTATAAATTTAATAATGCCTGTGTATTAATCACGCGCATTGCATGCATATTGCGTTTCTGTTGTAATACGTATACTTAATAAGTTTTTATAAGTTACAACTTTGTTAAATTATTAAAATATACACTATATACGCCAACAAGGCTTGTTTGTTTCCGTAAATCAGCGTCGTATCAATTCCCAATTCATTGAAATTGTTTTGATATAATTTTTAGTAAGAATAATGATTATTATAAAGAGAGCGAAACGATAGATTGGCAGCTATATATCCAATTCGAAAGGTGCCGTTAAATCATGTAATTTATATCATATAATATCTTTCAGTGCAAAATGATTTTCGTATTTCCGATACAAACGTTATGTATACATTGTTTAAGTAGGTACATAATACTATAGTTGTGGCTACATGTAAAATTACTGAGTGCTTTATATACAGTAATCTGTATACAGTAATCTAACTCTGAGTAAAAAACTACGCGCCATTATTAAAAATCCAATACGAGTTTTATTTTCTTCCCGAGCTACAACCCATTTCTATAATCAGTCATGATAACGAACATTAGCAAAAAACTGAGAAAAGGGTTCTCAGGCGCAACCTCTCCTTCCCCCAAAATACCGGCTCACTGAATTTGGTCCCACTTTTTTTGATTTTCGGTTTTTTTTTATTATTTATTCGTCGTTTGTTCGTCTTTTATTTATTTACTAGAGGTCCCGCAGTAGTCGAAATTCGACTATAATTAATTGGAATTGTAAGTTTGTACACTATTTGTATTTTCGCCAAGACTATACTATAGAAAAATATTAATAAAGACAAATAATATTTAATTTATTCTCAATTTGACCACAGACGTCAAGAACAAGTTTGACAATAAATAAATAGTATAGGTACATGCGTGTGTAGGTCAAATACATGGTAGTGTGCGTAATGTTTTCTTTATTGATTTAATGTATCTTTTATGGATTATTTTAAAAAAATATTAGCATTCTGCACTTCTTCTCTATATTTTCTATAAGTGTGGAAAATTTCATGCTCCTCCGTCCGCACAATTTTCGTAAAAAAGGATACAACGTTTTTGCTTCACGTATTAATATATTTATTTATAACTAGCTGACCCGGCAGACTTCGTAGTGCCTCAATCGATAAATAAAAGAATTAAACTTTTGTATAAAATAAACTTAAAACAAACAAAAGGAATCCATCCGACGGGGGACACATTAGAGGAAAAACAAAATTGTTATTTTTATTTAATTCCGAAGATTTTCATATTTATCTAACCTTTTAAACCTTCGCTGGACTTCCACAAATAATTCAAGACCGAAATTAGCCAAATCGGTCCAGCCGTTCTCGAGTTTTAGCGAGACTAACGATCAGCAATTCATTTTTATATATTACTAGCTGACCCGGCAAACATTGTTTGCCTTATATAAGATTTCTAGGGAATTTCTAGTGTAGAAAAAAAAACTAACTTATTGTAAGTGTGTAAGGATGTGGTAAATGAGTGAAAGAGGTATGTAGTGCTGTGAACGATGAGGGAATATATAATAAAAATAACAAAACCTCATTCAACCACATAATACCTCATTATAACAAAAAAAAATGTCCAAATAAAAAAAATATGTTAGGGGTGGANTATGTCAATCTTTTCAACAGTGTATAATCTATGTTCCGGGCGCTTCCGTTTTGAGTGTGAATAGCGTGCGCCCGCGTCTAAATGTAATTATTGTTTAAAATTGAAAATTGTTTGTGATAAAGGAAGATTAAAATTCGAAATTCGATATTGGTGACTAACCCATAGTTTTAAATACCCCTGAGATCTACCCCTCACTATACATGGCGTTTAGAGCAAGCCGTACTCTCTAAAACTGACCATAAATCATAATCCAGCGTATTAAGATCGGGACTGCACGACGGCCAGTCTTCAGCTCTGATGATGTCCGAAACATTCGTTTCCAACCAAGACTGCGTGGACCGAGCTTTATGACCTGGCGCCGAGTCTTGCTGGAAGGACCATTCTTGATTCTTGAACATGGTGTTGTTAAGGGGCTTCACTACCTTCTGAAGAATGGTATCTTGATACACTTGTGCCGATGTTTTGATACCTTTTTCACAAAAGGATGGCTCAGTCACTCCTTCATAGCTAATACCCCACCAAACCATCACTGAAGTCGGATAGTGCCAACGTTGCACTCTGTCGACTAATTGGGAAGCTTCCTTAGAGCTTTGAGCATAAATACGGTCATTTTGTTTGTTAAAATGTTGCTCAATTGTAAAAAATTTCTCATCCGTAAACAAATTTTTTCTATGACCTCCCTTTGCGTACCGTTTCAGTAGTTGTTTCGATTTTACCACCTTAGTCTCTTTTAAATTATCAGTTAAGAAATGACCAGTAAAAATCCCCCAAATATCGACGGACCCAAAAGGAAAGTTTAATCTATGAACTCTTTAAATAGATCTATTCCTTGTATTATAATGCACTTTGAATGAGACAAGGTATTACTTATAGCGGCTGATTGTGAACACAAACAGTGATACAGGGTGAGGCAAAACGAGTAGTATAATATAATCTAATCACCACATTGTAAATTCTTCATCACGCTACATTTTTAAGCCTTCGGGTTTCAATGGAAAGAGAACCACGGAACCGTTCTCAACTCTTAATATCATTTTTCTCAGGAATAACTAGAGATATGAAGTTGAAGTAAATTCCAAATTCTAGAATCTAGGGTGTGTGCAATGTTCGGACTTTTGTGGTTTGCCGTACCCTTATGATACAAGGACTCTATTTGAACACCATATGTTCCAGGTTACGAAACCTCGTATACAAACCTTAACTTAGGTACAACCTAGTACTGCCTACTACCCTATCTAGAATGTTATCGTTCCTTGCCTAATAAAATCTTCTTCCATGACCAATTTCGTTTAGTGCCTCTTTACTTCATAAAACAGTTACATAAAGTTTAAGCATTTAGCTATTAAAAAAAACTTGGCTGTATGGGCAATGTTTTCTTTGTGTGTTCAATGGATGAATCAGATAAAAAAGTCTTTTACGATTCACGAATTTTGTTTTGATGAAATTTTAAAATCTCTTGACGCGAAGTAATTTGTAGAACTCATAAAATAAAACAAAAGTTAACTTGGTTAACGTAAGTCAAAGCAAACGTAGTTAGTTCGTTATATATTTGTTACCATTAAAAGTGGAGAAAGTCTTCTGTGTAGTTTTTAGTGTATTGTAATAACTTGATTAAATTATGGGTGATATCATAGGTGTGTATTTCAAAATAATTACTAGATGTCAAACTATCTTGGTATTTAGTTAGGTAATTTAATTATATAGTAATAGTTTATTCATTTTTAAATAGAAATTCAAGACATATTTTAGTTATATATCATTAAAATATGGATTCCCTTGGTATTGGGACATCTAATTAAAGCACTGCAATAAGCAATTTAGAATTATTATTATTCTAAATAATAATTCTGAGAAATGTGATAAACTGATTGTGCAAGGCCAGAACTATATACTTAGTGGATGCAATAATACTTCCCGACTAAGATATCTCTATATTTGATAAGTAGTTAGTTTAAAGTTTGATGTCCTAATTACTCAACTGTAACGCTTGAAACAGTTTTGTGATACTCTTACAAACCACTTGAACACAAAATATCAACAATTTAATAATTTACAGAAATCACAACTTGGCCAAAACACAGGCATATCTTTTATAAAGTAAACAGTAGCTCAATAAATTTTGAAGTAAAAGCAGATAATGCTGCAGTGGGACTTGCTAAAGAAGCTGGAATGAAATGTGACTATTGGGTATGTAAAAATGACTTAATACAAACTTCATGTTGCTATTTGGTAAAAGCTATATATTATATTATTGAAATGCTACTCTTGTATAGCTTATTAAAATAAACTTATTATTAACAATTTTAATAATTAATTACCACCATTATCAGAAACTATACCTTAATAATGGTGTTCTGTTTCTCATTGGTTTTTTTCTATAACTCAGTAAACTTCTAGATGCTAAAAGTGTAATACACAAAAAATTGTAAAATTTATACTAGTTCTAGAACTGAATGCTATGTGGGTAACATTATTTCTTTAAACATACGACATAAACTACATTTCACATAAAATCTATAGCTATTCCTAGTAGTAAGATTGAACTCTACTGCATTGGCAGGTGGTGCATTTCAAATAATACTTAGAGAGCTACTTTACACTTATCATACAAAACACTGAGAAAACTATTTTTTACCATAAACACCGTATATGAATGCCACAATGAAAGTTATTTTATATACTTATTATAGTTTTTTTTTTAAATAATTCCTTTTGCAATCTAACCATATGCAATAAAAGCAGTGAAATCATCGTGCCCTAAAGGATAAGACGTCCGGTGCAGTCATATGATCGAATTCTGCCGGCAGGTACCAACCAACTTTTCCAATAAATACGTACTTAACAAATGTTCACGATTTACTTCCACAGTGAAGGAATAACATAGTGTAATAAAAATCAAACCCTCAAATTATAATTTGCGTAATTACTGGTCTATTGAGTCCACACTGGTAGGTGCCACCGTCCTGCCTATTTCTGCCGTGAAGCAGCAATACGTTTCGGTTTGAAGGGCGGGGCAGCCGTTTTACTGTTTAAAGTCAGACCTTACAAATATGTGTCAAGATGGGCGGCGGCACTTACGTTGTAGATAACACCTACGGGCTCCGGTAGCCACTTAACACCAGGTGGGCTGTGAGTTCGTTCACTCATGTAAGTAATAAAAAAATGAAAAAAACCACTCACAAAGCTACTTTGCTTGCAAAGCACTTGTAAGAGTCTTAACATGTCTTCATCACAACACAACATTGACATTGCAACCTGTCTCATGTTAAAATGGCAACATCAAATTTGAAATATTTATTGAAATAAAATCTAAAACTCTTTATTATAACAATACAACAAAAGTATGCATGGCTGAAAATATAAGGAAATCGTGAACGTGGTAATTTCTAAGGACAGCAGTTGAAATGTTTCTTTTTTTTTAATTTTGAATATTGCAGGTTGTCCTTGGAGACAGATCATTCATTCATGCACCGAATAGCGGTATTCAATTTGCACATACGCCTAACATAATCAGCAATAGTGAATATCGTAAATTTTGGATATCATGGTCTAAAAACGGTGTATGTTTGGGCCAAAATGGGGAATTAGAACCCATTATGAAACTGGAGTGCAAAGAACAAAATTTTAATTATTTCACATTTTCTATGCACAGAAGTATAGCACCTGCACACTGGAGGTTTGAATGTAAGTATCTAACCTAGAATTTAATATTATCAAATTTAATTATATATAAATGTATTTATAACAATATTATATATCTTTTTCTCTTCCCAGCTATGTATCCCACTTGGTGGTGGTGTCAGCTTTCCTTACCTTACTCCTTCCTCCACTTCGCTCGGTCTTCGACATCCTCATCAGCAACATTGCATTCCCTTTTGTCCTTCAGCACAACATCCTTCCACCTTGTCTTGGGTCTACCTCTAAGTCTCCGACTGGGGATTGTATCTGTACTAATATATAAATCTACACTGGTTTTTACGGATGTTCCGTTATAACTACTGAACCATGCATCCAATTGACTTGAAACTTGGTATCCATGTAGAAAACACATGTACTTAATGGATAGACTAATATTTATATGAGTGTTGGACTCTCTACACCAGTTGCGGGGGCGTTAATGATGAGAATCTTTGTGGGGGTGAGAAATGATAATGTTAATTTTAAATGCCCAGCGAAGGGGACGGGTACATCTATTTATATATTATTTTAAAAATATATTTTTTTTTTGATAGTGTGATCACTGCCAATTTAACACTCACTTCACTTAATTTTCAGTACCACCGCCCCAAATAAAACGTCCCCTAAAGACAGTAGAAGGTGGGAAACTTCAATGGATTAAATATGAAGACAGTATGCCTAAGAATGCAGTTTGTGGGGGACATGAACACGAAATGTTGTTTGTAGCGAGGGGCGGTGTGCGAGGATCACTAACACCTGGAAAGTATGTGTCATCCAAAGCAGCAGTCTTCGTTCCATGGGGAGGTACTACTTACAAATTGACAAATGTTGAGGTAAATTGATATTGTATACAAATATTAAAAGATATTTTGCCCCACCCATCGATTGACTTCCGCGGTGAAGGAATAAGATCGTGTAATAAAAACCAAACCTGCAAAATTATAATTTGCGTAATTACTGGTGGTAGGACGTCGTGAGTCCGCACGGATAGGTACCCCCCCCCCCTATTTCAACCGTGAACCAGTAATGCGTTTCGGTCTGAAGAGTGGGGCAGCCGTTGTAACTATACTGAGACCTTAGAACTCATATCTCAAGGTTGGTGGCGCCATTAACATTATAGATGTCTATGGGCTCCGGTAACCACTTAAAACACCAGGTGGGCTGTGCGCTCGTACACCCGTCAATGCAATAAATAAAAAATAAAAAAAACCTGATAGCCAATACAGTAAAGTTTATTTTTTTAAGCACAATTTATATTTCTCGTAGAGGTATATTGTCATAACACTCTAATAGAAAACTTAAATTGAGTATTATTTTTTAGATATTGTGTGGCTATGACTGTGTTTGGAAGCCATCATGGGCTGATAACATTCCCGTCGGCGCTGTTGAGGCTGGTTACTCTGAGGTCGACAGGGAACCTCTGTATGTGGGCCGAGTAAAGCATAATGGGTTCATTATACCTGGAAAAGTTCAACCTTCGCACAAAGTTTGCTATATTCCCTATAAAAATGAAGAAAAGGCCTTCAAATACTATGAGATCCTTATAGAGCCAAATCAATACCCAGGATTTGCATATGATTCATTAATCCCGAGCATCAAAATTGACATTGAACCAAATATAGATGATGATCGAAATTCCAATAACTACGACGAAGAAAACGACGAAGGCCATTACTATTCAGAGGATGACGAAGACTATAACGCATAGCTATAGATCGTAATCATCTTATGTTCGAAACTCGAAAGTGGATTTGTCATATATAAAAAAAAGTTTTTATATTAAATTGTAACATTTAGAATTGTTAGTAATCTAAGTGAAACATTAAGTGACCTTAACATTAATAACATGTCTGATTCGAGAAAGAATTTTCAGTACTAACAAACATGATGCCATAAGTAATCATAATAGATATTATGATTATTTTACGTTAATGTCAATATATAATCCAAAACTATTGAGACGGAAAAATGTGTTATAACTTGAGATTTGTAAGATAAAATAAATATTTTATTTATAAATAAAACGGTATTATTTAAAAAATTACCCGAAATCACAAATTATTTTCCGAGCACTAGGAAAATACAAAGGCCTTCACTAAATAGACCAGGGTAGAAGCCTTTAAAAATAATAAAAAGTGAAAAAAATAATAGTAGGATGAAACCCATTAGAAAAGCAGGGGAATATTATAAAAATTAAAGGAAAAATAATTTACGGGCGATCTGAGGTCGGGAAGGGGAAGGGGTTGGGGGGGGGGGGTTAAGGGTAAAAGACGGCTTTTCTCGATTTCCGGCAAAACTAAGTCCTATGGAGAAAAAAAAAGTCAAATGGCAAAGTTGTAGGTAATAAAAATATCTAAAACTTTTGTATTTACACTTTTTTCACATAACCTCAAAATTTATGTAAAAAATTCAAAAAACCAAGTTGTTGGTTTTTTATTTTTATCTTTTTCAAAAAAAAAACCTTTTTTCGCAAAATTTGCTGAAAACTTACCTTTTTATGTCCCAAATACGCTGTAATTTATTTGATTAGAAATATTTATTTTTTCACCTTATTTTGAATTAATATCGAAAAAGCACCCTAATTTTCAATCGAAAATTCACCCGTCAAAATATCAGCTTTTTTTCAAAAAGTTGGTATGTTTTCTGTTCGTTGAAATCTCTACTTTCCGATGGTGAAAAAAAATATACATGTTACTATAGTAAATCTTCTCAGAAAATGCAAAAAATCGAAAAAACTCGAATTCGAATTTTTTTTTTTAATTATTATATACAATTTTTTGTTTTAAAATTTACACTTTAATTACTCGAAAAGCATAAGATTACATGTTTCATTGGTAAAAAAAAATTGCAAATCAAAATATGTATAATGGCAAACGTCTGTGAACGAACGCATCTAAATTTGACTATGTGACCCCCTCCTGGCGCCAAAGCTGGATCCGCCCTTGCCATACACTCCCTAGTGACTGTTCCTGAAAGAAGATCTCAGGCGTGGAAACCCCACTGAGTTTCTCGCCGGATTTGCCGGTGGGTCGCGATTCCGATCCGGTGGTAGACTGCGAAGCATTGCTCTCGCTAGCGCTAGTGCTAGCAAATTCTCTCAGGCCGAGCCCCTGAGCTCACCTGCCCGTCTTGGTACAGCTGGAATAGCCTCTTCGACTTACCAGCGAATAGATAGAGAAAACAAAAGTGGAACAAGTATCCGGATGATTTTAAGAATCAAACTAAAACCAGTATTCAGGAAATGTTGCCATGTGTAACTATAATTTTAACTTGTAGAGTACAATTTACTAATTTATTTCAAGAATACTGCGAGTAAAACAACGTGAAAATATGTGAGGATTTTTTTATTGAAAAATAATGAACTTCTGATCCACAGCAAGCACAGCCTGTTTAATGTACAACTTATTTAAAGACGCCACAGCCATAATGAACTTTATAAACAACAAAAGTAGCTCTAGTCACCGTCAGCTTAGCTACGGCTCTAGACNTACAATTTACTAATTTATTTCAAGAATACTGCGAGTAAAACAACGTGAAAATATGTGAGGATTTTTTTATTGAAAAATAATGAACTTCTGATCCACAGCAAGCACAGCCTGTTTAATGTACAACTTATTTAAAGACGCCACAGCCATAATGAACTTTATAAACAACAAAAGTAGCTCTAGTCACCGTCAGCTTAGCTACGGCTCTAGACATAAATTGTAACAGGTCGCTTCGTCAAAAACTTTTAACTTATTGCTCTTTACTTATTACAATGTTGTTTTCGTCATGGAAGAGACCACGCCTTACATTTTTCTCAACTAATATCTCATATGAACCGACTTCGATTTCCATATTATCAAATGGTACATAGCATGTATTGTAAAGTACATGAACTTTTCCAATAAGTAAAAAATTCTTAACCATAGCTCTACCTATGTAAAGTGGTTCGTAACGGACTTCTGAGTAACCACCGACGACTGCATTTTCTGGTATGTAATTATCACTCGTTTTAACCCACTCATAATTAAACCCACATAATATCTGAAATGAATACAGATGAGAATGATTGAAACTAAAGTATCCTTTATGTGTATTGTGTAAACAAAACTATGGCAACACTACAACAACTACACAGAAGGTATTGATAGTTACAATAAAAAATCATGAAATTGCTTCTGAGAGATTCGCTAGCTATGCTGTGGGTTTTATATTGCCTAATAAACGGCTCTTTAAAGATACAGTCGAACAATGAAAACAAAATCTGTTTATCTGATGAGGATTTTTTTATTGGCTTCTAAGGCAGACACGCCGACAGGACATTAATATATTGCGTCACCATCGCCCACGGAAATCAAAGTTTATGCACAATTCAAAAAAGAAATATCATAATGCTTAGCAATCATTGCGGAGGGGATATTTATCCAGAACAGTAGGATGTGACCAAAATGATCCTTGTGGACGAGTACAGTGAGACTGGGTTATAGGCCTCTGTTTCGGTAGCAAGTGGGGTGAGATAACAAAACAGATTATTCAAACGGGACCATCTCCAATATGTTTTATTCCCCATGCATACTGAATAGACACCGAATATGCATTTTTTTTTTGTCTTGGGGGATGTCGTTGGGTCGACGAGCTCACGGCCCACTTCGAGACATAAGTTGTAAGGTCTCTGTTTTAACAGTACGACTGCCCCATCCTTCAAACCGAAACGCATCACTACTTCACGGCAGAAATAGGCTGGGTGGTGGTACCTTTCCGTGCGGACTCAAGACGTCCTACCACCAGTAATTACGCAAATTATAATTTTACTAGTTTGATTTTTATTACACGATGTTTTTCCTTCGTCGTGGAAGTCAATCGTGAACATTTGTTAAGTACGTATTTCATTAGAAAAATTGGTACTACCCGCCTGTGGGATTCGAACACCGATGCATTGCTCGACTCGAATGCATCCGGCGTCTTATCCTTTAGGCCACGACGAATTCAAGAAATTCAATGAATTCGACTTCAATGCATGAAATTGAAAATTCAAACCACTTCGCAGGTTGGTACTTGGAAGCCTTGGTCCAGAGTAGAGTTTGGAGCAGTAAGTACTGCACACGAGATCGGACTTGTGTATTGTTTTGTTTTACATACGTCTTTGTCCAGGCGTGAAGTACCGCTTCACTGTTTGGCTTCCAAAAATTTTACAAATAAAAAAAGCGATTTACACGACTATCCTAATCAATCCTTTAAAAATTAAACAGTAAATAGTTCTCACCTCAAAATCATATTTTCTATATGCAGTATGTCCCCAAGGCACAAACATTTTGTTTGTTGTTCTAAGGTATTTTCCCGGTGTCAGAGAATTAAAATGTATTGCTCTAGCAATATATAAAGGTTCATTTTCATATCCACCAACTATTGCATCCATAGGTAATGAGCTGTTATTTGTCATTTTTACCCAACGTAGTTCACCACCCTCAATTTCCTTATCACTTTTGCAATGTAAGCTATTTAGGAATATTGGGGGTCCTACAAAAATGTTTGATTACGAATGAACGTTTGACGATGAATTGTATTGCATTAATAGATAGTATTTTTGATTTTATGAGTATGATAGTTGCATGCAAAAATGTGGCTGAGAGACATTTGTAAAGAATCAGTATGTTTCTTACAAATCTTAAAGAAGAAAATCCCATTGCATGCAAAAATGTGGCTGAGAGACATTTGTAAAGAATCAGTATGTTTCTTACAAATCTTAAAGAAGAAAATCCCATTACATAAAATTATTTTATCACATGAGTAGACTATTATGTTAGTAGGTATAGTTCTTGTATTTCATGTAGCTAGTGAAATTTACTTGAGATAAGGTCAGATGTGCACATCGCAATCTGCATTCTCAAATTAAAATTTTCTCTCTTACATAATTTTTCCATGAGTTAAGTAGATTTGGAGGACTTTAATAGCAATTCCTTTTCATATTTCAATAATCAAGTTACAGTGAGTTCACAGACCTCTATTATTTGTATTTTAGTACATAAGCCAAAATACTCAAAACTGATAGATGATCACTATTATTCAATTTCATATTCTTCTTGAAGAAATTGGAAGACTGATCATATTTGATGATCCCTACGAACAATAAAATAAGATTCAATATTGAAAAAAATAAGCTATATATTGACGCTTGAAAGGCAAACGTGACTAAGCGACAATGTGTAACTTTACAGTAGACTAATTTAAAGTTGAAATACCTGAAAAAAAATCTATTTTAACGAATCTAGCTGTAGGATTGAAATGATTTTAATAGACCTAGAAATATTTTATTTTTTGTGCATCGAATATGTCTATCATTTATGTACAAAGCAGTTATTGTCGCTTAGTCACGTTTGCCTTCCAAGCGTCGATATGTTCTATAGTTTGTTCCTAAATGTGTATTTGTTAAAACTGCTTCATGGGTAAAGTTTTATGACAAAACATATTTTATTACAAAATGATACATGCTGTCTATTCTTATCAGGAATACATATATGAATGGATTAATTGAAAATTAATAATCAAACACCAATATTAAAATATTTTATGTCACTACAATAAACTTTGCGCTTTTACATGATAATAATACTTTTGGTAACTAGCATGGGACCTATATACAATCACAAATGATTTTAACATGCCTACTATCTTATTAAGCAAGAACATATTTAACTGCTAGTAAAGCTCACTCAACTTTATGAATTACAAGAACTATACCTACTACTACAATTTCAATATTTATCATATAATATTATAAGCATATTAAACAACAGATTCAATAAATTAACTTTAATTAAATAAAATAATCAAGTGATACTTACTTTCAATCACCCATCTAACCTCAGCTTCATCTATTATTGTAGGGATATGAAAACTTACAAAACCAATTTTTTTTGCATTTTGAAGTTTTATACATCGCATGGGTTCAATGTTAGGACACAGACCATATTGAAATTTTCCACTGTGCCATGATATCCAAAAATCTTTGAACTCGATAAAAGAAGTTGGTGGGTCTTTGTTGTAATAATCAACAACATTACCCTCTAATATGTCTACAAGTTTAAATACATCCCCAATATACAGCTGAAATTTTTTTTAAATTAAAACAAGACTATAATGCAATAATAATGGTATAAAAATCTCAAGCTCCAAACTGATTAAAAGTGAACTGAACCATTTTTCTTTTCACATTTAAATATATCTTTTACAAATATTGTATAATAAGCATATAGAAACCATTTAAAAGTATAAATAAAAGCTATAATTTGTTTAGAAAAAAAGGCTCAGATTATCTTTTCCCATGTTTTTTTGCACACACAAAATAGAATACCTGCCTGATATAGTTCCTGATGGGGTGGAAATTTTGAATAAAAGGTTATATGTGGTTCTGCTGATAATGGAAAGCTAACTCTAATTCTTATGGCACTAGAGTTGGCTCTGTAAAGAACCTGGCCTTCAGTGGAATTCAATTCTGTAATAAATGCATTATAATTAGAGAAAAGCCGCTTCATAATCTTAAACAGCAGTAGAAAATTTCATGACTTTATGAATCATCTTGAGTAATATTATCCTTGATGTTATCATAGATTAAATAAACGTGCTCTTTGATACACCTACCTACAATATCTCCCATGATTTCCAGTTAATTAATTGGCATTAGATATTATCCAATTGGTAGATAGCACGTCTTACTTGCGGACTTTATAAACTCAACACTGAGTCACTGACTAGGGTCTTAAAATAAATATACAACATAAACAAGTGTAATAAGTGTACTGTATANGATGTTATCATAGATTAAATAAACGTGCTCTTTGATACACCTACCTACAATATCTCCCATGATTTCCAGTTAATTAATTGGCATTAGATATTATCCAATTGGTAGATAGCACGTCTTACTTGCGGACTTTATAAACTCAACACTGAGTCACTGACTAGGGTCTTAAAATAAATATACAACATAAACAAGTGTAATAAGTATACTGTATATTATATAGGTGTAGGTACTAATAAGTATGTGTACTATTGTGTATTGCACTTATTATTAAATGCTGCGTTTATCAGTGTGACCAGATTTCTTTTGACGAATCTACTGCTTGTGGAGGTGAAAATCTACTGAATTTTATCAAAAGAGAACGAAAAATACTAAAAATCTATATTTTTTTTTGCTGTCGTTTTAAAATCATGAATGTTTCCATGATTAAACAATAATATAATTAAAATAACAAAGAAGCCACCATTAATTAAACCACTGTTCTTTTTTATTAATTAAGTTCTAAATAAAAATATAATTAAAAAATAATAAAATGAAACTTAAAGTTAAAATTCTTCGTCTTTATTTTGGGTAACATTTTCATAAAGTTGTCCATTAACTTGATAACACTTCTGTCAGGATCAAATCTGCGACATCCCCCTTTCAGCTGTCGTAGCCCCTCTTTTTCAGGCATTATTGCAGCAATGTTCTTATTATTAAATCGATTTCGATCTTGATTTTTAATCTTATTAATATCAGAAATTACTTTCTACTTTGATGTTTGACAAAGGTATTATCATCATTTGCTTCACAAATCGGGATAAATTGCCATACCTTGGTTTGCTATTCGCATCATAGATTTGGCTGACTTCACTCCAAAATTTATCCACCACAAAAGTTTCAGATGTCGAACTAGAAGTTGACAATAAATTAGACACGGAAACAACTATATAGTTTTAATTCCCTATATTCTTTGTCAACAATTTGCATGTTTTATGTTGCAACAAGGATATCGTCATGAATGGGACATTGCGATATCCTTGTGTATATTTATGTTTCATTTTAAATTTGATTCTAAAAATTCTCAATGAAGGAATTGCCACTAATCTATTACACTCTATGCTCACGGCCTGAATGGTAACAAAACGAATGAAAATGAAATAGTTACAATCCATTCGATGAAAGGGGGAATACCCCGAATTTATCCGATATGCCAAAAAAGTACTAGAATAACCGAAGAGCATGAATTCTACTAAAATATACCAAATAATTTTTATATACTAAATTCTGTTGCCTGTACCTCAAAACCTACCAAAAAAGTAGAAATCTACTAAATCTGGTCACGCTGGTGTTCAATATTACACTTAAATTATGTCAATCTGACATTGACGATCATTGACAGTAGTAGTGGTAGTAGTAGTTTTATTTTTCCAAATGGAAAGGCAAAGGTGTCACACCATACAGCCCTACATATTATGAAATGAAATGAAGCTGATTAATATGAAACATGGCATGGCATGAAATGAAATGAGATGATAAGATATGGGATGAAATATAATCTCAGTAAAATGGTGGTCGCTTACTGTGACTTTTTCAATGGACTTTTTGGAGGATCCCGAGAAGTTATGTCCAGTGGCTTTGTTGTATTTTCCTACAATTTTGCACTTTCACAGATACTAAACAGTTTTAAGAGTTATTTTGGTAGTGGTCAATAATGGTTCAGGGCGTTATCGGAAGTGAGATAATTAAATTAAATAACACAACTGGTTAATCGGAGCGTTTATTCGCGACTGAACTTAAAAAGTAAAAAGCAACGGAGCTTGCGGACGTAGCCGCGTGTTATGACTACGAACAATTTTGTTTACATAACAAACAGTGTCCCTACACAGTTATTACGCATTTAAACCTGAAGAAACCTAAATAGACAAAATAAAACAAATCACACAACTTCACTCTTCGCGTTTCCGCCAAAAAGTCTCATTGGCCTATAGTTAATACATACACCTATAAAGTAAAAGATAAACAATGGCATCGCAAGAAACCATTGGCCATACCGAAAAATAAGATAAGAAGAGGAACTACTGGTAGCTTCTCCTTTGATAAGTTTGATATGAGCGTTCTGGGATTCCAGCTAATTAGTTTTTATTGTTTATGTCCTTTCTAAGCAAAAATGAGTAATATGACGGATGAGCTAAATTAAACGAAAAAACTGATTTTAAAAATATAAGTAAGATAAATGCGTAGTATCGACTACAGAAGAGCGAAATTATAATAAAATTATAAAATCAAATTATAAAACAGTTCGATGTTACATGTTTACATCCTATACCTATCTATACATCTATGTATACATATAAATAAAATTGGAGTGTCTGCTTGTAATATTGAAATAACCGCTTTTTACTACATGCTTAAGAATATATATACTGTACATACACCAAAATATTTTTTTTACTATTTTTGTCTGTCTGTCAGTCTGTTTGTTTGTTCCGGCTAATCTCTGGAACGGCTGGACCGATTTTGACGAGACTTTCACTGACAGGTAGCTGATGATATAAGGAGTAACTTAGGCTTTTTTAGAGTAGCTTCGCCTCGCGGCGTCGCCCGCGGAACGACAATAACCGCGGGTAACATCGCGGGACTCTGCTATCAACAATAAAATTTAATGTTTCCGAAGCGAAGCGAGGGCGGGTCGCTAGTTTAAAGTAAAATCTATTCATTCTTTTTGTGATAAATGTTAGTCCTTAGTTTAGAGGAGGTATGGAAATAAATTAATTTCAATTTCAAATTCAATTATATAATTTTCGATTGGTTGTACTGATTAATGACTTAGTCTTTAATAGTGTAAAGTCGTCTGGATCGAGTATCGTGTTGCGCCACTTTTTCGAAGAAATAATATTGCTATCCTCAGAAACTTTTCTTGAAAATTTCTTTAGCAAGATTCAGGCATCTGTCAAAAATCTTGGTCTATGATGGCTACCTTGTTGTGATGAAACTTGATGTACATGTTGTTGGCACTCTAGACTCTAGATTCTAGAGCATACCATCGAAGTACGTAACTTGAAAAAGACAAAGACAGTCTTCATTGTCAAAATAGTAAAAAAAAGGCATAACATTAGCAATGAAATGGAAACCAGATGCCGCACCAGCAGTAAAAATGTGTGCCTAGATTTACAGTAAAAGTTTTTTATTCACGGGGTATATGTTCCGTAAATAGGCCACGAATACAGAAACTGTGAATATAAAAGAACGCGCTCACAAAGGATATTCGGTTGAATACCTACATATTGGAAACATACCGACGTACCGATTAGATCCGAGATAATAAACAAAATAAATATTTAGCCGCGAACATAGGAATTAGGTTGCATTTTTTTAGACGCGAACATTGTATTCGCGAATGAATGAAGCGCGACTTTTTTTTTATTTTTTTTTATTGCTTAGATGGGTGGACCAGCTCACAGCCCACCTGGTGTTAAGTGGTTACTGGAACCCATAGACATTCACAACGTAAATGCGCCACCCACCTTGAAAAATAAACAAATATTTAGCGACTTATGCCAATTTGTAATGGGATCCCAATAAATAGAGCACACACTACTTTATTTGCTTACAATGTGATCGTTTCGTTCTTCCTCTTTGATGCAAGGAAGTTTGCATTAGAGCCGGAAAAAAGATGAAGTTAAGAAAAATGTCGATGTCAATTTCATTCTTACAAATGGACGAATCTGCAAAAAGAAATTTTGCTCAAACCAATCATTAACTATAGAAGTAATAAAAGGACTGTTTCTGATTTTTATTTAACGCAATATGGCCGAGACACCTACCACGAATCCATCGGAGTTTGCTCCAAGTGAGCTGCCGGTTTCTGAAGCCGGAGAAGGTATAATAACTTTTTTTGTTGAAGATGTGTTTGTATTAAAATGCATTATTTCAGCGGACAAACAGATTGTTTAAAATGTTGATATTCAATTTTATTTATTTATTCCTTAGATGGGTGGGAGAGCTCACAGCCCTCTTGATGTTAAGTTGTTACGGCTGTCCCATCCTTCGATCCGAAACTCATTACTGCTTCACGGCAGAAACGGGCAGGGCGGTCATACTTACCCGTGTGGGCTCTCTAGCACAAGCCGTTGGACACGTTCGGTAAGTAAAGAGGTTGTCATGTTACAGCAACTCCTGCTCCTGCCGGGTTTCCTCCTTACCCACCGTATGCCACGGAACCAGCGCCACCGTCCGTAGCGGACACCATCATAGCTGGACGTGATCTTCGTGTGCAACACAAATCTTTGCCGCGCAAGTCCGTGAGGCCTCTACCGAAACCGGCCAAACCGAAGTATGATTTTTTTGTATACTTAATAATAATTTAGATAAATATACTAGACTAATAATAATAATAACTGGGAACAATGCACGCACGGTCATCCGGCCCTAATTTAGGATTGCCTTTGTTATGGGTACCGGAAACTGATAAACATATCCATAATTGACTGGTGGCAGGACCTCTTGTGAGTCCGCGCGGGTAGGTACCGCCACCCTGCCTATTTCTGCCGTGAAGCAGTAATGCGTTTCGGTTTGAAGGGTGGGGTAGCCGTTGTAACTATACTGAGACCTTAGAACTTACATCTCAAGGTGGGTGGCGCATTTACGTTGTCGATGTCTATGGGCTCCAGTAACCACTCAACACCAGGTGGGCTATGAGCTCGTCCACCCAACTAAGCAATAAAAAAAATTGTTTAAATGTATACATATATTTTATAGACAATAAACGCCCAAACAAAAAGCAAGCACATCTGTTCATCTCACAATGTTTGCCCGATGTGGGAATCGAATCCTCGACGCAACTGTGAGGGGCGCTAGCTACTGCATCACCGAGCTAGTCAAAGTGACGTCGTCGTGGCCTAAGGGATAAGACGTCCGGTGCATTCATATTGAGCGATGTACCGGTGTTCGAATCCCGCAGGAGGGTACGAAAATTTCTAATGAAATACGTACTTAGCAAATGTTCACGATTGACTTCCACGGTGAAAGAATAACATCGTGTAAAAATAATCAAATCCACAAAATTGTAATTTGCGTATTTACTTGTGATAGGACCTCTCGTGAGTCCGCATGGGCATGTACCACCACCCTGCCTATTTCTGCCGTGAAGCAGTAATGCGTTTCGGTTTGAAGGGTAGGGCAACCGTTGTAACTATACTGAGACCTTAGAACTCATATCTCAAAGTGGGTGACGGCATTTACGTTGTAGATGTCTATGGGCGTTTACCACTTAACACCAGGTGGGCTATGAGCTCGTCCACCCATCTAATCAATAAAAAAATTAAAAATTTGCGTAAGCTATCAGATAGTAGATACCGGCGGATAAATAGTATATAGAATGTTTATTTAAAAAAAAAAACACTTTTGTAATCATTTTAGGGGTCCAAAGGCTACGGACGTGAAATTAGCAAAACGCGCTGCCCGAGCCCACGCGAGATGCTTACGAAGACATGGTGCGGTACTCACTGATCGACTAGAACGTATTTCTAAGCCACCGAAACGCAGCATCATTTACCTATGGCGTGAATATGCTCATACGCTACCTCCCGAGACGGTGAGTGGTATTTAATGAAGGAAACACAAACATTCATTTTGGCTGACCATTCCAGCTGTAACAATTCAAAAGGCACTCAATTATATTGTTTCACGATATCCGACACGCAATATTATATTCTTACACAATCATCACAGATGATATTATTATAGTTATAGGCTAAACTAAAAGAAAGCTAACATAAAGTGGTGCGAACAATATTATCTAGTTCAAACCTTCCCTTTTTTTCGGGTCGGGGGCCGAACCTCCTACGAGGTCCCCGTGCCTAGGACGGGGTATGTGGGACTTGACGATATGCAGATGTTGGGAGCCGACCGCGGGCCCAAGAATGTTTTTGGGGTCCTACCGCACTAAACGACTCCCCTGCTTTCAGACCTTCCCTGCCTTTACCTAGTGCCTGCTAAAAAAATTGTCATAAATACCATGCCGACTTTTGTTATAAATGCAATCGTATTATAATATATTAGGTCAGAAAAAATATTAAAAAAAAAAAATTCGACTTTCATTTATCTATTTCGCTTTATGGCTTAACAACAAATTAGCCTGTATTTTCTTCAATATTTTTAGTCAATGTTGTGTTGACAATATCAAAAGCTAGCACCCGTAACTTGCAAATGTTTACACAAATAAAAGTATATTTCTTTCGTATAGATATCTCGATTGCGTACAATGCTAGATGCAGACGAACCCTTTAAACCAGACCAAGCCTATGAATATTTTGTTAACATGAAGAAGACCAAGAAAAAGACGGCTACGTAAGTTTTTTTTTTGGTTTTACGAAGATTTATCTGTTTTAATTATTACATATTACCCTAAATAGAAAATAATATTTATTACCTTATTTACTTAGATACCACTTATTTATTACCTTATAAGATCTTTATTTAGTTAATTAACACGTATTCTTTTTATAAATATCTACCAAATAAAATCAACTCATTTTTTATTCAAGATGGACTTGACAGATATATTCAAATCGTCATAACTAAGAGTACTTGTAGCAAAATCTCTAAGCTTATTTTTTACGAATTGGTTCTTTAATGATAATGTTCTGCTCGACAGAAGCCGAGTGAACCAAATAAAGAAAGATGTTTTGGAATTGTGCGGAGACAAGAGGTTCCTCTGGGCAAGAAACGCGACTGTGGCCTTCGCTAGAGGTGTACAACAACGACTTTCTAGACCTGGACGATATACATTAGCGGACGGGTATTGATCATTTTTGTACACTTACATTATAAAGCGTAATGCATTTGTATGTAGAGATTTATGGCTCAACTTCAGGATTGGGATAGTGCAGGGCTGCCTATGAGGACTCAGAACTAGTGGTATAACGAATAATTCTAGATTCTCATCTCCACTTATCCATATATTACTCGATATTTACTGGTGGTAGGACCTCTTGTGAGTCCGCACGGGTAGGTACCACCACCCTGCCTTTTTCTGCCGTGAAGCAGTAATGCGTTTCGGCTTGAAGGGTGGAGCAGCCGTTGTAACTATACTGAGACCTTAGAACTTATATCTCAAGATGGGTGGCGCATTTACGTTGTAGATGTCTATGGGCTCCAGTAACCACTTAACACCAGGTGAGCTGTGAGCTCGTGTACCCATCTAAGCAATAAAAAAAAACTTGACCACTGTTATGCCAATTTAGGCTATGGAATAAATTATTTTCTTCAGAATATATGATCGTCGAGATTTGAATCTTTAGCGATAGATGGCTGTTTACTCTGTTGGCGAGTTTTGTACAAATAGTCTAAAATGTAACAAACTTGATTTTTAGGATGTTAAGGCTCTCCAATATCATTTTGGACGAGGTGTGTGGTTACATGCACATGAAGCCGCCGTCACGTCGCTGTGCACATCCCAAAGCTAAATTCATGATGGAAGTAGCTGATAAGGTACGTGTTTTTTGCCATTTACGTAATCTATTTTTTTATGAGGAGAATGTTTCTAGAAGAAATAATCATACTTTATTAGAATCATAATTAGACATGATCTACTCTAAATTGTGAATGGTAATTCATGTTAGTTAAGATAAAAGTAAAACAAATGCAACACTGATGACACTACAACAAAAAATTAATTAGTGTATGCGACATTAATAATATGAAACATGTATTTTGTTTTACATTTACCATAGATAATACACTAATCTACATTTGCTACTACGCAATGATAAAATTTTATGCAATGGTTTTAGAGAGGGGACATGTAGATTTTTTGAAGTGGATGTGTAAAATAATTCATAGGTACCCACTATTACTCGACAGGACCCAGGCTGTTATGGAATTTTATATGTTTTTTATTTTTATATTCTCCTGCGAGGAATTCGGGGAGGTGGAGGACCTTGGCCCTCCTCGTCTCCCTCTTCCTTTCGGGAGGCGCCGAAGTCGAACATAGCCCGGTTCGTTACCCCCCTTGACCGGTTATGGAAGAGGTTAACTCGAAACTGGACCCAGACCACTATATTTCAGTTTCCCTACAGTCCAAACATTAGTATGTAATTTAAAATGGGTTCACGAGTGCTAACGGCTGGTAGTTTAGCAAACTCCGTACCTGATGACATTTATGACTAGCGCTTAATTAATAGCCTTTTTACACGGTTTTATTAGCTTGGTATGTGTGATTGTTTGTTTGCATGTAACGGAATCTTTATTATCATTTCCACCGACTTCAGTACGTCCTTGAGATAACTTGAATATTTGCACACGGGCATGCAGTTGCATCAAGGACCGATGACAGTGCAATAATTTCATAACTTTTAATACCCAGACCAGTATCGATAGAATAAAAAAAGAGATGAAATTAGTTCTTTGTTTGGTTTGCTATTTAAGCGTGTTTTTTTTTGTTTACAAACTATACATATTATTAAGTCTCAGCTTAAAGCCTAATACGAAAGGTAGCTCGATAATTTAGTAACTCCAAAATAAGCAATTTTTGGATACTATGTAGCTTTATACCTCTTTTGAAATATTACATTTATGGAATGTTAACCCTTTTAGTGCTGAGCTTCATTTTCACATATTTTGCAGAAATTGCTAAAGATTTTTTAAAAAAAGTACTTTATAATAAACTTTAACTTTAAAAAAATACAAATACCAAATTTAAATTCATACATAAGGTAAAAGGTTATATAAGGGAGTGCTTACATTATGCTCCCCTAATAAATACTACGTAATACATCTTAATCATGTGCCTACGGCACATACTTTTTTTTTTTTTTTTTTTTTTTTTTTTTTTTTTTTTTTTTTTTTTTTTTTTTTTTTTTTTTTTTTTTTTTTTTTTTTTTTTTTTTTTTTTTTTTTTTTTTTTTTTTTTTTTTTTTTTTTTTTTTTTNCAAGAGGGGTGGGATTTGCTAACAACTGCCCGAGCGCCTCCGAAGGAGACCTAACAACTCAAGAGCAATTGTTTCGCGAATGAATCTACTACCGGATCGGAATCGCAACCCGCTGAGAAGATCCGGCGAGAAACTCAGCGGGCTGATGCATGGGTTAGGTTGCACGTCGACCTCTTTGTCGAGTTCGACGAGTACGGTTACCGGGGTCCCTAAGCCTGCCCCTAGTATTAGAGCTGAAGGCATCACGGCACATACTCGTGCGCATAGAGTCAACCTATCGACGATTCGCGCTGAGACGGTTAAATATTTGTTCTTCTGCCGTGTCCACGATGATGGTGACGCCAGCTGTCGGATCTGCCGAAACTAAAACAAAACGAAACAAAAAAAAAAATGATTTCCATTGCGCCTCTACAATGAGTGGTATTTTTTTTAGATCGCCGTGTGGATTGACGAAATTTTAACTGAATCAGACGATCGAATGCTGATTATGGACTACGATGAAGACGACGGTAATTTTTTTTATTTTTATAAAGTCGATTAGAGAACAATTGTCACCAGTTCCCGAGACAGCTGCCGTTATCACAATCTCAATTCAAGGTTAGTGAATGTTAAAGCAGAAACTGAACTTGTGGCAATTGTTCGAAAAGTTTATAAAAGTCGTCACTGGCTTCATGCATATTTATTTATTACTAAAATACACGTAACAAATGCTTTCAAGTTTAGTTTTTGCAAAGAGTTACCAAGTAGATTACCAATTACGTTATTTCTTGGCTCGCGAAAAGAAGTGGAACGCAGCTATGCGGACGAAGACAGACCGTCTGTGCGTCCAGATATTACCACTCCGACCGCATCGTCAAACTCGATTGGCACAAGTGGAACGCCACTCCAGACTCCCGCTGAGACCCCCGCTGAGACTCCCGGAGTCAGTCAGGGTACAACGCCTGGCACTACTACTCCGAGAACTTCAAAAACAAGTTTAAAAAAGGAGTAGTAAGTATTCAAAAATAAAATATTAAGCACAGATCGTAATATGATGATAAAACTTGATGTCTGTGTACTTGAATTTTCTTACAACCTCCAAAGAACAACAACAGACTTTAATTCTAAACTTGGTACATTTTGATGGTGCTAAAAATGATTATTTTTGTTTCCGACAGATGTTTTAAGAAGAGACAAGGGAGGTGATTCTGATTTCACGGATGATTTCCTTAATATGATGGGTGGTGTAAGTAAAATTACGTTTTTTTCAAATTAGGTTAATAAAATGCGTGATTGGAACTGATCTCGAAAACGAATACAGGTCATATGCTAATTCCTGTCACTAACTTACGACTACTTCGAAGGCTAAAAAAAAAAAAGAAAAAAAATTAGAATGTTTGAACAATGTTTGCGTTATACTAATACGCTATGTAATAAAATTGATATTCTATAAATTGACGCACCAACAATGGAAGGGGCTGGACTATTATGCAGAATCATATGAAATTGTTAAAAAGACAAGCATTATTGTTAGACAAGTATTGATGCATAAAGTGTTCGCCCAATGTTCGAAATTCGACCACGGTCACTGACACCTATCTTACAATATTAACATCTGTTGATTTGAAGGGGTAAACAATTTTTTTCAAAACTATTGTAATTCTTATGTTGTTGACAAACAGAGAAGGTTCAAAAGGGCACTAAACTTTGCCCAATTTAATAGATTTTAGCCATCCAAAACTATTTTCTTTAAGCTTAATTTTTTTTTCCCGTTTCGGCTTTGGAACGGTCTCATTACAGTCATTATATAGATAATTAATTTTAATTATTTCAATAGGATAAGACAAGGAGAGAAGATGCCGATAAACTAGAAACAGTCCTTAAGCTTCTAATAACGCATTTACCTTTTAATACTGCTAAATGCGATATTGAAAAATCTGATAAAAAAAAGTTTTCCGCGACTACTATATATGTACACAAAATACAAATAAAAATAGAAATAAACAAAACAAAGATTTCTTTTATTTTATTTAATATATCTTTTACATTTGAACACGGCTGAACGAGGTAATAAAGTTTTCTAAGCTGAGAATCTTTCTTCATTTTGCTGGTTCGGAAACTGCTTTAAGTAGTGCGTTTATTTAAATAATTATTTTATGTCAATCGGTTTGTGTTCATTTGTATAAGATAGAATAATGAAGAATGATTCTCTTTAAATGTATNGATTTCTTTTATTTTATTTAATATATCTTTTACATTTGAACACGGCTGAACGAGGTAATAAAGTTTTCTAAGCTGAGAATCTTTCTTCATTTTGCTGGTTCGGAAACTGCTTTAAGTAGTGCGTTTATTTAAATAATTATTTTATGTCAATCGGTTTGTGTTCATTTGTATAAGATAGAATAATGAAGAATGATTCTCTTTAAATGTATTATATCTACGGAAAAACGTTCGCCTAGAATTTAAAACAAGTATTTTTTTTATTTCCAGGGTGGACTTTTGAAGGGGCGTGAGTAATTTCAACATATAATAAGTACATTTAGTATTTTTTCCTTAGGCATAACTAAAACTACGTTTTCAGTTTTTATCACGTTTTTATTTCATTCGGAACGTCGGAAATAATATAATGACGATAAAAAACGCGTTGATAACCTCTTCAGGGACATTGACACATACATTTGTGTACGTTTGATTTTAATTTAATTATTTATATCTTTTAATTCTACCCTAAATGGACGCTACGCTAAATGAAAAAATGTGAACTTTTTTTTCTAATGAACAGTCACTATCTGTATTGTTTTAACTTATTGCAATAAAGAATAAATTAAATTGATGTTTTAAAAATTCGTCCCCGAAGTGGTTAACCAGTAAAAACAGTTTTAATTATGTACATAAACACATAGTGTAGCAATGTATATCTACTATAGATATATAATATAACTTTTATTAATGTACCATAATTAATTTCAGCTCGACCAGCATATCTGAAATTTTCCGGTACGTAAACCTTAATCTGAATAAGGCTATGAATATTTTTATCAAATCTTTAAAACATAAAAAGTGTAGACTGAAATTGAGAATTTAAACCGAAAGTGTCTAAGAATGGTTTCTATGAGCGAAGTTCTGGTAGGACTACTCATTCAAAGCTTTAAGATTATTATAAATATCGGCGATTCACGATTTGACTGGTATTTAGTTTCCCACAGAATGCTCACAGTAAATAGTCGATTAACAGATATCAAATATAAATAAATTATAAAAAAATAAATTTTTTTTTTTAGTAAATATGTTAATATCCTAACTCTGAATATTAACGATTGTGTACACCTCAGGTAGGTACTTAAAGAAGACAACCGCTACGTAATTCAATTAATACTTCGACCCAACGGCTCATGGTAGATTCAGTATTCAGGTCGTGATGTCTATAGGCTACAATACCTACTACCAGGTGGTATGAGAGCTTACCGTTAAAAAACTACGGATAATTTCCGTATTCTGTCTCCGTTAAAAACTATGTTCTTAAATCTCAGAACTTTATTAATCGATTTTAAAGAATTATTTTAAACTACTATTATGCTACTACTTACTACATTTTCCCTAACGCTCTGCTCGTAATAACGTAGAAGAAAAAATCTTCAAAAATTGTCCTTTTTTTACTGGACGTAACTGGTAACTTGTGTCCTTTTCTGTGCCCCTGACAACATTTATGCAAAATTACATGTTGATTGATTGAGTTTTTTTCCCTTACCTATGCTGATATCATTGAGAGGCTATTTCAGCTTCACCCTAACGTGTAGGTGAGCTCCCGGGGCTCAAACCGGAGTGTTGCTAACACTGGCCCTAGCAAGAGCAGTGCTTCGCAGAATCTACCACCGGATTGGAAACGCGACCCGCTGAGAAGATCCGGCGAGAAACTCAGTGGGCTGTGTCTATGGGGATTGAGTTAATTAACACTTGAAAACGTAACTAAATCAAAATAGCATTCGCATATTGACAATGTAGTATGGATTACATTCTTAACTTGGCCTATTGATTAGCTTAAAAAGGGAGCATAATTCAACAAGTCAAATTGTATTTTTAGGTGAAATGCTTGAAGCATTCATGATATTAACTGATTCAATGAGTAAAAAAGGCAGTCAGAACCTGCTGTCGCATGGAAAGTTCAGCCAAACATACAGTGAAGCAGCCGATGAGTATATACCAACACACGTTTTTAGATGCCCTAATCTGTCTCTTTTGTTTTACGTTCCAATGATGTTAAATGTGTTCTAACGATATGTTAATTAAACAGTTGAAGTTTTGGTGGTTTATGATCAGACCAGCTCAATTCCCTGTCTATTTCTGGCGTGAAGCAGTAATGCGTTTCGGTTTGAAGGGTGGGGCAGCCATTGTAGAACCTTAGAACTTATATCTCAAGGGGGGTGGCGCATTTACGTTGTAGACGTCTATGGGCTCCAGTAACCGCTTAACATCAGGTGGGCTGTGAGCTCGTCCAGCCATATAAGTAATAAATAAAAAAAAACCGATGTTAACTAATTACTATAGCTCACTTATATCACAGCGAACCTACCGAAGAGAGATCAGTTATTGGAGTCTTAATTATATTTTAAGTATACCTGGTTGTCTTATCCATCAAACTGGATCGCATGAATGTATCGCGGCAGGCCGGTGTTAACAGTCTTTTTAGACTCGTGTCTATACACAAACAGATGTCGAGAACTGAATCGCAGCCACATTCGTTTAATTCTCATCCCATTCTCACGGATCGTTTGGAACCTCTGGGTCTGCGGAGGGACTTCGGCTCCCTCTGTATTTTGTACCGTATGTTCCATGGGGAGTGCTCTGAGGAATTGTTCGAGATGATACCGGCATCTCGTTTTTACCATCGCACCGCCCGCCAACAGAGTAGAGTTCATCCATACGACCTGGAGCCACTGCGGTCATCCACAGTGCGTTTCCAGAGGTCTTTTTTGCCACGTACCATCCGGCTATGGAATGAGCTCCCCTCCACGGTGTTTCCCGAGCGCTATGACATGTCCTTCTTCAAACAAGGCTTGTGGAGAGTATTAAGTGGTAGGCAGCGGCTTGGCTCTGCCCCTGGCATTGCTGAAGTCCATAGGCGACGGTAACCATTCACCATCAGGTGGGCCGTATGCTAGTCTGCCTATAAGGGCAATAAAAAAAAAATCGAGGCGAATACACCGCGTGATAAACTGAGTAGTCGCTTACGTTTGAATTAATTCATGCAAACTTCATTTATAATTTTCATATACTCTTCTACTAGTATAAATACCTCCATTTATATATATAAAAAAAAAAAACTATAGTAATTATTTCGTGAATTTCAGATTAAGGCGGACCCCTAGTTTTGACGCTTCAGAGTTTAATACTACGCTTGCAAATAAACTTCACAGCGATCTCTCTGACACAGTTAAACCAAACACACCGATCGACATCGCTCCGTCTATGAAAGGTATTGAATATTCTATTATTTTGTTTATTTTCAATTGCAGATTCTACTAATCGATTTGTTTTTATCATCTACAGAAATGGTTAATGTGTGTTCGAACTATTTGGCCCAATACGCCGAATTTAACAGTAAGTTAACATCAAAACCGTCTTGACTTAGAAACTATAACGCTTAAGTTCAATAAATGTGATTTTCTCGAAAATTTCAGAGGACAAAGGTCCAGCATTTACTTTGCTTATCAAAATGATGCGTTCAAACCAAAACGAACAGCTTTATAAGAAAGAGAAAGCCCAAAGAACATTAGGAACTGCTGCTGCAGAGTATGTAGCTACTCTTCTATTATCTCTCACACCATGAAATTCTTGTAGACTTCTTCGTTACTGCGCAATATAAAAAGAAGGGAAACAAAGTTAAATCATTGTCAAAAACAAAGCTTTTACGAGGCTTTTAATATTATATAGAGTTACACTAAAATTTTATCTTGCCTTGCTAGAATGAAATACCATCTTTCAATTCCCAAGAAAACATATTAAGCGCTTAAAAATTTTATTAACTGTATGAAACCGTATTCAAACGTATATTACACTTAAATATATGTATATATTTTTCACTGTATCTGGTAAGTGCAATAAACATGATACCGGATACGGTCTTTATTCGTTTCTTGAATAGACTTGAGGCAGCTAAAGGACTAGAGAGTGACCACGATGATCCAAATCTCTCTCAGGAAATTTATTCAACTCTTTCGCGATTAGTAGAGAACGTAACACCGGATGATCTCAAAACTGATATGAAAGGTATGAAATGCTTTTGGATTTTATTGTAGTTTTATTTTTAACTACCTGACCCGACAGACTTCGTAGTGCCTCAATCGATAAATAAAAGACCTAAACTTTTGTATAAAACAAACTTAAAACAAACAAAAGGAATTCGTCCGACAGGGGGGACACGTCAAAGGAAAAACATAATTGTTCTTTTTATTTAATTTCGAACGTTTTCATATTTATCTACCTTTTAAACCTTCTCTGGACTTCCACAAATAATTCAAGACCAAAATTAGCCAAATCGGTCCAGCCGTTCTCGAGTTTTAGCGAGACTAACGAACAGCAATTCATTTATATATATATAGATATATCTATGGCAAATTGCCACAATGCCTGATTCAATTTGCGTTTGATTTTAATAGTAGATTCGCAAGCATTTGTTGTCTTAGTGTCCTTAAAATAAATCAATAGAATAAAGATACAACTTCAATTTCAAACTTGTGTTTTCTAAATAGTTTTAAAAAAAATATTTGGTATTTTTACAGAAACTATGGATATCTGCTCGAAATACTTATCACAATGTGCCATTGACGCAAGTATGTAATCATCTATTAATTTCATCATCTATGTAGTAGCATTCTGTAGTTAAAATTTTCATATTGTATATCTATATATTAATACGTGAAGCAAAAACTTTGTATCCCTTTTTACGAAAATTGCGCGGACGGAGGAGAATGAAAATTTTCACACTTATAGAGAATATAGAGAAGAAGTGCACAATGCTAATATTTTTTAAAAATAATGCATAAAAGATACATTAAATCAATAAAGAAAACATTACACACACTACATACCATGTATTTGACGCACACACGCATGCATACTATTTATTGCCAAACTTTTGTTCTTGACGTCTGTTGTCAAATTGAGAATAGATTAAACATTGTTTGTCTTTGTTAATATTTTTTATAGTGTAATTTTGGTCAAATTTGTGATTATAGAAGTATAAAATACAATCATAATAGTGTACAAACTTACAATTCCAATTCATTATTGTCGAATTTCCACTACTGCGGGACCTCTAGTTACAAATAACACATGTATTTTCACAGTCGAACGCGGTCCCGCTTTTGATTTATTAATAAAGGAACTTGAAAAACATGGATCGGAACAATTTACGAATCAATTTCCCGTTCTGGCCAAGAAATTCATAGCCGCCTACTCGTTGGTATCTTTATCTTAATAGAATTTAAATTTGATGTTAAAACTTTTTTTTTATTACATAGATGGGTGGACGAGCTCACAGCCCACCTGGTGTTAAATGGTTACCGGAGCCCATAGACATCCACAACGTAAATGCCACCACCAACCTTGAGATTCGAGTTCTAAGGTCTCAGTATAGTTACAACGGCTGCCCCACCCTTAAAACCGAAACGCATTACTGCTTCACGGCAGAAATAGGCAGGATGGTGGGACCCACCCGTGCGGATTCACAAGAGGTCCTACCACCAGTAATTACGCAAATTATAATTTTGCGGGTTTGATTTTCATTACACGATGTTATTCCTTCAGCGTGGAAGTCAATCGTGAACATTTGTTAAGTACGTATTTCATTAGAAAAATTGGTACTCGCTTGGGATTCGAACACCGGTGCATCGCTCAACACTAATGCACCAGACGTCTTATCCTTTATAAGACTTATCCTCTCTTATCCTTTAGGACACGACTACTTCTACATTTATTGTTTTATCAATTAGGCTGAAATCTGCGCCTGGCTTTACAAGCACTACCCCTGATGTAGCCACAACACCCATTTTTGTTGGAGCGTTGCATAAGTCAGCTGATGCCGCTACACCTAAAGCCCTCCACAAAGATATGCAAGGTATTATGTGCATGCTATTATATTCTCCGTCCAATTTTTACAATCGTTTTTTTTTTATATTTATAGACCTTTTTATTTTGTTTTCGCAGACGTCATAGAACGTTGCGCCGCATACTTATCGGCATTTGCACGAGATAGAGGTATTTAATTGTTTAATATGGAATTCTTTAAGTGACTCGTCGTCGAAAATTTGCTCTTAATATTGTATTAAATACAACATTTCAGACAAAGCACTACAGGTTTTATTAAAAATGATGAAAGACAATCCGTCAAAAGAATTGGCTAAAAGGAATAACTACGCCATGAATTATGCTGTCGGTGCGAACGAGTAAGATCTTGAGATTAAAAAAATATATTGTTATGTAGTTCTGTGGTCTTCAAAGCCTTTTTTATTTTTTAGACTGGAAACAGCATCCAACCTAGTGCCTTTCCTTCCTGTAAAGGATATCGCGGACGAAGAAAAAGCCAATTTGACCAAAGATGTCGAGAATTTAACGCCTTCAGAACTGAAAATAGCTATGAAAAGTTAAAATTAATATTAATCCGATCCTTCTGTTTTATTAATACTGTTGACCACTATCTTACGATTGTGTTTTACAGGCTTGGTTCAAGATGCCGGAAGATATTTATCTCAATCTATGGCTTTGAAAAGTAAATATATATTTTAAGTCATTTGCTAAATATATGCTTTTAAATCAGATATTTTCCCACCAATCACAGCCATCACAATAAACATTGTGTACTATACGGTAGGGTAGCTTATACATCCGCACGGGTAGATAAATCACCACCATCCTGCCTCTTTCTACCGTGAAGCAGTTATGCGTTTCGCTTTTAAGGGAGTTTCCGTTACGAATGTAAAAAACAAAGGAAAGCGCAGGAATAAGTAAGGTACCTATTCAAGATAGTCCGAAGGGAACCGACGGCGCAGTGCCACCATTGCGCAGACCGCGACGAGAATGACACAGCGGAACACACCCTGACGCGTTACTCTGGATTCGACGAGCAGCGCGCCGCCCTCGTCGCGGTCATAGGAGAGGACCTCTCGCTGCGGCGCGTCGTGGCTACGATGCTCGGCAGCGACAAGTCCTGGAAGGCGATGCTCGACTTCTGGGAGTACACCATATCGCGGAAGGAGGCGGCGGAACGAGAGAGGGAGAGCTCTCCCTTTCCGCACCGATCCGTTGCCGTCGAGCCGGGGGCCGGAGGAGGGATTACGCCCCTACGTCCCGGCCCCTGTAACCCGGCGCGCTACCAGCACTCTAGCGCGCTGCAGAGGAGAAAACAGAGCGACCGGTTGGCGGTGTATCGCGTCCCAACCCGGCAGGCTGGTTCTGGTCCAGCGGGGTATTCCGGGACACCAGCGGCACCGTCTGGGCGGCCTGACGGGCTGCCATGCCGATACGGCCGACCTTTCAGAGCCTTCGATTTGCCTCGAAGACTCCGTAGGCCGGGCATCCTTGGGGTGAGCTGCGCTCGCTGTCTGGTTGCAGTGTTGACCGCGGTAACCCCCCTACCTCATCCGAGTTCTGACCTCGGAGGGGATCGGACGCTTGGTCGAAGAGTGCAGAGGAGTCGTTTAGTGGGTAGGGCCCTAAAATTCCTTGGGCTAGCGGTCTGCTCTCAACACCTTGCAGATCGTCAAGTCCCATATACCCCGCGCGCCCCCTAGGCGCGGGGACCTCGTAGGAGGTTCGGCCCCGGCCCTAAAAAAAAAACAAAGAAATAAATTCATCATACATCATTTACTTATATAGGTAATATATGTATATACTTCAAAGCGATTACCACTTACCTTGTATCTTATTTATAATCATTTCATACAAAACATATTAAGATTCGTACAACAAAAACACATTTGTGAATCCAAAAAAAGTTACATCCAAATTGCGTGTTATGGTTGTGTTAGATGCGCGATGTAGCTGCCCTTGAGCTGTTAGGTGTCCTTCGGAAGCGCTCGGGCAACTGTTAGCAAATCTCACCCCCCCGACTGAGCTTTTACTCGCTTACCTGTCCTGGTGAAACTGGAAATATCTCTGGGCTACCAGTAATCCTTCCTTCATAAAAAAGTGTTATGATTGTAGGTGGTGCCGCGGGTGAGAGATATCCACTGAATTTGTTGGCTGCGGTCAAAGACTCATTAGGTGATCGTCCTCTTTTCAAATACAAAGCCTACGGTCAAACCTACAGTGATGCTGCCGAAACGTACGTTTAATGTCACCAAACAAATATCTGTAAAAAAAAGCATTGGATTTTAATTTAATTTAATATAAAAATACAGCCTGAAATATGCGGGACCATTGGAATCTGATCCTAAATGTGAAGACTTAAAGATACAAATCGAAACGGAAATGAAGAGGGGAGTGCCCGCTCAAGTGTCACCCAATATAGCGGCTGGATTGAATGGTCAGTAATTTGTATATCGGTTATACATAGGCGGCACTGAAAATTTCGGGAATTAACGAAGTGACACAATATTACTATTTAAAAATGTATTTATTGCTTTTCGAAGTATTCTCCGCGAAATTTGACACATTTTTCCATACGATGGAATCAAGAGGAATAGTCGTAACATGGCCGGTTTTGGAGACAAACGTGGCCACCATTTTTTTTGCAACACTCCGTGAACGAACAATTTTTGTTGGCTTTAACTCATTTTCGAACACCCAAACTCGTGACTGGTTTTTTGTTTCGGGTTCGTACGCGTATATCCAGGATTCGTCACCTGATACAATGTTGTATACAGCATTTGCGGATCCTGCATGGAATCTTTCAAGAGTTCTGACACACCAAGTAACGCGAGCCGCTTTTTGCTCTTCACAGAGCGAATTTTTTTTTTTTTTTTTTATTGCCTTTGTAGGCCAGTGGTTACCGTCGCCCATGGACTTCAGCAATGCCAGGGGCAGAGCCAAGCCGCTGCCTACCGCCAAGCCGCTGCCTACCAAGCCAAGCCGCTGCCTACCTATGCGGTATTCATCGGGAAAACAACTTTTTTACACCTAATTGTTCATGCAAGATTATTTGTATTTGACTCATGCCAATGTCTAAAGTTGCCTGAATTTCGCGGTATGTCACATGTCGATCTTCCTCAATCAGCTTACGCACAGCATCAACGTTTTCTTGGGTGCCTGCAGTTTTTTGGACGACCTTGACGGGGATCATCACTGAACTTAACACGTCCACGTTGAAACTCAGCAAACCAGCGATAAATTGTGGTTTTGGATGGGGCTTCATCACCAAATGCAGAAATCATACGGTCAACACACTGTTTTTGTGTTAAACCACTTCGAAAGTCATAATAAATCATTGCTCTTGAATTTTCTCGAGTCAATTCCATTTTCTCAACGACTAAACAAAAAAACCGCGTGACAAGACCGAGAATCTTTTTTTAAATAAATAAATGGTATTCGATTTTTAAAACCAAGGAGTTTTCAATTAAAAAGATTTTAATATGACAGGAACAGTGGAAATATTCCATTCCCGATACTTTTAGTGCAGCCCTCATATGATTTATGGCTCTTTTTAACATGTCGAGCTTTGTTTTAGATACAATGAACGATGCCTCCAAACATCTAGCAAAGATTGGAGCAGAGAAAGGTACTTAAATCTGAATAAAATTAATTGTTTTTTCTTTTTTTATAATAATATTTTATCAATACAAAATTATTTATAGGAAAAGCCTTGGATTATCTCGTGGGGCTTATGAAAGAACGGGGAGAAAGCCCTTTGGGACAGATGCAGGGATATCTCCAGACTTATTCTGATGGAGCTAAAAGGTAACTTGGCTGAAAAAAGTTAAATTTTTTTAACACAAATTGTACTAATATTCAAACAATACATATGAAACGTACAATTTAGGATAGAAAATGCGCCAAGTCTTACAAACGAAAAAGTTGACAAAGGGACCTATGAATCTGTTCGAGGAAAATTAACGCAGCTTGTCACAGAAAAGCCTTCAGAAGAACATAAGAAGCATATTACAGGTAAATAATGATTACTATTTATTTGAATTCCATTTGAAGAGGTCAAGAGGTTTCTGTAGTGATTTCTAATAGCAATAGGCCATGCTTATGAGGATAAACCTTCGATCAACAATAGTAATAATATAATAGTTACTATTGTTGATCGAAGGGATAAACTCTTCGGATTACTTAAGTCCATATAAACTTTACCCCTGTTTCTAACCTAAATTATGAGATTAGAACCGCTTTTATGTCCATACATTCCTTTATTTCCGCAAATTATTTTAAGAAAACGAAGAAATACAGTTGTTGGAAGTCAATAACAGACAGAAACGCTAATTCACGTCTGACCAAAGACTTTGGCTTCGAGATTAGTTTTCTTCCACATTTTTCCAATTTCAGTCTTTGACAGTTCTATAGGCTGCCAAGATTGTTTGAAATGTAATAGTCCCAAAAATACCCAAAAGGAGCTTTACTTGAAAGTAAAATTTTAAAATTCACTTTTAAGTTAGTAGCATACACTGCTAGGAAAATAGACGAACTTAGGAAAATAGAAAATTAGAAATTGCTAGTTTTGGAATTCACAAAATGAAAATAACGAATGAACAAAACTTACCTCAGATGTTTTTCAGGTCTTGTAGATGACTCCTCGAAGTTCCTCGCTGCGCCGTTGCCTGAAAGTAAGTATAGTAACGTCTACATAGAACCTTTAGAATATAATAATATATATCTTTAATTAAGTCGCCCTTTAAAGAAATTTTTGGTTTTATATCAAATGCAACTGAGGTGCACCAGATTATTCGTACTTCTAGTTCCATTTAATAATTCACAAGCAATCATCACAACCTTAAAAATAGAACTTCAGATAATATGAAGTAAATTATAAGACAAATTATAATTGTACCTTCAGCGGAATCTGAGAAACGTCGAGTATTGGCAGATTTAATGGCACGAAAAGGTGATCAGATGCTTGCGCAGGATGGTCTATACAAAATAACATACACAGAAGGAGGAGAAGAGTAAATTCGATTTTCATTACTATGTTATTAAATAACTGTTAATAAATACTATATAATAATAATATTTTCTTGGTTTAGGATAATGAAAGCGCCGGTTGGGGTTACCGCGTCTGACGATGAATCAATGAAAGTAGCAATGCATAGCAAAGTTATCAGTGTGATACCGGATAAAAAAATGCAGGACTTATTGAAAGGTAAACTATTGAACGTCCTAGTTTCAAATTTAGAAACGACGGAGAATCCTTTCATGAAACGAAATGTTTTTGAATTTCAGATCCCGCCAATGAAGGAGCTGCGCACTTAGCGAATATTTTAAAAGGAAGAGGTAGGTAATTGCTTCCACTATAGTAATAAAAAAATATAATGTTAATTTTCATTCACGATTATCGAGACTAATTAAAAATTATTCAGGTGAAGCTATGAAAGTTATACACGATGAAATGAAAATCGAAAAAGATAAGGAATTTTTGGCTGTGGGCAGTTTTAAGAAAAGTCACGAACAGGCAGCCGACATGTCAGTACCTTTTATTATTTTAAACTGAATTTTAAACTGAAATCGATAAACCAGTCATTTCGAATGTTCTGGTAAATCTAGTGTTAAATTTACGCCTTACAGGGTACCAAAAACTATTGAAGAAATCCACTATGTGTTTGACGGTTGACCGATAGGATAAAACCTTTTACTTTGGATATAAATAAAAACTTTAACACAAGTAGGTAGACATAGTGTCGATACCGCTAATAGCATTGGGTACCGATTGTACCGATTGTAATGAATTCACTTCAGGTCCACATTCTGTTAGTATTTTTAACTCGACAGAAATTCGAAACTGAAGAAAAGTATTTTATGAATTGAGCGTTTTTTCATTGGGCACTTTTGAATTTAGGTTAAGTTCCGCAACACATTTTGGTGGACAGCATCCGTCCCCTGTTCTCCTGGATATGGTGAACGATCGAATTGAGAAACTTCCTAAATCGAGTGCATCTGATATAGCTAAAAAGTACATGACAGGTAATGAAAGTTTTTTCTACCTGTTTAAATTAGAAACAAAGTACTAGATGTTAGACTAATTTTGTACTGAACGTCTTTCCTTCACACATTAAGAGATATAAATTTTTTGTATAAAGGCATGAATAAAGGCAATCTTAGCTTTTGAAACAGACCGATGGTGAGAAGGTACGAACCAAACCGTACGAGCTCACCACTCTTGGGTCAATCACTACTATATCAGCCATAATTGCTAGAACAACTAATTCCGATAGACTGAAAATATAAATAAGAAAACCATATGTTTCAGATACATCAGACATCGTTGCATCTTATATTGCCGGTAGAGCTACTGATGAATGTGAGTTAAAATTAGATTTCACAAATTTCTATAGTACAATATAAATGACACTCTATTATTTCAGGTGGCTTGGATGCTAAAGCCTTGGCTGCATTTGATGCCAAGGGATCGAGGTAATATTAAATTTTATTGGCACTATGAACTATGGTTCATTTTGTGATGTAAATACTTGTCTATCGCACTGGAAGTCATATTTATTAAAATCAATTTAAATGTATTCCAACATACAAAAGCAAAATATTTTTTATGTTCGTTTAATCGCATGCCTTAAATATTCAATTTAGATTAGAAGTCGTCGTGGCCTAACGGATAAGACGTCCGGTGCATTCGTGTTGAGCGATGCACCGGTGTTCGAATCTCAGGCGGGTACCAATTTTTCTAATGAAATACGTACTCAACAAATGTTCTCGATTGACTTCCACGGTGAAGGAATAACATCGTGTAATAAAAATCAAACCCGCAAAATTATAATTTGCGTAAGTACTGGTGGTAGGACCTCTTGTGAGTCCGCGCGGGTAGGTACCACCACCCTGCCTATTTCTGCTGTGAAGCAGTAATGCGTTTCGGTTTGAAGGGTGGGGCAGCCGTTGTAACTATACTGAGACCTTAGAACTTATATCTCAAAGTGGGTGGCGCATTTACGTTGTGGATATCTATGGGCTCCAGTAACCACTTAACACCAGGTGGGCTGTGAGCTCGTCCACCCATCTAAGCAATAAAAAAAATAAAAATTGAAATAAAATTTCATTCAACAGAAGCACGGAAGCGATTAAAAACAAAACACAATCTACAGCACAAGTTAATGATGCAGCCGCAACTAGTGACCGTAACTCCTCGAACCTGAATAAAACACCATCACGTGATGCCACTAATGCTAGCAGTAGAATGGGATCGGAGACAGATGAAGAAAAGAGGAAGCGAGAAGAGATCGAAGCTAAGAAACGAGCTGAACAGAGTACAGGTGAAAATGTTGAGATGTCAAAGTCAACGCAATCTGATATTGGACGAAGTAATCGGTCACTATTAGGCAGGAAAACAAAAAATATATTGAATATGTTTTTATTAAATTTTTCTTACATGATAATTGTATATATATGTTTCTTTACCTACCTAATCGCCTGTAGGCTCAAGGGGCATAGACTGAGATCTGCCTAGCAAGAGCAGAACTTCGCTGAATCCAACCCTCATCGTGTTTGAATTAACGTAATTGTATAAACTAGAGGTTCCGCAGTAGTCGAAATTCGACTATAATTAATTGGAATTGTAAGTTTGTACACTATTATGATTGTGTTTTATACTTCTATAATCACAAATTTCGCCAAGACTACACTATAAAAAATATTAACAAAGACAAACAGTATTTAATCTATTCTCAATTTGACAACAGACGCCAAGAACAAAAATTTGACAATAAATAGTATGCATGCGTGTGTGCGTCAAATACATGGTATGTAGTGTGTGTAATGTTTCCTTTATTGATTGAATGCATCTTTTATGCATTATTTAAAAAAAATATTAGCATTGTGCGCTCCTTCTCTATATTCTCTATAAGTGTGGAAAATTTCATACTCCTCCGTCCGCGCAATTTTCGTAAAAAGGGATACAAAGTTTTTGCTTCACGTATTAATATATAGATACTACCCACCTTAAATTTAAAAGTTCATTATTGTATTCACCCTTCCTTCGGCACCCGTCTTATACATTTAAACCTTTCATTATTAAAATTTTGTAATTGCCAATGGATCGTTTGATAGATACCGTAATCAAAATAAACCCACATATAAAAATAAAACATTTTAATTCAACATATCACTGGCCGAACAGGGTAACTTTAAAAATTCGTTTACTTATTCGAATATGTTCAAGTAGGTATTTCTAATATATATATTGAATGTAGGTAGCGTGATGTGAGCTATTTTACGTGGTATGTTTAATAATTCGATCCCTTAATGTAAAGACGTAGGTACTCCATTTGATTTAAGTTCTTGAAAGGAGACAATATTGAAATACATATTGTCAAAGATACGCACATAAAAACAAACCATCACTTTTAATTTTTATTTTAAACGTCATTAAAAACCCTTAATCCTATTCGTCGAACTATAAGTTGATCAACAGATATTGTGATATCATTTACAGATTTAGATCGTGAACGGCAGCAGGCGTTGTCAATACTTCATACGCAGCTTAAAGCTCAAGGTGCTAACACGTTCTATAAACAGCCGCAAACCGAGTTGACCCACCAACAAGCTTCAGCATGGTTAGCACAAAATGTACTCTTCAATATGTTGTGATGGAAGACTAGAGATTTTGTGTTGTTGAGATTTTTTGTTTTTTTTTTATTTTATTTTTTTATTGCTTAGAAGGGTAGAGCAGCTCACAGCCTACCTGTGTTAAGTGGTTACTGGAGCCCATAGACATCTACAAAGTAAATGCGCCACCCACCTCGAGATATAAGTTCTAAGGTCTCAAATATAGTTACAACGGCTGCCCCCGCCCTTCAAACCGAAACGCATTACTGCTTCACGGCTGAAATAGGCGGGGCGGTGGTACCCACCCGCGCGGACTCAAAAGAGGTCCTAGCACCAGGAACCTCTTAGTACTCTTAGTACTTTGAAAATAAATGTTTTTTTTTTTTTTTGAAAAATTTGGCAATATTTTAGGATAGACATGAAGCCTCCGATGAAAGTAGACAAGACAGTTAAAGAGTCTGCCGATACGGCACGACTCCATAAGAAATTTGAAAGGAAACTGTCCGTTCTAGTTAGTAAGGTCACACCTCCTAACATGAACGACGCGATGCAAGGTAAATAATTTATCATCATTATAATGTCCAGAGCTCTCTAGATAGAAAAAAGAGAAAGATTATAATTTGTTGAATTTTATCAATAGGTAGCCAAAATAAAATTACTTGGGATGAACATTTGTCACGCTTTTTTTTTATTGCTGAATTTGGTGGATGAGTTCATGGCGCACCTAGTGTTAAATTGTCACCGGAACCCATAGACATTGACCACGTTAATACCGCCACCGGTCTTGAGAAATGGGTTCTGAGTCTCAGTTTTATAATACAACTACTGTCACACCCATCAAACGCTCAAATTCATTACTGCTTTACGGCAGAAATAGGCAGGGTGGTCGTACCCACCAGTGCGGGCTCTTATACTACTAATATATGTATTACTTTTTTCCAGATGTAGTAATAGAATCTGCACGAATACTATCTGAATATTTCGTATCAAGCAGTAAGTCACTATTTCTGTCTCAGCAAAAGTTATTATAGGCAATGATTGTCATTTTTACGACAGCACTGTTTTTTTTTCTTCTATTTAACAGATTACAAAGCGCTCGTTCGAGAGGCACTAATATCGGAAATGCAGAAACGTGGCAATGAAATTCTTATTAAAATGGACAGCGCTGCGGAGACTTTCTTCTTTGCTGCTCAAAGGTAATCCTTTTTATTTGAATACCGAACAGAACATATCTTTGAATTTTTCGATTTTTAAATACCAAAAGGCAAATTCATCAAAAGACCAAAAAACTCAATAGATCAATTTATTACATTCTTCCGTCTGAATCTCCTGTCCAAATCAAGTGTGCTCTGAAGAATTGTTCGAGATAATACCGGCATCTCGTTTTTACCATCGCACCGCCCGGCACCGGAGTAGAGGTCATCCATACTACCTGGAGCCACTGCGGTCATCCACAGTGCGTTTCCAGAGGTCTTTTTTGCCACGTACCATCCGGCTATGGAATGAGCTCCCCTCCACGGTGTTTCCCGAGCGCTATGACTTGTCCTTCTTCAAACGAGGCTTGTGGAGAGTACTCAACGGTAGGCAGCGGCTTGGCTTTGCCCCTGGCATTACTAAAGTCCATGGGCGACGGCAACCACTCACTATTAGGTGGGCCGTATGCTCATCTGCCTACAAGGGCAATAAAACTAAAAAAAAAAAAAAAAATTTGTTGGAATGTCGACCTAAGAATGCCCCGTATTATCCTAAAATCGTAATCGTAAAATCTTACATACTAAACTGAAACTTGAAAATGAAAATGATGAACTGGATCTTTTTTACTTTATTCCTGTGGTGTGTGATGTGAATCGTTATAATTTTTACCTAAAAACCGTTAAACAGGTTAAAGAAGGCCAAAACGATGACAATTCAGGAACCACGTAACAAAGTGTCGTATTATTTGACAAAGAAATTGGAGGAAATTATTCGTTGTCGTTCTATGGCAAGAAAATTAACATCCACTATGAAAGGTTTGACTGTTTAGAATAATTTAATTTAAAAAAAAAACTCTTATGGGACTGCGGATTTAAGGAAATGTTGCCATTGCAGAGCATATCAAGGATGCCTCGGATTATTTGTCAGAGTCAGTAACCACGCCTGGTAAGTGCCCTCTTAATTAATTTTAATTGGAATTACCAAATAATTACGCCTCGCTTCCATCTGAAACCATGAGCCGTAATTATTTTTTTTACTCTCAGTGTCAATAAAGTTTTAAATCCATTATCATCTGGAAGATTGTGAAAAAATTGTTAATTAAAGATTCCATTAAGTACATAGTCCACATAAAATATATTTTCTTTCAGTCGGTTCCTTCTCAAAAAGTATTTATTGGTTTTGACTAGTAGAGTGACGCTAAGAAACACGACGAGAAATAACTATATGTTTTACAAAATATGTTGTTCGTTTCCCAAAAAAGTAACAAAATTGTATAATATTAAGATGTTCCACTTCTGCTAGGAGACACTTCGCCATCTTTAAAAAAAAAAACAAGAATAGGTACATATATTAAATAACACAATCATACAATACATGACACAATAACAAGCACACAAATCTAAATATATATTTTTATTTATTGCTTAGATAGATGGACGAGCTCACAGCCCCCATGATGTTAAGTGGTTACTGGAGCCCATAGACATCAACAAAGTAAACGCGCCACCCACCTTGAGATATAAGTTCTGAGGTCTCAGTATAGTTACAGCGGCTACCCCACCCTTCGAACCGAAACGCATTACTGCTTCACGGCGGAAATAGGCGGAGTGGTGGTACCTACCCGTGCGGACTCCCAAGAGGTCCTACCACCAGTGATTACGCAAATTATGATTTTGCGGGTTTGATTTTATTACACGATGTTATTCCTTCACCGTGGAAGTCAATCGTGAACATTTGTTGAGTACGTATTTCATTAGAAAGATTGGTACCCGTCTGCGGGATTCGAACACCGTTGCATCGCTACATACGAATGCACCGGACGTTTTATCCTTTAGGCCACGACGACTTCAAAAATTCAAATTACGAAACATTAAACATTAAATTACATTACATTAAATTACCATTAAATTAGTAAATGTGTATTTATTTTATTGTAGTTTCCATTTCTTTAGTAAATAATATGATCTCGTTAAAAATACATGTCGACGCTTGAAAGGCAAAAGTGATTAAGCGACAATGCGTGAACTTTACAGTAGACTAATTTAAAGTTGAAATTAATTTGAAATATACATGAGAAATACCTGAAAAAAAATCTATTTTAACGAATCTAGCTGTAGGATTGAAATAATTTTAATAGACCTAGAAATATATATTTTTGGGCATCGAATATGGTTATTGGCTATCATTTATGTACAAATCTATTGATGATCGAAGTACAAATCAGTTATTGTCGCTTAGTCACGTTTGCCTTTCAAGCGTCGATGTGTCAAACGGCCACGAACTATCAGAGTCTGGAATGAATTTCCCTGTACGGTGTTTTCGGAGTCACTGAAATGTCACTCTTCAACGTGGTTTAAATCGAGTTCTATACAGTACATAGCTCTTGGCATTTCTTATGTCCATGATAGATGTAGATCATTCACTGTTAGATAAGCCGTATGTTTCTCTACTTCTTAATAATTTCAAATATTAGAGGCTATAACTTTTTTCTTATTGTTTTTTTTTTATTGCTTTAGCTTGTGTTTCTATTAACGTAATTCCTAATTGAATTTCGAACAAATACATTGGTGATATACGTTTGCAGATGAATATATCGCAGCATATGTGGCATTATTATGTGAAATGGAAACTGCAGGAGAAGCACTCCTCGTAGAGGGAAACATACCTAAATCATATAAGGACGCATCTGCTTAGTTAGTATTTCAAAAACAGTATCGACTAACTAGTATAATAATATATTATGTCTTTACCTATGAAGTTGGCATTTGGTATACAGAAAGTTTGTAATTTTATTTACTAATATTTTTATTTTTATCAATCAGAATATGCAACCATAAATAATATCGATGCATCTCTACCAGCGCAGTAGTAATATTTCAATGCCAACAAACTCGTCAAAGATATTTTGTACTGCATCTCGTGTATTGAATTTATTCGTCGTAATGAGTGGTAAAGTAGAAGTATGTGTGCTTAGTGCGAGTTTCTTAACGTTCTCGATAGCGTAAAAGTTAAGTTATTTTCTCAGACTGTATATTTATAATGTATTCAGTTTTCCCAAAATTTGTATTGTCTGTTAGCAATTTCATTTATTACCTTAATTTCTCTAACTCCTCTTCTAATTGTTACTTATTTTCTTAATCTTAAGATGTACTTAAAATATGTACATATGTTGATACCGTTATGTGGACTTGAATATGTACATAATTGTAAGTACTATTGCACAATAAAGAATGTTCGTTTTTTTTTCAAACGCAGCCTTCGAAAATTGACAACATTTGAGGATCAGATTCAGCGACCAAATCCATCCTTGCATTCGTCAATCGAAAATAAACTTAAAGTTATTATGGCAAACGTCGTCAGTCGAACTTACACTACAACAGTTTTGCACGGTAACAAAAGGCAGACATTTTTTGTTAAATTATAATATTGTAACGCGCTGGGGTTCGGGATAAATAAAATTCTAGCGAAGTACAAATTAAAAACTGTATTAAACACTTAGAAAACTTAAAACACTTCACAAGCACTTTAAAATTCTCAATTAGCTTCTTCCGCTTTTGTTCAGGTGATCCGTTCGCTGTTTCGCTTCGAGTAGTTCCGGTTACTTACTGACTGCGAGCCATCTCTGCAACGCAAAAAAAATGGCCCATAAAAATGGCCACATCCCTAAAATTATCGAAAATATTCCACAAGTCGAGTATTGTGTTTCCGTTATCTGTCAATAGATGGCGTTGTACTTCTCGAGCGTTCTAGATGCTATTAGATCCTTCGATGTTCGTTCGACTATTCAGCTATAGATGACGTTACTCTTACCGGCTTGACAATATTTTACATATTATGTATTTAATAATGTGATTTTTACAGGAGTTATTAGTGAATCTGCTAGTTTACTGGTCTCATACATTATGCTACAAGGTAAAAATACTTTTAATTTGTCAATTTGAATTGTTCAGTGCTCAGTTGTATTGTAAATTATTCATCGTTACGAGTATAAGTATTTTTTGTATAGCTATTTAGTTTTAAGATTTCTTTATTGGATTGTAGGTGAAAAAACGGAAGCTTTAAAAATATTGATTGATAATATGGATCGGATTGGAAATGGAGTGCTATTGTGTCATGGTAACATACGAAAAACATATACCGATGGAGCTGACAAGTAAGTGTTATTTTGCTTTAAAAACCGTACTCCTCATCTGATTATTGAAAGTAAGTTAAATGTTTCTTAAAACGCAGACTACGGGGAAAGAACACAGATCAACTCGCCGTGCAAAGTGCAGATCCGGTCGTTTCGAGGAAAATACAAATCAAGCTGAATAATTTGATGATTGATAATGTTCCGGAGAAATATAAAACGTTGATAGACGGTGAGATTACTTTACACATGAAAGAAGTGAGATTTTCCAACAATTATTCTGGCTAGTACATTGAGCGATTATTTCAGATGTAATTGAAGACGCAACTTTGTTCCTGGCTGTACACCTACTGCAACCACGTGAGTAATACTTGTAATTTACTGGTGGTAGGACCTCCTGTGAGTTCGCGCGGGTAGGTACCATCGCACTGCCTATTTCTGCCGTGATGCAGTAATGCGTTTCGGTTTGAAGGGCGGGGCAGCCGTTGTAACTATACTGAGACCTTAGAACTTATATCTCAAGGTGGGTGGCGCATTTATGTTGTAGATGTCTATGGGCTTCAGTAACCACTTAACACCAGGTGGGCTGTGAGCTCGTCCACCCATCTAAGCAATAAAAAAAAAATATAATAATATACATATGTTGAAGTAAATCTAACAAAAAGGAATAAATCATCCTTTTTGTTAGATTTTTACTATATTTATCATAATGTTATTTGCAGAAATAATTCAAGTGTGCAAGTGCATGAAAAACGTATTTGTTCAATGCGAACTATGGTGTGACGAGATTTTACGGCGCGTGGCGCAACCCTGTTGCACTTGTTCGCGTTATGTATCATTACAAGCCTTAGAAGACGTTGTACCGGCAGAAAGATTGCGCGCCGAGCCGGGATCTTCTAAGGTTCAGGCTCCGGGCATTGAAATATCTATAACAGACTGTCCATCTAAACAAACTAGAGTTCAAAAACATGCCGCGCAGCCCTGTCCAGCGCCAAAACCAACCGAGGGGTGTCGACAACAAACGAACGCTTACCACTTATACTCTGCGACGGTACAACATAATCGTTTTAATCCCAGCAAATTACGGCCACGATTCCAGGATCCAATTTCCCCGGACGCTGTCACAGATATACCATCGTCACCGCCCAGAATATCGCGATCTTTTTCACCTACACCGCTTAGTCCCGCGAGTTCACCCCGCGTACGATTATTACATAAACGTGAACAAAGCTCGGACAAAAGTCTAATAGAGCATGCAAATACTTCGGAAAGCTCTTCACCCGATTCTTTTTATACACCTCCGAGTACTAATGTATCCAAAACGTCTGACGAGAGGACTGCTTCTTCTAACGCGCCATTAAAGAGCGACGATGTCAAAATTAACCAAATCAAAACGTTTTCCGCACCTTTTTCGACGACTTCTAGAAATATTGATAATGCTAATGCCGAGGACAATTCACGTAAGTTTAGTTGCGATGCGTATTGATGCGGGGTTTTCAATAAGGACTTATTTCGATATTTTTCGTTGTTTAGGAGCGCCAATAATATCTACTGATCAAATGACAGATTGGCACGCAATGATGGTGAGCCTTATGTGGAACGTACAAGCTTGGCGGGACTGGATACAAGAAATCATTGACAGAGCGTTAAGCTATCGTCCTAAATCTGGCACGTCAAAAGATATACTTAATAGTGCATTTCGAAAAACTCAAAACTTTTGTTGCTATTATTACTCTATGTATCGCTTTTATGTAATAGTCTCGTATCTCCAAGTATCAACAGCACGCTAATAAATTTACAATTTCAGCTGATGCCGATGAAAATTGGACCACGTTACAAAGGAGGATAGAGTCTGAGTCACTACAATGGCGTCAGTACAATGCTTTTAGTCGTCAGCTAACTTTACGACTTGCTTTACGTTATAGAGATAAAACAGTAAGCTTTGAAACATTATACTTTTATTTTGGCGCATTTGGTTCAAATCGATTGATTTGCGCAATTACAGATTGTTTCTCCGACGAGGGCAACCGTTAAAACCGAAGCTTATTTGGGATACCAACGGGAAATGTTGGAAATCATTGATATGTTTAACAGATGGACGCAGTGGCTGACTCTACTCGTAAGTATGTTTTAATTATTATTTTTACTTTCAGCCAACACTACAAAATAGTTATTTTTTTTAATGTTTAGGTGAAAGAAACTCATAACCTAAAGGAGATTCCTGGCAGCAGTGTTCCTTTGCACGAAATGTGAGTTTATACGTTTTCTTCATTAAAAATAATTGAAATTTGACAATTTACTGTCTTTATTTCTTAAATACGAGTATATGAAAAAAACTTTATGCAATAAAAAAGTTTTAAATTCTGAATGGGTAAATTCAACTTCTATAATAAAAACTTTTAGAGTACCTTTGTGATTAATCTAACAAAAATTCATTAGCTTTAGTATTTGCGACCTCGGAATTATTTGGAAACTACGGTATAAAAACATATTTTTTTACTATAGTCGTTGGAGTTATTTAAGAGAGAAAATACGGAAACACTCTGAAGACTGGACGAAATACAATCTTCATTTGAAAGAATGTTGGCAACACAAATATAAGTCACTGATAGCAGGTCAATAAATTTTCTTATCACCTTTTTTGTCTAAAATTTAAAAATCACCGTTGTAATTACCACGCTCACCGATTACTACAGTACCAGTTTGAAAATAAACGTAGCGAGAAATAGTTAAATAATAACGTAAAAATTTTTTGAAGTAATCTCTAATTTATAAAATAAAATTGTATATTCGGGCAAGATTATCGACTTGAATAGGTCGAGGTTGAAGTTTTAATTAAATTGAATTAAGTGTGACTCAACCATAAAGACGGAACGCATAGGTGTTTCGCGCCAAAAAACATTAAGGATAGTGGTGTACCTAGTGCGGGTCACAATACGACCCATAGACTAATTATTAAACTGCTTATTAAAATGCTATTTTTTTGTTATATTTTTATTATTATCATCTTTTTAAAATCATTTAAGTTTTTAGTGCTTAGGTAAACGAGCTCACGGCTCGCCCACTCTGACATGTACATGTGGGTTCTAAGTCTCAGATCAGGCGGAATAGGTGGGGCGGTGGTACAGACACGTGAGGGCTCACAAACTTACTACTATAAACGTCAACTTATGACTTAAATACTGGTATGCTAGAGTTTTTTTTTATGATTAAGAGTTCACTGGTGGCCCTGAAGCCTTTCCAGTTTCACCAGGACAGGTGGGCGAGCAAAGGCTCAGCCAGGACGGTTGGGATTTGCTAATAGCTGCCCAAGCGCCTCCGAAGGAGACCTAACAACTCAAGCTCCTTCGCGAATGAATGCTAGAGATACTGGTATGCTTAGAACAAAGAGTATTGTTATTATTATAGATTGGTTACCGCCGTGGAATGGGTCGGGGCCCGTGTGGGTGATGAGCGCGTGTGGCGCTGTACCCAGTGGTGCGGTTTCGGCTGGAGTAGCTGGCGGTGAACTTATTTGGGTTGCCAGAACTACACACAAGTAAGTCAATTAATCACATCATACTTTTCTATTTGTTTTAAAACTTTTAAAATAATACAATCATGTATTACAATGTATAAGTAGACTCATGCATAGCACAGGATTAATCCTAAGTTGTTTTTTAATTGTCATTTTTATTACCCATTCTTCTACACTTTTGTTTAAAGCGATAAATTAATATGTAAATAGTGGACTCGTAAAAATTTAAATACCAATAGAAATTATCGTTGTCTCTCATTGAAATAATTAAACAAATTAAAAAAAAATTAATGTTGTGATAGTTGGACCTTATAATAACTCCGCGTAGGTTTATACACTTTTCTATTATTTATTTACTCTTTTTACCCACAACCATAAAAACGTTCCTTCGTGCTTGAAACGAATTTAACATGATTTGTGTGAGTCTGTCATACAAATTACAAACTCCATTTTGAACTATTCCTTTTACGTCTTCTTTAGAAACAAAGTGTTGCCAGCGGCGCTTCATCCATCAAAACATTGTTGCATCGTGTACGCAGATGGTGGCGCTCATTGCTATACTAAATATCAGGTATATTAAGTATCAGCTACTCGTAATATAGCTACAATTACTATCGTACGTGTTTTGTTTTATATTAATGTTTATGTATTTAGTTTGTATTATTTTTAGAGATTAAGTATCGCCATATTTGAATATTATTTTCTTGACAATATCTACAAACAGCTTTAAGTTAAATAATACTAGTTTCACGGTTTAATCTATAACACTATATCCTTAGTCCTCCGTGAATACGACAACAAATTTTATGATGACAACAGAAAAACCCGAAACTAATCCGTAAAAGTAGTTACTAATTAACTAAATATGTCTACGACTCTTGAAAGCCGTAGATGGTACTAGAGTTTGACTTAATAAAAAGCACCTCATCAATTTTGAATCTTTTTCATTTAAAATATATTTTTTTCTATAACTGAGACGCTTTTTGTACCCGTCCATATTTACTGATGAGACTAAACTAAGAATATATCAAGTTTTCCATGTTTAATACGTAAATATAAATGAAAAATGAAATACAGGAACAACTCCCCCGATGCCGGAATTACAGCAAGTAGTAAAAATCAGAACTCATAATTTCATCAAATTTTTGGAACGAAGTTCCTTACGGCAGGCTTGGAGGAGATAGGGATTTTGCTGCGCGACCGAACTGAAAAAAAAGTGATAGTAAAACCGTAAGAAAAAGTCCGTGGAATAAAATCGTTAAATGAGACGTGCGCAGGCGCGACAGTCGTATACACAAGCGAGTAGTGTATTACCTTTTTCTTTCTCCTTCTTTTTGTAATTATTTCTATTTCTATGTAATTTTATGTTGTTAAACAAAAATAATAAGACATATTTTGTTATTTTGATTGATAATTTTAATTACGATTTCTTTTTTATTTTACGTAATTTATTATTTCCTAAAATACTGAATTTCCTAAATACTTTCCTGTACTTAAATAAAAACTAATCAGCTAAATTTAAGAGAAAAATCAAGAAAACCTACACAAAATTGAGCACGTTTTCTTTTTTGCAAATTGTGTCGATTCTACATTAGCCGAAGGAACTTCGTTCCTACCTGGTGTCCCACGACACCACATCTTTTTTATTTATTTATATATTTGTGTTGTTCCTTAAGGTAGGGCTCTTTGTAAGTCTGCACAAGTAAGTACTACCATCCCCCCTATTCGTGTAAGCAGGCATTACTCTTCGGGTTTGGAAGAGTATACCGGTATGCAATTCGTGAGTTCAGTTCCGTTAACTTTAGGTCCTGTGTGCTTAGTGCGAGTTTTTTAACGTTCTCGATAGCGTAAAAGTTAGCTCATATTTGTATGGAATGGGATCGTTTACGCACGTTTGCCGCTAGGGGCGCTGTTCCAACTGCATAAAAAATTGGCTTAACTTTTACGCTATCGAGAACGTTAAGAAACTCGCACTGAGCAACACAGGTGCCTATCGAAGGTTTTTTTTATTGCTTAGATGGGTGGACGAGCTCACAGCTCGCCTGGTGTTAAATGGTTACTGGAGCCCATAGACATCTACAACATCAATGCGCCGCGCACCTTGAGAGAAGTTCTAAGATCTCAAATATAGTTACAATGGCTGCCCTTCAAACCGAAACACATTACTGCTTCACGATAGAAATAGGCGGTGTGGTGGTCTACCCGTGCGGACTCAAGAGGTCCTACCACCAGCGAATGCAACATATTATACAGGTGATGTGCGGGGCGGCAGCGCAGTGGGTGTCGTGGCGGGGCGGGGAGGAATGCGGCCGTGCGGTGCGAGCCGGCGGCGGCGAGGCGGGCGGCGTGCTGGTGGGGCGCGTGCAGCACCGCGGCGACCACCTGCTGGGTCCCGTCCTGGCGCCGCACTACCGCTGCCACCTCCTCATATACGGACGACCGTTCGCCTTCAACTGTTACGAGCTACTCGTGCTTGCCGATGACGTTTCGACTTAGTTTCGCGTACAACCAAAATTTGGGAGACTTTTCTATTTTTGGGGGACGTCGATAAATTACTAAACACAGAAGAGTTTAAAGTGTATGCGGATGTGTGTTGTTGTATGACTTTTATTTTATATGAAAAACATTTCAGACTTGTATTTATTAAATGTTGTATTTTAAAAATAAAATTTATTCATAAATTATATTTCATTGTATTTAATTGTCGCCTACTTTCACGGCGTTTTCGATTTGTTCGTCTCCCGGTTTATTTTCTACTACAACTTTTTCGAGCACTCCTTTTGTCCCGGACAGCCGGACGAGGTCGCCGGTCCGGAAGATCTCTGTCGCATCGGTAGCGCCGACGATACACGGCAAACCATACTCGCGAGCGATCACAGCACCTGTGACAAAAATTCATGTAGAGAGCCATCTAACGGTGGCTTTAGTTGCAAATGTGTATACATCCTAATAATATTCCAATAATCAATAGCGTTGGTTCCTTTCTAACACATAGATTATATTCCAGACTGCCAATAAAAAATTAATAAAAAAAACTAGGAAATTTCTGTCCAGAGTGAAGAACAAATATAAAGCCATCTAGCGTTGAATTTAGTTACGGCTATATATATATATATATATATATATATGCATCGTCCCACAAACATACAGTTATATTAAAATATATTGCAATAATTGCTTTCTAGAATTTACTTACCGTGTGAGATAAGGCCGCCTAGTTCAGTGACGATTCCAGTCAGCAACGGGAAGTAGGGGGACCAGCCGATGTCTGTCGCGTGCGTTATCAGCACGTCGCCTTGTTGCAGTTGATCGACCTAAGCAAACGATCATTGCTTTCAAATCCAACTCTTTACAGGATCTTAATGATAAAATGGCATACGCATCAAATTTAGAACTTCCTCACTCATCTGGATTTAAGTGTTTCTTGGACTTGCTTTCCGCCTCCCACCACGACACATGAGGTTGTTTTTTCAATTGTATTTTATCACAGTTGTTCCAGCCTTCAAACCCAAGCACACGGATGCTTTGCAGTGGCAATACATATGGCAAATGTAACGTAATATATAGAAGGTTCTGCCATAATATCTATGAAATTGGGTATGTATAAGCAGTAGTTAGAGATGGCCAGTATTGCGTGCCCGTGTCCGGAAAGAATAGCTGGATTTATATCTTTTTTTTTTTAATCATCAGACCTTATTACTTACTGGTGGTAGGACCTCTTGTGATTCCGCAAGGATAGGTACCACCACCCTGCCTATTTCTGTCGTGAAGCAGTAATGCGTCTCGGTTTCAAGGGTAGGGCAGAAGCTTTAACTATACTGAGACCTTAGAACTTATATCTCAAGGTGGGTCGCGCATTTACATTGTAGATGTCTATGGGCTCCAGTAACCACTTAACAGCAGGTGGGCTGTGAGCTCGTCCACCCATCTCAGCAATAAAAAAAATTTAAAATGAATTAGCAGATGAAAGTTCTTACTTCAGAAAGTTCTTTGACGACACAGGCTCTGGCCACTACCTCTCCGCCGCAGACGGAGGTCGCTTCGATTCTGACGTCACCGGCCCTGACCGAAGGACCTTTTGCTTCTAGAGGCGCTATCCATCCATTATTCAGTTCGTTGAATTTCAACTTGCACCATTTCGGGTAATACTGCTGGCGTTGGATTGCCCTAGTAAATTGATGAGCTTGAAACACAAGTGGGGGAATACTTTCGTTCGATCGAATCGTGAGATCTTGATCAATGGTATCATAACAAAGCTTTAAGACGTACACTTAATGACCATTCCTTTTGACGTGACAATGTCTTAAAATTCGATGGAGCCGGCTGCACGCACGAAAAAACATGACTCATGCGGCGTTACCTCGCTCTGAGGCGTACATGTTTTCGTCAAGTATGAAGTTCAGTGAAAAGTGAATGTGGTGTCAATTGTTTATAGCAACGATAATTGCGATAATTGAAAAATGAAACCATTCCATCAGTACTTTCTTATGACGTTGTCACGTTCAACTATCGTCAGTAAACCGACTTTACAGACAACCGATTTGTTTTAGATTTACTGGGAAACCCGCATGTATAGATGATATCTATCCTTCACGTCTGCTTCTATCACGAAGTAGTCATACGTTCCAGTTTGCAGTTTATAACAGCCTTTATATAATATCATTAGGTCATTGACCTCAAGTCTTACAGTGAGTGATGATGTCTATGGGCTACTGTAACCACTTCAAAACAGAAAGGCGAACTCGATTACCCATTTATGCAATAAAAATATAGAAAAGAAAATTTAAGCGATTATACGAATTATTTCTGAGAAAAGTTTGCTGATTGATTGCTGCGGTCAAAATGCTTGCAAATTTTTCTCATGTATCTTTGTTACTTGATGTGACGATTATAATTATGTGCTTACTTCTTTAACAACACCGGATCTCTTTTCCTAACATACTCTTGGAGTTCGCCCAGCCTGAAGAAAAATACCAAGTCTGGATGCGGCAGATACCATTGGCGTACCAACATGTCGCCGAGCCGTAATAACGCCAATCGCATTTTATGTGCAGCCAGAATGAGGTGCGCTTTGGTGCCCTCGCGGTGGCGAACCGCTCTCCTGCAGAGAGGCAACACCCATCGTAGGACTTTCCTAAAAAGAAAAACTCTGTATAAGAAATGAATACTTAAGTAAAGAATTTTTATAGCACTAGGCCAGGAGCTCCCAAACTTCCCAAACTTATTATTTTTTTTTTTTATTGCTTAGATGAATGTACTGCCCACTTTGAAAACAAATTATTTTTAGCGCCCCCATTTTTTTCACCTACTTAAAAACCAGTATAGCGAGAGCTCAGTTAGTGTCTAAGAGTCCTAGATGAAATTACAAATCGCCTCCCAAGACTACACAAGGCCCCCATTTTTTCTGAGTCTCTTACCGCTCTCACGGCCTGTAGCGCCCACAAGGGGGCGTTATCGCCCACTTTGGCAAAGGTTGCACTAAACGAACCAAACGTGAATATCACCCCCCACCGTGAGACATGGGATACATCGAAATGTCAACTGTATAACAGCTGTCCCAGTCTTCGAAGTGGATCGAATGCTCGCTTCGCTGTATTTATAAGCAGAATGGTGGATAAGACCTACCCGTGCGGCCTAAAGAAACTACCAGAAGTCAAGATTAATTAGATAAATTAGTTCGTTCTGCGTGAAATGAAACGTATGTAACGTATTTTTACAGAAAAATACACAGAAGTACAATATTCCAATGTCTTATAATACCTAATGTTATTATAGTATTTATACTATTATGGTAGGTACCGAAGTCGTTTGTGACGACGAAAAATGTAAAATATTCAAAACGTCCACAATAATATAATGATAATAGAAAACAAACGCGATAATAAAACACAAAAGTAGTTTTAATTTGATAATGCTTCATCGTGGAATTTATTTGAAAAAGTGAGAGACCCTTGTTCTTCGGATCTTCAGACTTAACAGCGCCCGTTTTGGGTGATGACAAATGTAACTTCAAATTTATTCGTCAAAACACGTACGTACCTGGTGCTGTTCTTCTTAGGGGTGGTCAAGGAAGCGATGACTTCGTCTGTTGTCTTAGATTGTTGTGGTTCCTCCGGTGAAGAACGTAGGTTTTGTAGTATTTTCATCATTTCTTCCGGGACCAATATCCATGGCTTCGTGTATAAATCAAACTGAAATAAAAAATATTATCTTAAGTGGATATTTCTAGTTCGTGAGCTTCGTAATTGTAGTAACACTTTGTAGTGTTCCTTATAAAAGGAGGTAAACGAATGTGATGCAAAAGTATTTTTTTTTTAAAATGGTCATAAACAAAATCTCGGGTAGACATTACCGGTAGGTAAAATAAGTAATAAGATTTTTACGTATAAAATCAATTGCCCCCAAAAACAAAGTCGAATCTTTAAATATTTTTTATATGAAGCTTCATTGTTTCTTTGAGCTTTATTGATAATTAACTCTGTGTTAAAAGGTTTTTACTGGTGGTAGGACCTCTTGAGTGTCCGCGAGGGTAGGTACCACCCCCTGCTTATTCCTGCCGTGAAGCAGTAATGCGTTTCGGTTTGAAGGATGGGGCAGCCGTTGTAACTATACCTGAGACCTTAGAACTTATGTCTCAAGGTGAGTAGCGTTGTAGATGTCTATGGACTCCAGTAACCACTTAACATCAGGTAGGCTGTGAGCTCGTACACACATCAAAGAAAAGAAAAAAAAAGGAACGAATGAAAGGTGTTGTTGAAGTCTATGGGCTCCGATAACCACTAACAGCAGATAAGCCGTGAGCTCGTCCATCCATCTTAGCAATAAGAAAAAGAAATACATTTTTGGATGCATAAGAAAAGTCAAATGTTTCCCTTTTATATTCTACTAGCAAACCCAACAAACGTTGTCCTGTACACACGTCTTAAAGCGCATAATTTCCAACTTTGATTCTAAAATATTAATAAAAAATAAATTGCAATGGACCGAATGGTGAATCTCAAACATTCTCTAATATCCACACGACCACACAAAAAAAAACATCAAAATCAGCCCAGCCGTTTAGGAGTTCACTAGGATAGACAGCGACAGCAGAGTTATAAGATAGGCTATATCATAATAGGCTAATAATAGGCTAGATAATTTACTAATAAAACTTTGTATTGCAATTCTCAGTGAAGGGATTTTTTTTATTGCCCTTTTAGGCAGACGAGCATACGGCCCACCTGATGGTGAGTGGTTACCGTCGCCCATGGACTTCAGCAGTGCCAGGGGTAGAGCCAAGCCGCTGCCTACCGTTGAGTACTCTCCACAAGCCTCGTTTGAAGAAGGACAAGTCATAGCGCTCGGGAAACACCGTGGAGGGCAACTCATTCCAAAGCCGGATGGTGCGTGGCAAAAAAGATCTTTGGAAACGCACTGTGGATGACCGCAGTGGATCCAGGTAGTATGGATGAACTCTACACCGGTGGCGGGCGGTGTGATGGTAAAAACAAGATGATGGAATCATCTCAAATAATTCCTCAGAGCACTCCCCATGGAACATGCCGTACAAAATGCAAAGAGAAGCGAAGGAATATGTTTTATTGAGTGAAAACTTCATATAGAGACTGTTACTACCTCCATGATAGCCCTATATCCATGGTGCTCGAGGAATGTGCAAATGTCTAGGTAAATATGAGGGAGATTCCTTTTCAACCATCTCAATGCGTACTTCGGGTCTTGGGCACGAAATTCGTCCATCAGCCGGGATTTTTCTAATTGCCTAGTTAAGTTTGCCAAACACTGTGGAACCTCTGCTGATAACACATCTCCGGAGCTTAGCAATTTGCTGATCTCATTACATTGTTCTGGAGTGAAGTCTGAAAAAAATAATTACATCACTATTTTTCAGAACTTTAATATGAATACGAAAATATTTTTGAAGTATCCGAAATTGATCCTTATTTTGGTAGGCGTTAACTTAACAAAACTATTGAATGACTTCCTCTCATCATGATCATAGGCCACATTTTAAAGTAAGGCGAAGAGAATATAATTACACCACAGTTTTAACCGTCTCTTCTTCGGTATTTTATCGGTTTTCGCGATACGTACACATCATTAAAACTATTTTTACCGGCTTAAGTTCGCGTTTTTAATTATGATTATCTGCATTCCGACGTTTCGTCATCACGAATACTGTAAAGTAATCGAAACATGAAGATGAGTGCTCTGAGGAATTGTTTGAAATGATCCCCTCATCTCCTTTTTATAATCGCACCTCCCGCCATCGGAGCAGAGTTCATCCATATTATCTGGAACCACTGCGTTCATCGACAGTGCGTTTCCAGAGGTCTTTTTTGCCACGTACCATCCGGCTATGGAATGAGCTCCCTTCTACGGTGTTTCTCGAGTGCTATGACATGTCCTTCTTTAAAAGAGGCTTGTGGAGAGTATTAAGCGGTAGGCAGTGGCTTGGCTCTGCTCATAGCATTGCTGAAGTCCATGGGCGACGGTAACCACTCACCATCAGGTGGGCCGTATGCTCGTCTGCCTACAAGGGCAATAAAAAAAAACATAAAAAGAACGCGAGATTAAACCGTAAAAGCGGTTTTAATTACAGCTCTATATTACCTGCACTCCCTTCCATGAGTATGGTCATAGCTATAATCTGACTGGACGTGCTGGCCACGGTGGTCACGCTGTGATTGTACGTCAGCTCGCCAATCAAATCTTCACATTCAGCAATACTTTCCAGTAATTCGATTGGTTCTTTGGCGTTCGTTCCAACTTCTAGATCTTTCGCTTTCTTAACTGTATCGTTTAGTTTCCATTTCGAAGTCAATATAGACTGAAACGTGAATTAATTTTAAAAATACATTTTGTGTGTTACGTTTTTTTGTAATTCTTTCTTAAAAAATAACAGCGTAACCACTTTATCGTTCAATATCTCCATTGTATTTCATAAATAGAATTCATTTAAATAATATCAAAATAAATTCGTTATTTGGGTCTTTAACATAAACAGTCAGAGCGGTTGAGAAATTGTTTTAATTCATAAAATGCAATAATTAGACTGCTTTTTATTCAAAAGTTTACTACAAAAAATTACAATATTGTACTACAAACAACAGGGCAAACACTAATCTTTAGTGACTTTTAAATTAATTAAAACTATTTTTACGAACTAATTATACGTTTATTGTTTTCGTTTTGTTATTTATATCTGGAGTTTCGAATACCTTACAATTTACGTGTTGTAAATACCGAAGATTTGTATGTTTTTTCTTCGGTTCTAGATTATTTTAGTTCTGTACTTACCATAATCATATGATGAATCAGCCTTATTCGATCAGTCCAGTGCGGTTTCCTGCGAATCAGCGCGGTCTTGTGAATGTTTTCGTCCGCTATTTTGTGTCCGTTTATGGCCATTTCCATCATTCGTATGTTAGTGTCTAGCTTTTTTGGTACTCTTCGATAAACTGACTATAAAAGGAAATGTAAACAATGAAAATTATGAACATGATGATGGTTGATGAATCGTTTATAAATTGATGAATGACTAGCGACCCGCCCTCGTTTCGATTCGGAAACATTAAAACACACATGAAACAAAAAAAAAAAAAAAAATTAAAAAAAGTAGCCTATGTTCATCAGGGACAATGTCGGCTTCTAATGGAAAAAGAATTTTTCAAATCGGTCCAGTAGTTTCGGAGCCTATTCGAAACAAACAAACAAACAAATCTTTCCTCTTTATAATATTAGTATAGATGAAAACTTCATTCGGAAAATATAATATTCATTTGTTAGGTGACATGAGTACAATACAAGAAATGAGATCATTTATTTGTTTTTTTGAAATATCTGCAAGGTTTGAATGAAATGAGTTTATAAGGGGAAATCTAAAAATAGCTCCAGTAAGAAACAATAAAAGAGTGGAGGATTACGGTCATATAAGCATTTTATGCGATAAGAGCATAATCGTGTGGCCAAAAACTCAGGGCGAGTGTGATGAAGCTTAAATTTTCCATTCATTTTCGTTACTCTGTAAATTACAATTTACTCATTAATATTTTCATTGCTCTGTAAATTCTTCGATAAGAGAATAGGTTATGTACACTGCGCTGTAATTACGGTTTTATGAAAGACTATCCGTACTCGTCCGCTTCGCTGGGCATTTAAAATTAACATTATTATTTATTGTCATTACTATTAGGGAGTCCAACACTCATATAAATATTAGGCTATCCATTAAGTACATGTATTTTCTACATTTCAGTAGTTATAACGGAACATCCGTAAAAACCGCTGTAGATTTATATATTAGTATAGATTCTAACATTATACAAAGATATAGCGCATCTGTAGTGGCTGAGCGTTAGACTGTGGTCGTACTGGCTGCCGTTTGTGATTATGGCTCGGTCCATGCTCCATATCAGCGGACGTATCACCAAATCGTAGCTTAGCGGAGTTACAGGCTTCGGAAGAACCTGTAAACGATGACCTAAATTTGACAACGAACAGAATATTATATTTTAATGTCAGGAGTTGTGTTATACATGCGTATATTTATGTCGAATTTTTAATTATTTAACTATATTTTGAATCGTATCCTTGTCACGACAAGCCACGCTTCGCTGTGATTGTCACTAAATTCGAATATACGAAGTGCTATTCGTATATTTATTGTAACAACTTGTATATCATATGAAGCACCACAGCCCACTGAGTTTTTCGCCGGCTCTTCTCAGTGGGTCGCGTTTCCGATCCGGTGGTGGATTCGGCGAAGCACTGCTCTTACTAGGGTCAGTGCTAGCATCACTCCGGCTTGAGCCCCGTGAGTTCACCTATTAGTTAAGGTTACGCTGCAATAGCCTCTCAAGGCTATCAGCTTGGGTAGGAAAAAAAAATGAAGCACTAATGTGTTTCAGTTTAAAGGGTGTACTGTTCTGTAAAAACTGAGCCTTTGAACTTATGTCTCTAAGCGGGTAGCGGCATTTACGTTGTTCATGCCTATCGGCTCCGGTAACCACTTAACACCAGGTCTCATGGCTCGTCCACCCACCCAAAACATTAAAAAAAACTTTAAAAAGATATATTGAAATATGATCGTAATTTAACAAATAATTACAGCAAAATTTTTTCAAAAAAGAACCCTCACCTCTCCAGTGTTGCCGAATGTGGTCAGTTCGTTATCTGCCATAATCGGAGAGTCGACTTCGTGTAGTAGCTCTTCTTCAGTCCATCGTTCTAAGGACGTAATCGGCCGCGCTTGCAATAAATACACTTGATCCTAAAAAAAATAAGCGTATTTATGGAACACGACTATCATGTCTATGTTTATTTTTTATTTTTTCATTCCTTAGATAGGCGGACGAGCTCATAGCCCACCTGATGTTAAGTGGTTACTGGAGCCCATAGACATCCACAACGTAAATGCGCCACCCACCTTGAGATATAAGTTCTAAGGTCTTAAGTATAGTTACAACGGCTGCCTCACCCTTCAAACCGAAACGCATTACTGCTTCACGGCAGAAATAGGCGGGGTGGTGGTACCTACCCGTGCGGACTCACAAGAGGTCCTACCACCAGTAATTACGCAAATTATAATTTTGCGGGTTTGATTTTTACACTGTGTGTATGTACAAGCTTTTTTTAAGTTCACGGACGTCCACTGTTGAACATAGCCCTCCCTTAAGGTTCGCCACAATGACCGGTCCTACGCAACCTGAATCCGGCGGATTCCCGTGACTTTTAGCAAGTCGTCGGTCTACCTCGTGGGAGGCCTACCCACACTGCGCTTCCCGGTCGACACTCGAGAACTTTTCGGCCCCAGCGCTTATCTGTTCTGCGATAAATATGCTCTGCTCAGTTTGTATAAAATCATAAAAATTAAGTATCGTCGGTTCTTCATTGTGGCTTATGCGATACACTGATATAATTACGTTAAATATGAATATGCGTTTCAATACTTAAAAAATAAAATTAAAAAAATGCACATCACGGGCGCATTAACCATCTTAAAGTAATAAGAAAAACGAGACAATANTTATCTGTTCTGCGATAAATATGCTCTGCTCAGTTTGTATAAAATCATAAAAATTAAGTATCGTCGGTTCTTCATTGTGGCTTATGCGATACACTGATATAATTACGTTAAATATGAATATGCGTTTCAATACTTAAAAAATAAAATTAAAAAAATGCACATCACGGGCGCATTAACCATCTTAAAGTAATAAGAAAAACGAGACAATATCAAATATTTTAGAACGGAACTTGAAAGTTTTTTAGCCATTGAAACACACAATAAAAGGCATATCGGGTAGTTAAATGCCAATGTTGTCAGGGGTATAGCTAGGCCGCTTCCTATCTCCAGTACTTGCTTAAACCGAAATCGAAGACCAAGGGAAGCTAATTACCAGGCCTTGATAAAACGGGGACAGAATATTCTCTTTACTTACGCCACTTATAGCCCACTCTATATCCCTCCCGGCCCCCCAAAGTTCCTCTTGTACAACGCCCAGTCGAGCTAGCTTAAGTACTTCGGTGTCATTCAAACAGGCAACACTTCTTTCTTTTTCCGGAACGTCTTCTGTAATGACTCCGCCGCTGGATGACGCAACGTGGCGTCGCGTTTTAGATCCTAGTTCCCTTTTCTGGATAGTGAGGACGCCGTTTGGTTCTCGCTTCACGATTATCGTGTCGGGCTCTACGGTACCGGAGACGACGCTCTGCGAATAGTACAGATGGTAATTGGGGCAAAAAAGTTAATGTAGATCTGGTGATACAAAAAAAAATATCCTTATTTGATATAGGTAATGCTACTACGAAAATTAAATAGAATAATCTTTTAGTCTATTATCATCGTCAAGGGAGAGACGAGTGGTGCTACGCTAAAACTCATGAGTACTTAAATAAAATATTTTTTGTTAATTCATTTAAGGATTATTCAAAATATTATTGCACACCAAAACACAATTAACATAAAAAAATAGTCAACACGCTACATGATACCTATATATTTATACCAAACTAAAAATCAATCTAGATGATGTAAAAAATAGACCCCAAATCGCTGCGCTCGCAGGGTAGGGTGTCCAAGAGGCTGGCGGCATTTCCCCGTTGAGTGGCCAGGCTCAAACTTTTTGAAGATGATGACTATGAAGCTATGGACACCACAACCCAAACGTGAGGAACGACAGCTGCTCCTACTTCTGCTTCTGCTCTTGACAAGATTACTAAGCGGCAGAAACAGATAAGAGTCAGATACCTACCCATGCAGCCTCACAACATGATCTTTAACGTCTTTACGATTAGTTCTTTGATCAAGAAGATAAGTTCAGGTAATTATATTGTACTTTTGCACCTCATATGACTTACGAGTAAATGTGGTATATTTTAATGATTCGCTTCGTTCACGCAGCAGCATTCCGAACTGACTTTTTTTACAGAATCTAAACTGAAGAGTAAACGAATCTTATCCCGGAAAAATGACACGCGTTACAGTGGAACAATAACAATTACCGCGACTTCATGTCTGAGAGACCGCGTGATTTGTCCGAAGAAGCTCATAACACGTTCGCGGCAGATGGCAGTACTCCATTATCTTAAATAAACGTTAGTGCTTACTTCTCCCAATCCATAATTTGCGGTGATGAGTAGCCTCGAAGGATCTCCAGCGTCAGGGTGTCGAGTGAACATGACGCCGGCGACGCGAGGCGACACCAGCGTCTGCACCACGACCCCGCCTCCGCATAAACATACTTGGCCGTTCTGTCTGTTGGAGAAACCACATTTACCTATAGTACCGTCACTACTTACCACTCTCCTCATAGCTCGTCAGAAGGAGGACATAATATAGCGCTCAGGAGAAGGCATGGAGGGAGAGACAAGTAATTTAAAAAGTTGATTATTGTGTTGGTAATCTATCCAAACACGATTGACTTTGTGCAGTTGTTGTTGATACTTCAAGGTTTTCGTCACAGACCACAGTAATATCAATAAATGACAACAGATGGTGTATTTCATATATTTAGCTGCAGTCAATTAACAAAAAACAATTAAGGCTTCGAATTACTGGTGGTAGGACCGCTTGTGAGTCCGCGCGGGTGGGTACCACCACCCTGCCTATTTCTGCTGTGAAGCAGTAATGCGTTTCGCTTTGAAGGGCGGGGCAGCCGTTGTAACTATACTTGAGACCTTAGAACTTATATCTCAAGGTGGGTGGCGCATTTACGTCGTAGATGTCTATGGGCTCCAGTAACCACTTAACACCGGGTGGGCTGTGAGATCGTCCACCCGTCTAAGAAATAAAAAGTCACAATATGTCGTGAACATACAAAGTATAACAGTGTGCTTAGTGCGAGTTTTTTAACTTTCTCGATAGCGTAAAAGTTAACTCATATTTGTATGGAGTTGGAACCTTTGCCTACGTTTGCCTCTAGGGACGTTAAAAAACTCGCACTAAGCACACAGATGGGGACAAGCACAGTCCTCCATCGGCAGTCGGGTAACTAAACCACTAGAACCACTAACTTACTGTTAAATTAATTGTAGTATTATAGTTTATAGGCTAATAGAACCAACCCAAACAACAACACAAACTTTTTTATTGGCCTTGTAAGCGGACGAGCCTACGGCCCATCTCATGGCGAATCGTTACCGTCGCTCAATGACGTCAGCAATGCCAAGGGGACAACCTAGCGGCTGCCTACCGCCGAGTACTCTCCGTAAACCTTGTTTAAAGAAGGACATCTCATAGCGCTCGGAAAACCCCGTAGAGGGGAACACGTAAAATGACAACCGTACCTGCGATAATAGGTACTTGTGAACTCAAACATGGAGCCCCAGCACTTCTGGACCGCTCGTATCACGTCGTCGTCGGTGACACAACCCAAAATTGTTTCGTTCTGTCCAGCAGCAGATAATGCCTCGCTATCTTCGCCGACCGCTAAAACGAAATGTTTAGTACAGGTACAAGTAGGTACCGACCTCCGTGCTCATGTTCGCAACGAACCCGCGACTCCGCTTGAGCCAACGAATTTTTTTTTTATTGCTTAGATGGGTGGACGAGCTCACAGCCCACCTGGTGTTAAGTGGTTACTGGATCCCATAGATATCCACAACGTAAATGCGCCACCCACCTTGAGATATAAGTTCTAAGGTCTCAAGTATAATTACAACGGCTGCCCCACCCTTCAAACCAAAACAAATTACTGCTTCACGGAAGAAATAGGCAGGGTGGTAGGTGGTAGTACCCACCCACGCGGACTCACAAGAGGTCCTACCACCAGTAAGTCGAAGCCTTAATTGGATCGTTATACAATTAACACTAGTCGTTACTATCCCACCCTAAAAACCGGAAGAAGTAGACTGATGGCGCGACTAGCAGAGATAATGGGGCTTGTGAAGAGTACTTAACGGCAGGCAGCGGCTTGGCTCTGCCCCTGCCATTGCTGATGTCCATGGGCGACAGTAATCACTCACCACCAGGTGGGCCGTATGCTCGTCTGCTTACAAAGGCAATGAAAACGCCTAGTTAAAACAACCATTGACAACTTACTCAATCTGGAGCGTCATGTCTATAGTTTTTTAAAACTGTTAGTATTGTAGCTGTTGCAAGTCTTTAGAGTTTCAAGGGACCTAACTTAGATTCCAACGTCCTATCTTTTTTTACCGCGATCCAATCATGTGTTTCGGCTTAGATTAAAGGATAAATTGTCCTAATACAATCTTCACTGACCTCATATCTTAATGTGAATGCATCTTTTATTGATTAAATATATTTCAAAATTCAAGCCTTATTTTAATAGATAAAATTTACCTGAAGATCGGACGGCAAATCGCAACTCCTGTGCGTCTTTCAGCTGTGCGGATTTGCTCCTCAATTCCTGCATATATTCTAATATGTCTTTCTTTATATCTGCGCTTAATTCTAAAGCCAAGAATAATGATGAAACTCTGTAAGAATAATGATGTAATTATGGTCAAAATATACATTTTGCAACGTGTTATTTATAAATTTAACTATACCTACTTTTCTTTAATAGTGACAATATACATTAAATGGCACTAATTGGTGTAGATAAGTGACCTTTACGACGACTTTTGTTGAAAAGAATTCGAGATTCAATAAAAATAGTGCACTGGTTTTTTTTTTAATAGTATCACTAATTGCGACATAGTGTTTATGCGTCGAATATCGATCATATGTTATAATACATACGTACTTCTGACATTGTTCTTTGAAGTAAGCCTCCTCATAATTTTCATTAGCTGCCTCTATATCTTGTATAGCTGCTTTCAGTTCAGTATGCAATTGAAGATGTTTCTCCAGTGCTTTAGTTGTTATACAAAAACCCGGTGGCACCCGGTATCCCTAAAAATATTATCGAACGTATAAATTGATAAAATAGATTAATTATAGCAGAAACTCTTATCAATATGAAATTAATTAGGGAGTTTAAACAAAATTCAGTGACTCTGCTTTATAATATATATTAAAGCAAAGAAATCTAATGGACCAATATTATTCAAGACAGATATTTTCGCGCATCAACTAATCTAAGATATTATAAAAACTTATTTTTCTACTATTGGCATATTAGATATCATCAGTACTACCATTCTTAGCGGCAATTCCTACACACCCTGTATACTTTAAAAAACAACAACACAGTGATATGTTATAAATTAAAAATACATTTCTTCCTTAATCTTATACCTTTAAACGAGCAATTCTTGTATATTAATATATATGTATATAATCTGAATCTCGGAAACGGCTTAACGATTAGGGGATTTCGGGGACGATAAATCGATCTAGCTACGATTTATTTTCTGAAAATCTCTTCCCGACATCTATTGGCGAATAATAATACTATTTTTCTTAATTGAGGGTAACTAACCGCTTTAAAGACACAACAAGATGGCGTTATCAAAAAAAAAACCGAGCAAAGCTCGGTTATCATCTAGTATAATTTAATGAGTGTGTTGCGATATAATCAAAAGAACAATTTCAATTCAGATTTTATTATAACTATAAGAAATACCTGTGAATTTTAACTGACCTCATCATTCTGTACGGAGGTTAGTAGTGCCAAGGATGCTCCTTTCCCGCCGACGTAATCAGTACACGTCGCAGCACGTTCTTCGAACGACAAACAATAGCCGACGAAGCCAGCATCTTTTTTTAACAACCATTTCAAAATGGGCGCTGGAGTGAGACGGACTGATGGCTGAGCAATGACTGTGTGAAGAAGAAGGATAATACTAATCAACAATCTTATTATACACATGCACTATTCAATTTTATATTTGAATTCGTAAGTGCCAAGTTATAGTTGCATACAGTGATACTGGTGGTAGGGCCTCTTGTGAGTCCGCACGGGTAGGTACCACAACCTGCCTATTTCTGCCGTGAAAAAGTAATGCGTTTCGGTTTGAAGGGCAGGGCAACTATTCTGAGACCTTAGAACTCATATCTCAATGTGGGTGGCGTATTTACGTTGTAGATGTCTATGGGCTCCGGTAACTACTTAACACCAGGTGGGCTGTGAACTCGTCCATCCATATAATATGCAATAAAAAAATATGTATGTTTTATGCACGATACAGGCTTGCCTATTGTAAACGCCACACTGTAATTAGATTTCGATAAAATTATAAATTGTTTTACGTTTATGTATTTGCTATGCCTATCGCAAATGTAATCAAATCAAATCAAATCAAATCATAAATTTTTTATTCAACATAAATGAAAGTACATACATACTTGTTGAACGTCAAAAGAACTACCGCCAATTCACAAGAACTAGCCTCCGTCCTGAGAAGAATTGGCAAGAAACTCAGCAGGCATGTCTTTTTTTTTTTTTTAATATGAAATTACTATTTATTTATTTTTTAATATTAGATTTTTTTTTAAATATGAATTTTTTACAATGAATATTATAACGTAACAATTACTACGATATTGAAATGCCCGGAACGAGCAACTCATTCCCACTTTGTGCAATCTTCTAGTCATGATTCACAGATTACAGTTTCGATGTAATTTCAAATGTCTTACAATTTAACATTTGACGACCTGTAAGATGTCAATCCTTCTTCGGAATAATTGGTAAGATTAAGCAGTGAAGTGAGGATGAGATGCAAAATTATAAATAGTAATAATAATTGTAGTTAATGCGAACTTGATCACAAATATATTTTCGTAAAAAATTGCGTTTTTTTTATTACTGGCAAAGTTACTATTAGAGCAGATCAATGACACGCGGGCCTCTGGTTCGTGTCAGTCGCGCAGGTGGAACTTGCGTGGGATTCAAGAACAAACCAGTAGTAAACATCCAGCAGTTTATTGATGGTAATCAAGCGGACAGACAGTACAATAATATTAAATAGAAACTTAAAGTACAGCGTGCAGACCGTGTGACGGCACTGAGAGAAAAGGGAAGTGCGATTTTTTTTTCCTACCTTAGCTGATAGCCTTGAGAGGCTATTTTAGCGGAACCTTAACTAGTAAGTGAAATCACGGGGCCCAAACCTGACGACGTTGCTAACACGAACCCTAGCAAGAGCCGTGCTTCGCAGAATCTACCACCGGATCGGAAACGCGAGCCACTGAGAAGATCCGGCGAGAAATTCAGTGGGCTGTGTCTGAGGGTTCATTTACTCGTCGAGCCCTTCGTCGCAAGCGACGGGTTCGTCGAGAACGGTGACCTGGGAAGAGCGAACCATAGACAGCTGCATTCATACACAATGCAGGACATTCAATATCAAGCCAAAATTTAATGCATACCTATTCACTAGCATTCTTAATAGTTACTAGATTATATGCCATTGGAGCTATTTTGGACAATCAATGCAGTACACATATTGAGAATGAGTTCCCACCGCGTTAATACTTTTAACACATTCGATAACATATTTTTATAGGTATTTATTTACCTTTAGGCAGATAACCAAGCTCCAAGATACCAGAGCCCGCTTCCCCGTCGATATCAGCGACGATCGCGCGGTACACCAGTTCCTGTTGGTACGGAACTCCGCTATAAGCCGTACATCCCTCCTCGCCGATGCGGAGCACAACTTTGAGGGAACGTTCCTCCGCTAAAACCACAATATAGTATACTGTACCCGGCGATAAATATTGCACATCGACCCTGAGAAAGAGACGGTTAATTTTTGCTTCATAGAGCGTTATATCTGGCGCACATTACCTAATTGACATTTAGTCTCTATAGATATCGGATCGTTAGTGTTTCGTCGCACACAGGTAACGCTGTACAACAAAACAAAATTAAACGACTGTCTCTAACTAAATATTGATGTGCAATATTTATTGCCTGGTACTGTACTTTATTTACGCGTTACTATATTACGATGACATTACGATGATGATAGACGACTAGATGGGTTCACGATCTTAAGCGTAATAAACGATCTCGCATACAAATCACAACGTGAAAGTATTGTATGATGTAAATATGACTTCTGTATGGTTGTAATTTTTACTGGTGGTAGGACCTCTAGTAAGTCCGTACGGGTAGGTACCACCACCCTGCCTATTTCTACCGTGAAGCAGTAATGCGTTTCGGTTTAAAGGGCGGAGCAGCCGTTGTAACTATACTGAGACCTTAGAACTTATATCTCAAGGCGGGTGGCGCATTTACGTTGTAGATATCTATGGACTCCAGTAACCTCCTACCACCAGGTGTTATATTCTTAGAACGCTACTGCTCGTTAGATGACAATCACCTTTTTCATCTAATGAACTTGACCGACACGTACGGAAAAAAGTCATTTGTAAAGCAATTAGTAAATAGAAAAATCAAATTAAAACAAAACACACATTTGATAAACTGTCACGCTCACCGATTGCTGTACGTTTATGGTACTATGACATAAAAAAAACCCATGAACCGCCAACATTGGAACACCTACATACATATATAAAAATGATTGCTGTTCTTTAGTCTCGCTAAAACTCGAGAACGGCTGGACCGATTTCGCTAATTTTGATTTTGAATTATTTGTGGAAGTCCGGAGCAGGTTTAAAAGGTAGAAAATATGAAAATTCTCGGAATTAAATAAAAATAACAATTTTGTTTATCCTTTGATGGGGGACCATCGGACGGATTCCTTTTTATCGATTGAGGCACTAGGAAGTCTGCCGGGTCAGCTAGTAAGCAATAAAGTTAATCTAGAAATTTTAATTTGATATATTAGATTTCAAATTAATTTCATTGTTTATAGATTTAATTGTCGTATAAGAGATTTCATTGCTTATAGGTACTTATGTATGTTATGGTTTCCCATAATAGTGAAAAAATATGACGCGCGATCCGTTTCAATAAACTTATATTTGTAACAGTCGTCCTTAAAAAACCCTGTTAAACTTACTGTATATGTTTATGGTGTAAGCACTTGGTATTCCACCAGGAGTTTCGCAAAAATCGGACATGATCAAATCAGTATCCGTAATAGTCAGTACTCTGTAATCAGGGAGTCTGACACAACCTGACAAGCACCTGAAAACATAATTTTAACGTTGTTTGAAAATAGAAAAGCTTAGAATAGAAAAGTAGATAATAATAATAATTAGCCCTTTAAACTGGGTGAGATTTATCTTTGTGATTGGATCTTTTGGTTTGTTTGTTTATAAGATGTCTCTCAACTCAGTGTGCCTTCTGGCAAAGGCCTCCTCCAGTAGTCTCCATTGTTTTCTATCTTGAGCAACTCTTCTCCATTTGGGTCCGGCGGTAAGTTTCAGCTCATTTTCCCATCGCATTTGTTGACGTCCTCGACACCTCTTGCCATCTCTTGGATACCAGTTCGTTATAATTTGACTCCAAGAAGTAAGAAGGAAAAAGAAAAGTAGAAAGCTAATCTAAATAAATAACAGTGCTTGATATTGTATTTTTCTATCTGTATTTTAATTTTAATTTACTCTAATCTAATTTTTATTTAGCACAAGACTTACTGAGTCAAAACCTTTTTGTAAGACACTCCTCGTAGCACGACAGCGGTACCATCTCTTGCTGACGCCGTTATAGAAAAAGATCTCCGTGTACCCTCATATGCGTGCGGCGCCCAATGCCTCTCTTTCACTCCTCGAGTTTGCAGGTATTCAGTCGTGTCAAGAGCGCCTTCCGCAGTAAACGACTGGAATCGTCCTTGCACGGTTCCCCACTGAAGCCAGCTTCCTTCTTCCCATTTACCTCTGAAAAAGAATAACCAAGTGCTACTAATTAAAATACTCATATATCTTGTGGATATTTAGCATCAAGAAAATTATGAAAATGAAAATCAATGAAAATCATGATGATTTTCGTTTAGTAGGTAATGGCAACATTCATATAATTTTGCAGGCAGGCCACTTGACCTAAAAAGAAATTTTAGACACTATACAATATGGATTGTAATTCTCGCCGGATCTTCTGAGTGGATTGCGATTCCGATCCGGTGGTAGATTCTGCGAAGCACTGCTCTTGCTAGGGCTAGTGTTAACAAAATCTCTCAAATTGAGTCCGTGAGCTCACCTACCCGTCCGCGCAAAGCTGTACGAATAGGCTACCAACGGTAGAGAAAAAACGGATGGTGAAATCGTTCGCAGATCGATGAGTTGAATTTTTTTTTTAATAAGAATACTTACAGCATCGACGACCATTGACTATCTCGCCATGGTTCCAAAGCCAAGGTTTGTGCCGCTAATTTCTCGTTCCAGTCTTTGGGATGCTCTACGGGAACAGAACTCGAGGTCCACCTAAAATTATTATTTAACATGCATAATATCGATCGATCTAAATAGGTTGATCTAAATTAAGCAATCTTTCAACGTTTTTTTTTTTCACAAAAATCAAGACATTCGATTCTTTTCGAAATTTAAACACATATCAAGAAATAGATCGCAATTTTGAACACTCCAGTATTGAAAAATCAAATGTTCGACCAGAGAATCGCTGTTAGTGACAAACATACAATATTTACAATTATTTTTGAGACCTAAACATAAATATACTAACGTTAAATTAAACGTTACATGTTGAGTAACATTGTCTGTTGTTCTTTTTAAAAGACCGTTGTACAAAATTCTCATTCGACAACGGGGCTCTAAAATTTGTATCTTCAGTCCGCCAGCACGCCATCCATCTGTTGTTGATAGCCATGCTCCAACCAGTGTGTCGGGACAATCTGAACAAGGGATTTAATCTGTTATTAACTCTAGCTTTTTTTTCCTCTCAGTAATATTAAGCTTGAAACATTGTTATCGGTTATATTATGTTACGGTAAAAGCGATTATTCCAATGATTATAATAATATATAACAACCGGTAATTTTGTATAATCGCCACTAGTTTTAACAAATATAATAATTTCATGAAAATTCACCATATTAACCGGTTTGTTTGCATAATTCCCAACTCGTAATGGTAAACGTGATAAATTTAAGCAAGTCGAATAAATTGAGACGTCAATTCAATTATTTAAAAAAACGAACAATGAAGCTAAAATCAAACATTAAATATAATATAAAATATTAAGGCCAAATAATAAAACTGAGTTTATTTTCAAAAAGCAAATAGGTAATGTCTGATTAATTACTAGTGTAGCTTATCTCTGTACTAATTTCGTATCAAAGCCAAATATTTTTCTATCAACTTTAATGACATAAGGATATTGGGAATTAATAATAATTAACAAATATATACATATCGCTGTGTATGCCACAGACAGAAGGTAAAGATTAATCGCAATGAGCAACAGTATTATCGCTATGCATATAGGTATTATTTTAACATTATATCTATTATGTAATACAATAATATAACATGCATAATATGTATAATAGAAATGTTTGCTTTGATAAAGCGAAATTATGGAACAATATTCGTCTAATGTCGAGATATAATTTTACTGCTACAAACTTAATGAGTACACTCCCTTAGCTAGTCTCAGCTCACAGGTTCGTATAAATTACTTTTGTATTATTATATACTTTTAAAATAAAATAAATTGATGCATCTATTTACCTATCTATATCTAATATATAAAATTCTCGTGTCACAATGTTCGTTCCCATACTCCTCCGAAACCGCTTGACCGATTCTCATGAATTTTTTTATGCATATTCAGTAAGCCTGAGAATCGGATACTATCTATTTTTCATACCCCTAAGTGATTAGGGTTGTCCACCCATAACATTTTTTTTTTATTTGGACATTTTTTTTGGTTATAATGAGGTTATTATGTGGTTGAATGAGGTTTTGTTATTTTTATTATATATTCCCTCATCGTTCACAGCACTACATACCTCTTTCACTCATTTACCACATCCTTACACACTTACAATAAGTTAGTTTTTTTTTCTACACTAGAAATTCCCTAGATATCTTATATATGGCAAAACAATGTTTGCCGGGTCAGCTAGTAATTTATAAAAGTCGATTTTTGTGTGTTCCCTTGAGACTTCGAAATGGCTAGAACGATTTCGAGGAAATTTAAAGAAATCTACATAATTGCCTAGATTTAACCAACAAATCATCAAAGAACGGGCATCAAAGCGGGCCAGGTTAGACTAGGAAGTAATAAATACAAGCCCGTTGAATTTCTTTCGCCATTTTTCTCGGGGCTTTGAATTTTTTTGGAGACGGTGGTAGAGATCACTTTGACAACAACAACAATGAAACATTAATGCGTACAGGTTGAAAAAGCGAAGTAGCCGTTGTACTATAGAACTCATGTCTCAACGTGGATGAGGGCATTTTCGTTGCTGATGTCTATGGACTCCTGTAACCACTTAACGCGAGATAAGCCGTAAGCTCGTTGACCCGTATAAACACAAAAACAACAGAAGACACTCAAGTTGAATTTGACATAATTTACTTACCCATCAGTTCGTAAGATGTGCCGTCTTTTAATTTTACATACACAATTATTTCAACCATGGGTTGGCGCCCACATAATTTCCGAACTCCCAAAAGCACCGTGACTCCATTAGGCGCTGCAGTGCGAATGGAAATGGAGTCCCAGCCTTCGTGTTGTGGACCACGTGGTGACTCATCTCCGACTATTGAGTGTAAACCAGCTTTCCATCGCTTCACAGCATATCTAGCTAGCAAAAGCTTCAAGGGGTAGTTCCAGCCTGTAATATTGTAATATAGCGAACTACGTTTATGAAAGCAACTATCAACACTATTGCAAACAGAAGGCGAAGATACCTTTTTTAGGAACTAGAGTGATCCCACGTAAATATGTTCAGTGATATTTAAAAAATTCGTGCCCTGACCGGTTTTTTTTTTGTCAGGAAGAAATCGCCGAACTTCCCTCCACTGGGGATGGAGTGCGGGGCATATCGAAGTCGAACTGACTAAAACCTCCTGTCACTCAACATCCAACGTCCAAACCTGCCTATTTCTGCCGTGAAGCAATAATGCGTTTCGGTTTGAAGGGTGGGGCAGCCGTTGTAACTATACTGAGACCTTAGAACTTATATCTCAAGGTGGGTGGCGCATTTACGTTGTAGATGTCTATGGGCTCCAGTAACCACTTAACACCAGGTGGGCTGTGAGCTCGTCCACCCATCTAAGCAATAAAAAATAAAAAATAAAAATCTCGCATGATGCAGAACTCATGAAAAGGCAAAATGAAGCGTTTAGTGCGGAACACATCTCTCCCATCGGGGGAGATCGTCCCTCTGGACGTCGGACCGGCAGTTGTCGGCGCCACGACCACCACCCCTCTCGGTCGGTCGTGCCGGTAACAGGTTCAGTTTTCTCCATGTTCCAATTATTCCGAGACTCAAATCATTGGGCAGGTACCAATTCTTCTACTTAATGTAGCTAATGGTTTGTCAATATTCCACGTACAATGTTGTAGTGTATAAAGTATAATTATAGCTTTTGCAATTACTAGCATCATTTTAATTTAAAATTAATTCAAATACCTAATAAGCCAAATACCAAATAATAATATCCAATGCGACTTTTGCGTACGTTTACAAATATTGATATAGGTAAAGTCACGACAAGAGCGCAACAATATTAAAGGAGTCTGTATTAGTCTGTAAATAAACACACTGCCTAAGTAACTAATTTTTCATTATAACATACAATACATAATCTACAATAATCTACATCACATTGTTCGTAAAGCTTTGATTAAACTTTAGAAACGTTATCTAACAAATAATTTACTTCTAATCAAAATTTAAATACATTGTAGATATTTATGATTGCGGCTGGCTATAATAGTGCAGTGTGCAATCAAATAACACCTATTAAATGCCTAGAAAATGCAAATAGAAGCTAGATGGTTTTCTTAGCATTGGAAATTAATATGCAATTCGTCTTTCATCAACGCAATATAGAATATTCTTTATACATTTTTTTTCCTACCTATTCTAGTAATCTCGAGAGGTTATTCTAGATTCACCGAACTAGTAGGTGAGCTCACGGGGATCAAACCTGATGATGTTGCTAACACGAACCTTAGCAAGAGCCGTGCTTCGCAGAATCTACCACGGGATCGGATACGCGACCCACTGAGTAGATCCGGCGAGAAACTCAGTTGGCTGTGTCTATGCGTTAGTTTACTCGTCGAGCCTTTCGTCGCGAGCGACGGGTTCGACGAGGACGGTGACCGGTTGATACAACTTGAAACTTCTTCCAATTTGAGTATTGTGCAACAGTTTTACAGGAACTTTTGGTACCAGTGGTAATAGGTGTTGTAAATTTTTGTACTGTAAATAAATATGGTAATAACACATCAAAATGTACTAATAGTATTATAGTATTAATATTTAGACAATGTCGCATCCCTTCGAGCTTTATCCGGACAGGTAAATGTCTGTTAGATGCATTGATTACGGTTAGACGTGCGAGTATGGGTACATTAGTGCAGTTCGTTTCACCGGTACCGTAGTACCTTCACGGAGGTAATTCTTTGGTTAATTTCACAAAAAAAAGCGCTAAATCCGCAGAGGCTCGTACATACATATTAAGATACCTACATACACGTTTCATTCGCTGCAGAACCTGTCTAGTTCTGAGAATGAAACGTGTTTTCCAGTTCGAAAAAAGTTAATGATTATTTTCAAGGCCGTTTGTGGTATTTATGTGTTCCTACAAACACAAGTAGTTTCCATTTAAAAAAAAAAAAAAGTGTAAATTGACGGACATTGCTCATAAGTTATGAATGCTAACTCTCAAATATATTAAGTGTATAATCTATGATGCTAACGGTATATTCTTAATAATATAGACAACGGATTCGATTTTTATCGAATACTCAAAATAAAATCTTATGATTCCATACCTGGCAATTTATATTCTCCTCTACGTGCCGGTTGTTTACGTATGAATAACAAATACAAAACCAAGGCTGAAGTAATCAACCCAGCTTGAAGCAACACATCGATAATATCCATATCTATCTGAATAAATGCACATAAATAAATGACGCGAGTCTCTCGTTCGAGAGTCTAATCGTGTTTAGGTCGACGCGTGAACCACAGCGATACTCGAATGTTTTAATCACACTGTTGTCCGGCTGTAGGTCTCACGTGACAGGACCGTAATCAGAATATCAGACATTGCAAGGATACCGAACAATTATAATTTTATTTTATACACGCATCCATTAGATGCAACATATCGTATCGATTGCGGAACATTAAACTAATATTGACAAAATAAATACCAAAACCACAGCACTCTCGCGATGATCTGTTCGGTGGTCACAATTAAAAAGGTGAAAATATAATAAACAAAGACCCGTTTAAGTCACGTCAGCAGATAGCAGTTTAAACATTCATAAAGACATGAAAAACCCAATTAAAGTAAACTGGGTTTTGTGTGAATAGCACCGCTTTTTACAGTTTGGCAGTTATTTAATGTTATGCAGTCGTTGTTTTTTTCACTTTTTTTATAAACTTATCAGGCCCACAAACATGTCTAAATCCGTTCGATTTTGATAATAGCCAGCAAGTGTTAATTATCGTTATAAAGATAGTACGTCAAATACAATCTAAAAAAATATCCACTGCACTCTTCGGTGCGATAAGATTAATGTGTTAAAATCTTTTTTTTTTAAATCCTGTTATAACTATTATTATAACTATAGTAGGTACAATTCGAAATCGAAAATGTCTATTGTCTTTTTATTGTTATAATTTTCCAAGCACGATAAACGGATGTGACGAATACATTGATCCCGTTATGTGACGTATGTGAAATATTTGACGTAACATTTTATCGTAGTGTTACAAATACTCTTTGCATTTTATGTATTATCAATTTCCTGAATTCCTTTCAGTCGTCAGACACGACCAATTTAAAAAGCAAAAATGTTTCAAAAACCTCTTTAATAAACTAATAAAGTTTAAGACACGTGCGAATTAATTATTATATTAAAATTGCGTCTGATTGATTGTTTAAATTGAAAATTACTGTGGTTCAACTACAGCGGGTGATAGTTAGACTTCATCGTCATATCCTAAAGCTTTAATGGATAGTTTGTATTCTTTTTGTTATTGTCGTTGTAGACAAACGAGCTTACGACCCACCTGACAGTAAGTAGTCACCATCGCTCAGCAATGCACAGCCAACCCGCTACCTACTACTAAGGACTCTCCTCGTAAAATATCTGGAAACGTAGTAGGTGAACACAGTGGTTCCAAGAACTCCGATGGCAGGCGCTGCGATGGTAAAAACAAGATGAAGGAATCATCAAACTATTTCTTAGAGCAATCGCCATAAAAAACACGGTATAAAGCGCAGCGAGGAAAGAACCGAAGTCCATGCGTACACAAGATTCCGAGCGATCCGTGTTTTATTTATTTATTGCTTAGATGAGTGGACAAGCTCACAGCCCACCTGGTGTTAAATGGTTACTGGAGCGCATAGACAGACACCTACGACGTAACTGCGCCACCCAACTTGAGATATAAGTTCTAAGGTTTCAGTATAGTTAGTATAGTTACATCGGCTGCCCCATCCTTCAAACCGAAACGCATTACTGCTTCACGGCAGAAATAGGCAGGGCGGTGGTACCTACCCGCGCGGACTCACAAGGGGTCCTACCACCAGTAATCGTGTCAGCGAAGCACTGCCCTTGCTAGAACTAGTGTTAGCAAATTCGCCATGCTGAGCCCCCCTGAGCTCGCCTACATACTCGGTGAAGCTAGTATAACCCCTCTACTAGCATAGGTAGGAAAGAAAATGTATAATAATATGAATTCAAAGTATCTGGTATTCAAAAGCACCGACCCAGAGACGGGAGTAGTAGTACTCCACGTGAGGCCGGGTTTGTGCTTTATAAAGTACTAGCGACCCGCCCTCGCTTCGCTTCGGAAACATTAAAACACACATGAAACCAAAAAAATAAAAATAAAGAAAAATTAAAAAAAGTAGCCTATGTTCATCAGGGACAATGTCGGCTTCTAATGGAAAAAGAATTTTTCAAATCGGTCCAGTAGTTTCGGAGCCTATTCGAAACAAACAAACAAACAAATCTTTCCTCTTTATAATATTATTATAGTATAGACAATTATTTTTCCAAGTACACCATTGCATAAGCCTACTTAATTTTACCACTCGCTTGACTCCAATACTGAACACCACTCGGAATATCGACCCTAGGCATGCTCTCGGAAGATTAGCGATACTCCATTGCAGCAGAATAGCGGCGGCATAACAAAGACGAAGATTCTTCGCAGTGAAAATTGTTTAAAATTTTTTTTTAATGAATTTCATTTCACCCCGTACGGAAACCCCCGTCAGAGTTATCCACTACGTAAAAAAAATTCGATGACCCTCCATGCTATCATTTGCATAGCAATCCATTTTATATTTGCATATTAATATAAAATTTAAGTAGACCTTTCATGTGTGAAAAGTCATATTATATACACTATTCAAGTTTATTATATAATTGATGCTCCCGCGGCTTCACCCACAACAAAATAAAACTTTATTAAAACATAAAAGCCATAAGACTATTAAGTAAGATAATCCTAGGTGAATATACATACACACATACATTCTCTTACATGTATATAGGCTTACTATCAATTCGACTATGGTTAAAAAAATTAAAATTTCTGCCATCAGCGCCATCTATCCGCCACTGACGTACTTACTATGTTCGTCGGATTTATTATTTTTTTAAGCTAATAGCCTTGAGAGGCTATTTCAGCATAACCTTAACTAGTAGGTGAGTTCGTCGGAGGGGTCATGTTGCCCTTTGTGCTGTTTCATATCAATTGAACTAACGGTTATCGAGCTTTAAGGGTACATTCATACACACATTATTCTTTTTTATTATCTTTTACATATACAGATGATGAAAAGATAACTAATGTTTTTTTTATTTTATTGCTTAGATGTGTGGACGAGCTCACAGCCCACCTGGTGTTAAGTGGTTACTGGAGCCCACAGACATATACAACGTAAATGCGCCACACACCTTGAGATATAAGTCCTAAGATCTCAGTATAGTTACAACGGCTGCCCCACCCTTCAAACCGAAACGCATTACTGCTTCACGGCAGAAATAGACGAGGCGGTGGTACCTACCCGTGCGGACTCAGAAGAGGTCCTACCACCAATTTTATCTATAATAAACGTTCCTTCATTAAGCAATATAGAATTTTCTTGTTAAATAATATTATTATGGGACAAGCTAGAAGTTAATAAACATAACACAATTCATTTATTACATTTATTTAGAAACACAAATGAGATCCTTTCAATCTTTTAAGTTGTTTCAAATTAAAATCCAACAAAATTAATTTAATAAAATTGTTCCAAAATATACAAAACAATTAACAGATTAAACCTTCATGTCTACGTAATAGATACTTAATTAATTTCATGGTCTAACTATTTCTTATATGCCTACCCCCTACTGGACGAAAAATCATGTCCAAATATTTCCGAATAATAATAAACGCAAATAATAGTAAATATACTATTTATTTACTTCGTTAATGTAAAAAATAACTAATTCCATTTTATTTATTCAACAAATTTTCCCGATTTATACCAATAATAATTGTAAGTATAATTTTCCTGATAACCAAAAATACATAATTAGTTACAACGAAAAGTTTAGGTATTTCTTGTGGAGGAAATTGAACACCGACGCGTAAAAACAATTTTTCCCCCGGATAAACAACTATTATTAACTTTGTAACTATTGTATGATGGTGTTCATTTTTCGAAACAGCTCTTAGTTTATTGATTCGATTATAATACGAAAGGTACTGACATGAAAAGGCTATAAGTCCTTGGTATTCCCATTCCACTTATTTTTGGTACTTAATACCAAGCGGCCGACACGAAGTGGATTTACACGTGTATAGCAAACAGAAGGTACATTTTACCTTGTCATATTATATACTATATATATAAGAAGTTTCGTATTTTTAGGCAAAGAGAGCTTCACTAAAGGCTACGTCAGTTTTTTTTATTGCCCTTGTAGGCAGACGAGCATACGGGCCACCTGATGGTTAGTGGTTACCGATGCTCATAGACGACAACAATGCAAGGGGCAGAACCAAGCCGCTGCCTACATCTGAATAAGCCTACTTACTATACATAACTAAAACTACTTTCACAGTTCAAGTTCAAGTTTTTTATTGTCATTATATTAGTTCCGAATCTTCGAATGTTCTCACGATGATAGTTCTCACGATCAATATAATAACCATAAAAAAGAGAATCAAAAGTAAATACAGTTTTAATTGTGTCTAAGACTTGCAGAAACCGAAGATAATACTATACAGTGTATTAATTTATCTATATAATAGAGTTGACAATCAGCCTCTATTGTCTTTTAATGGATAAATAATTTGGCTATTCTGTTTTCTTTTTGGGCGTTTCAACTTCCTCTGAACTTGCATCCATACTCGCTCCTGTATCTACACGAGTTTTGTCTACAGGATACAACCTAAAAAAAAAAAGAGACATTGCAATTAATTATTGAAAAAAATATGGTGCGAGTGCAACTTGGTGCACGTGAAAGAAGTGAAACTTCAACGTACCTCGAGAAAGAACATTAGCTTAGAAAGAAGTTGTTGCCGCTATTCGATGCTTACCAAACAAGTCCTTAGGTTTTACTTAATAATTTTTTTTAGTGATAATTTAAAACATTTCTTTTATTTAAAATACCGGTTTCTGTAAATATTTTAGACACTAAGCTGTTCACACCGTTGGCCTTGCAATATAATTTATATGAAATCCAATAGATGTCGCTAAACTAAATAACGACCTACCTCGCTTTATCCTTTCCCTCTCTCCACAGTCGGGTAGTTCGCTGTTCCTAAATGTTCTCTCTTCCTATAATGTATATTTTCTCTCTAGCCGTAACGAATCCCTCGCGAGTGAAATTTTACTTTCAACGCGCCTAAAGAAGTTCCACTTCAATATACATTCGTTCCGATAGAGTACATTCGAATCACTCACCATCTCTGATACAGATAAACAAGGAAGACTAGATCGTCCCTGAAGCAGGCCATGCGATGCGCGGTCGGCATGGTTATTATAAACGCGAACACATCGTCTATGAACGTGTTGAAGGCTTTGTACATGAAGGCGCGCCACGGCAGCGCTGCCACAGAACGAAGCCGATAGTTCACGAACAGTTGCGGCAACATGAATAGAAAACCAAAAGCGTACACTCCGTTCACTATGCTGTGTAAAGCCCAGGAGTACCAACTGAAACAAATATTTTTTTCTTTTAACCTTTTGACTGCCGTTGTATAATAGGTCACTGGTGTCCTACGCGGGGCACTGAAGTAATTATGTCGATTCCTGTTACTAAGCCCCTGGATTGCCTAACTTTGCCTTCTTTTGTTTGTTAATGTACGTTTTATTCTTTTAGGTCTCATAAAAATAGATTCATTCTCAGTATCTTTGGATTCGTCTTTTCCAGAATTGGCGAGAATCTGCTAAATATTCCGTCGTCTTAATAACAGAAATCGACATAATCACTTCAGTGCACCGCGTAGGACACCGGTGACCTGCGTGGCAGTCAACGCGTTCAACAAGTGATACCAGCTTCAGTTTTAGAGAATAAATTATGCATTGAAAGGCATATGCTGCAGCATAAGTGTAATCTTAATACACCAATCACAATTTGTATTATTAAACGGTAGACCTATCTAGCTCGAGTATACTGTGTGCTTAGTGCGAATTTAAGTTTAGTTTCTTAATTTATATGCAGTCGGAACAGCGCCCTTAGCGGCAAACGTAAGCAAACGTTCGAAATCCATATAAATTTGAGTTTACTTGTACGCTATCGCGAACGTTAAAGAAAATTGTTGGAATAGCCCTTAGGGTAAAATTAAAACCCGCACTAAGCACACTGGTCTATGTTAATGCATGAATTTGAACTCACATGAGGCAACAAAAAAATGTCGTAAGGTTCATTGTCAAGTTTTACTCAAATAATTTCAAGAAGAGTGAACGTTCATTTTTACGAGCCAAAACAAATTAATTAAAATTTAAAAACAGAATATAATAAATTCGCTAGCATTCTGTGCAGTGTGCTTAGTGCGAGTTTTTAACGTTCTCGATAGCGTAAAAGTTAGCTCATATTTGTATGGAATGGAATCGTTTGCGTACGTTTGCCGCTAGGGGCGCTTTTCCAACTGCATACAAAACTGGGTTAACTTTTACGCTATCGAGAACGTTAAAAAACTCGCACTACCCACACAGTCACACAGATGGCAATTTACGTACAAATCACTATTTACCTTTTATGCGGTTCATAGACAAGGGAGTATATGGCGCCTGCCACACACAAAGGGTATAGCAACATCGATAAATATCGCATCGCTTCCGCATCTGCTTGGGCAGTCGTCTTTTCGTTTGCATCTGAGCTAGTGTCCCTCCAAACTCGAAGTTTCCAAGCTTTAAACGAAACTCGCAGATGTAAAACTTTGGTTACTTTCCATAACTGAAAAAAGAAACATTATAAATATGTAATTTTTGTTAGAGTGGTTACATACATGATTTAAAAAAAAAATCATTATTTAATAATTTTTGAGAATATTTTTTTCTTTATTTTATAATATTAAGATTATTATATATACTTGGAAACAATAAAACTTTTTTTTATAGCTCAACTGAGTAGACGAGCTCACGACCTACCTGGTATTGAGTGGTTAACGGAGCCCATAGACATCTACAACGTAAATTCCGCCGCCTATGTTGAGATATGAGGTCTAAGGTCTCAGTATAGTAAAACAGCTGCCCCACCCTTCAAACCGAAACGCATTACTGCTTCACAGCAGAAATAGGCAGGGTGGTGGTTACCTACCCGTGCGGACCTACAAGACGGCCTACCACCAATAATTACGCAAATTAACATTTTGCGAGTTTCATTTTTATTGCACGATGTCACTCCTTCACTGTGGAAGTCAATCGTGAACATTTGTTGAGTACGTATTTCATTAGAAAAATTGGTACCGGCCTACGAGATTCGAACACCATTGCATCGCTCGACACGAATGCACCGGACGTGTTATCATTTACGGACGTCTATTCCTTTAAGTGATAAGTTAAATATAATAAGCGTTAAGTAAGTGATAACTTAAATAAATGTATTATTTGTCCTTTCAAAAATATAAAATATCTTATGTATGATTGTACCTCAATAAGTGCACTTATTCCAGCAGGAATCAAAACCAGTAGAGATGTCCTCTCATCCATGAGGTACATAAAGATTACAAATTGTGAAAAGGCACGCCATAGTACCGTGCGCGCCGATAGACCGGCCAACGATCTCTTCCGCCGCCAAAATGAAACGTCGTTTTTGAAGGCCAAAAAATCAAACAGCAACTGTAAAAATAACATAAATTTTATTCTAATATATTTAAAGTTTTGTGTAATATTACATTTAAGGGCATTATTGGAACAGTATTATTAAATCGACTTAATTTCAACAGAAAACATTTTTCTTAATATGCATTTTATATTCAAATTCATGTTAATGATTAATCAAATTCATCTTTCAACCTCATTTTCACAGACTTGAGATGTAATTATTAAATCCAAAATAACAAAATAAATCAATTATTTTCTGCACTTTTAAAACTATTGTAATGTTGTGTTTATTTAATCTCATTCCTCTTATCAGATGTTTCAAAAGTTTTATACTTTCACTTTTACTGTTGACTAGGTTGATATGCATTGACACTTATATAATATAGTCATTGATCCTAAAAGCTTATTCCTTTCTGTATTCAAAATAAATACATAATATTTTTTGTTTAAAGTTGATTTTCTGTGTGGTACATGTCGTAAACCATTCTGTTCTATTACCTATTTCTTCTCTCAACCTCTCTGCTACATTTTAATATCCGCTAGGGATTTGAGCACTTTAACCCTGTACCTTCAAGACTGCATGTTTAGAAAAATATAGCAAACTTATTCTTCAACATTTGAATAAACTTAATGAAAAACTTAATAAAAGTACAGGTAATAAAATAATCACTCACATGAAAGCTGGCTATCAAGACTGTGGCTGACAACAAATACAAATTTGTGTCAGCAAAGATTCCTTTGACATCATCAACATCTTTCTCACTGAATCCAAGACTGTGCAAGTGCTCAAAAGCGAGACTCACATGTAGAGCCAGTCGAAATATACCATATGATGCTGGAGACACATTTACAGTCACATTGACTTTTGTCATGCTGTTGTTTAGAAGAAGCAAATGAGACATTCGTGATTTTAATACATTGTGTTGTATTATCGGCAAGAATTTGTCTCCCCGAATCCTGCAAAAAAATATTCTGAACTGCGCAATTTGTAGAAATATTGTTTGATATTCTTTAGAGTATTTAGCCAAATTTAACTGTCAATAGTAAAGACATACAGAAATGCAAAAGCTAAATATAAACATTTATAAATCAAGTCATTATTATAAGTGAGTCGTCTATTATCAAAGCCGGCAATGTGACTTTTGGACAATTATTGGTAAATCAGAAAAACGAATTATTGACTTTGTATTCCATTGGCAGTCACAAAACTCTTCTGAACGACACCTTAGATAAATAACAGGTTAAGTATTAACCTTTATTTAATGCAGGTTTTGAACCGTATTCTTTGAAGGAGACGATTATATTCAAATCAATCTGTATTGACATATCAATAACATTTTTTTGTTCAAATGCACAGATTGCCACCTTTGATAATAGACGACTCAAGTATAAAATCATTATTATAAGTATAAAATCATTATTATAAGTATGAATGAAACTTTAAACAATTACAATTTTACTACCTTAAATAGGGATATAATTCTCCAGGTATTTTGGAAGATGGTAAGTTCAAATCATCAATTAATACCGACAAGGGTACAACTGTGGATATATGAGCATAAGGATGGAGATGTCGGTCTTCCCCAGAATTTTTTTCTTTATCCTAAAAATGTTAAATATGCAATTTTAGTGTTACTAATAACATATATGTTTACAAAAAATAAAGAAGCTCGTGGAAGCTCATTTATAGAGAACTTTCCTAAGACTATAATATACCTTGAACCACCAACATTCTTTGAAGAAGGCTTTGACAAGCATTCTGGTCACAGAAACGTTTTTATAGTATTATTGTCTACTACTGTTTTATTATACTTGTATTGTATAGCCAACCAATAAAAATATAATTACTATAAATAAACAGTTTCTGAAACAGTTTTTTTAATTACACTCTTAAATACTCTTTATTCTTGAAAGTATTTTAATTGGAAATACAAATTTTTGTTTCCATATAAAATTTAATAAAATATATTTTTTATCTAGTAAGCATAAGTCAAGATGAACTAAGTACTGATTCTGTGCTATTTGATTTTGAACACATTTTTAAGTAAAATCTTTAATCACGGTCTTCGAAAACAACACTAATTATTTAGGTTAGTTAATAATTTTGAATACATCATGTAGATTTTTATTCCTGATCTTTAATAAATACACTTACATTATGTTGTAGTAAGTTAAATGTGGCTGCTTGTGGTTCTACAAACTTTATCAATGGCCATGTATGTAACGGATGTGTTTGCCGAATTTCATCAAATGATTTATACAATTTGCTATCATCCAACATGACAACATGCATATATAGTGTTCCATTGTTACGTGTTTTACGTGGTATATTTAACTGCACATTACTGAAATCACATAAATACTGCTTTACTATTATATCATCATCTATTTAACATCAGATTATATTAACCCACTTCTAAACAAAGATCAATAGGTGTCAATATGCAATCTTCAGTTCATGTCATCTGCACACTTGTTACCAGATTTCTAAAGAAAATGTCCCAAATTTAAATAATTTTGGTATTTTTTAAATTGTTTCACAGGTAAAATTGTAGTGTAAAGGATAAGCTGCCTCGTGTACTCATATCAAGTGATGCAGCAATGCCTACAAATCCTATAGACAGATACCAATTCTTGTAACACGTATCTAACACGTAACTTGTATCTATAAATGAATTCCTAATAAAAAAAAAAACATTGTGCATCAGAAATACAATTAGCAAAAATTATGGTTTTGCTATATGATTGAGACAAATCTGAAGCTGGATAGGGCCATTCATATCTTAGGCACCGGAATCTTTTACCACAAGGCAGGCTGTGAGCTCGTTCGCTCGTCTATACAAGAAGAATAAAATTAAAACATACAAATGTGTCATTAAAACTTACATAGAAGCCGGGTTCCGATAGTCAAAATTCAATAAAGTATGCACTTTAGTTACCGAATTCGATGAAGTCCCTTCCTCAAGCGGCTGCTGTTTTAAGGAAGCATAAAACACTAAATTCTGTACAGGGTTAGAAGTTAAATACGAAGAGAAACATTTGTCGCCACGGCGGCATTCTGGCGGTATGAATATTTCAGCTAATGTCCATATTGTATTGATTACATACACAACGAATATTAATGTAAGAATTAAAGATACTGATACAAATTTCATTCCGAAAAGAGAACTGTTTTTATCTGTACCTGATCTTCGAATTTCAGATTTTCAGAAAATTTTGAAGTTCCTACATGTGCAAAACACAATTTGTTTTTTGTTGTCTTTATTGTGGCTCGCACCGCGCACGGTTTGTGCCTTGGCCACTGTCACTGTCAGGTATAAAATTTTTTTGCCATTTTAATTGTTTACAGTTTATGAATAATAATAAAAAACGAAGGAAACTGTCCATGTTAGCCATTATTAATATCAGTGTAAGTATGAATCAAATTAGCAGCGTGGGACGGTATAGGTATATTGTGGAGAAAGTAATTTGATTAATGTAGTAATTAACTCTGCAAATGTTAATATGAAGTGAAATGAAATGAAGTTTATTAATATTATGAAACATGGTATGAAATGAAATGAGATGAGATGATATGGGATGAAATACAATCTCACTAAAATGGTGGTCATTTACTGAGACTTCCTCAATAGACTTTTTGGAGGATCCCAAGAAATTACGTCCAGTGGCTTTGTTTCATTTTTCCACATTTATGCACTTTCACAAATACTAAAAAGTTAATAAACCACCGTTATTACACATTTAAACCTGAAGGAACACTAATTATACAAAATGCAACAATTCTCACAACTTCACTCCTCGCTTTCCCGCCAAAAAACCCAAAACACAAAAATAGAAACTTTCAAACATGAAAATAAATTTGTTGTTAATCTTGAAAGTGTATTATTTAAGCTTAAAGTATGTATCATACCTACTACTTATGGAGGGTAGAGGTAAGGAGAATCGTCTCTTAAGAGAGAAGTTTGAAAAAGTGTCCCACTTTCAGCATTAAATAATAATAAATAACAGTTCAAAAATCCTCCAGAATGGCGCTAGCTAGCATAGGGTATAATATGAATTGAGCAGTTGTTAACTGATTGAGGTATGCTGAATTAAGAAATTTAATATATAAAACTCCTCAGACGTGCACGGTACAGAGAGAGGCAAATTAACAGAGTAAAACGTGCGAGTGGTTAATTAATGACTAGAGTAGTTAGTGAGTGTAATATACAAGACCTCACATGTTTACGTAGTCCAAACTAATTTCGTCAATATACCTAAAATTATTGCTGTGGTAAAACGTGGAGACATCGATTGCATTTTCTTATCAGCTTTAAATAAAATACTTTTTGTGATTTTGTAGTGCTTACAGTTCTTTCGTCCTTTTTTATTTCTCTATCTTATTCAAATAAATTTCAGCGCCTTTTTTTAAATTTACCCGCTTGCTACTGTAGCGCCACCCTTATTAAGCTAATTTTAACGGACACTTTTCACACACAGAGACGGTTCTCCTTACCTCTACACTCATGCTACTACTGTAAACATACATTGTGCACCAAGGGAGAAAAGTAGGACATTTCCTCCCGGATGTAAAATTGTCATCCGAGCCGTAGGCGAGGGTGGCAAACACGCGGGATGAGATGTCCTACTTTTTTCCCGCGGTGCACATACTATTTTTTCTCCTACCAGGCCGAAAGTTCCTGGAGTACCGAGCCGGGGTCCATGGGCGAAGCCCTGGCAGGGGTAGGGGGGGCGGAGCCCCTCATACTCATAAAAAAACAATTTAACTGTTTTTTAATTTTTAAATAAACTACTACTAATTGAATAAGAACTGTCTGATGAACTCATCTTTGTTTAATACTTCAGTATTAATTTTTTTTGCATTTTGTTTATTTCACTTTTACACACAATTTTTACTAAACACAATATTGCAAATTACCCGAGCGCAACAATGGCGGAGAATTTTAGATGCGTGAGAGCTGACGTAGACACTAACGCGCATGCGCACTTGTACCCAGGTAGGAAAAGTGACACTTTCTTCCCTGTACAGCGGGAGGAAAAGTTAGACTTTCTTCCCTGTACAGCGGGAGGAAAACCGAACTTTCGGCGTAACTAGGAGAAAAAATGTATAGGTATGTACGGTACTTAAAGTATACATATGTAAACTACCTGTTAAAATTTTGCTAATACAGAAAAGGGCAAAGCTTCATAGCTTAAAGCCATCAAATATATGTTATAAAAATTTGCTATTCCTGTTGTACGAAAAGTAAAATGGAACAAACTTTTTGGCAGGAACGTGAAGACCAAAGTTCTGTGAATTGCTTTATTCTGTTCATTTAAGGTTTCTTCAGGTTCAAATATATTGTGGGGGTGGTTTATTAACTGTTTAGTATTTATACAAATGTGGGGATATGTAACAAAGCCGCTGCACGTAGCTTCTTCAGTTCCTCCAAAAAATCTCAGTTAAGAACCATCATTTTAGTGAGACTATATTTCTCATCTCGTTTCGTTTAATTTCATCTCAATTGATTACATTTTCAAATAAATCAGCTTACATCTCATTTCGCCATATCAATTTTGATTTAATGGAATGCTTACGTATTATAAGCAGTCATGATGACTTATGCAAGTGTTGTGAAGTGCTCGATGACACGTCCCGCACTCACATAAGCACCTTAAAAGTCATTCAATCACGTTTTAGCAGAATGGAGAATGAACGTTGGAGCACAGTGGTATGTCAGGACGAAAGTAGGTCTTCACTACCACTTACAACTGAAATCCATCTGGAAGTATTTGAAAACAGCGTTGAAATATTTATTAAAAACACAATAAAATAAAAACATCGTATATGTATTTGTTGAATTATAATTGGCAAACTGATTAACATCATGAAGATAAACAGTACGCGAATTTACTGTCATCGTCGTTTTTTTTAAATATAATTAAGAGTAATTTAATTCGATTTAACCTCATGAAATGGTCAAATCTTTTTCAATCGGTAAAATGCGTTCCAGCACTTTTAAATTCTTTGTTATTCTGTAGTAAGCTATGCAATTCCACTCGATCAATTAATCGACTATTTTGAGAAATGATTTTGGAAGTGCGATGTTGTTTTAAGCAAAGGCAACATTACAAAATGGGCGACTGTGGAGGACCGTATTAAATTAATCGGTGTTTCCTTGGAAATTTTATTGATATATTTAGAAATCAAATAAAATAAAGGTATAGCTTTCATATCATACAATCTAAGTAGTTTTAAATAAATTCTAACGATGNAATTAATCGACTATTTTGAGAAATGATTTTGGAAGTGCGATGTTGTTTTAAGCAAAGGCAACATTACAAAATGGGCGACTGTGGAGGACCGTATTAAATTAATCGGTGTTTCCTTGGAAATTTTATTGATATATTTAGAAATCAAATAAAATAAAGGTATAGCTTTCATATCATACAATCTAAGTAGTTTTAAATAAATTCTAACGATGCTATTCAATTCATATGTGGCAGTGTTTTGACAGTTGTCATTGTAAATTTTGTTTATATTTCAGCATGGTAATCGTCTCTTGGAGTGTCTGGACAATACGCTCTGTTAGAAATCGAGGAGCTTTCTGTAAAAATGTTAACAATAGTTAGAATTATGTACCAAAATTCATGTGGAAATGGATGTTAAGGATTTGAGAACCGAATCGACACTGGGTGAGCGTAACAATGATGTTAACAAGTACGCTCAAGGTGGGACAACAATTCAATGCAATCAAAATAACTTATATCAAGACATCGGATCTAACTCATCAGGTAAAGTGGATGCACCGAGTGCACGGCCCTGTGCTGTTATTGGACCAGATCGGGTGATACCGCCGTCGCAGAATGATTGCTATTTGAAAAAAGCCAGAGTTGAACCATGGCCTTGTTCAAACAACGTATATCACCAACGACCACCTGAATTTTCCCATAAAATTTACCAAAACCCTACAAGAAACATATCTCCAAGACAGACATTCCAAGAAAATATGCAGCGGATTTTGGTACCTCCTATGTACAAAAATGATGAAAACCCTATCACTCAAGCACCAGATAGAAATCCACTTCTGTCTAAAAACGTGAAACGTAATATTGTTGCTTCTGAAACAAAGTATTGTGATGTGCCTTATGCTGTGAATACAGTAAATAATGATACAAAAGTTGTTAAAAGTGTTGATTCTTCTGTGCCGCCTTTCAACCAATCCTCACGTTTAGTTGCTCAAAGTTGGCCTTCTGGAAGTGGTAACTTACGTCATCAAAGACAATATGGACCACCTGAACTCTACCAATTCCCAGAATATCCAAGTTGTGTAGGTCCAAGATCAGCTCCAGCATCAAGACCAAACAGAACAGTAGCAGAAGAAGCTGGATTTATGTATCCTGAACCTTACTGTCAAGAACCAAATATTCGTTTTAAGCCATATCCAAATATAAAAGACAGATGTCCACCACCAAGGTATGACTATAATTTAAGTACTAATTATCCTTATCCGTTTCATCCTAATTTACACTCCCAGAGGTATGAATTATCGAAGTCAATAACCCCACAGCCATATCCTGGTTATCCCCATTTCCAGTACAATGATTCTAGATTAAGTGATCATATGATTGAGAGGTATCCAAGACCTGTAAATGCCCAAAACAATTGTGGGATACCATACAACAATCAAATTTTGCATCCTGTATATGGACCTATTAATAACTATCCTCAAGGTAAACTATCACAATATCCATTAGAAGGATCTATTAGGCCAGTTTCTTTAAACAAACTTCCTTATGATGGCAACAATAAAATATATGTAGATTATGAAAATGGTAGAATAAAAAATTATCATACTTTTGACAACTATTATGTCAGCGAAACTACTAAATATCATTCTGTTAAAAGTCAAGGAATATTACCGAACTATCCTCAAATGAATATGCATGCTGTACCCCCACATCCATATTATAAAAAAGATATAAACCAGAAAGCCTATGAACATGCAAGTATGGTTTTTAACAATACTGTTTCAAGAAATATGCAGCAATTCTCACCAAATACTATAGCTATATCTCCGACTGATTCTATAATCAGTAATGATACAACACAAACGCATGGTTCTACTCAAGAAGATTGTGGCTACATTAGCCAGTCATCAACAACAAGTGTAAGAAGTATTGATTCAACTTTAAATAGAGTACCAAACGAATACTTTATGAGACATGATTATCCCTATGCTTCACTTATGAGAACACAAGCTGCAATGCCAAAATCGAGTTTAATTTCCAATAATAATACAGAATCTAGTAACAAAAAGAACCTTAATGTTAGACAGTTTCTACAAATGTGGAATGAAGGAGATGATGAGGGTATTGATGTGAATTCCAGCAAAGATTCTAAGGAAAAAACTGGCCCTCCTGTTTTAAATAACCAAGAACAGTTGTATGTTCTTGGTTTGGTTAATGTCCCTAGTGAAGAACTTGGTAAATATGATCATATCCAGAAGGTTTCTAAATTACCTGAAAATATAAAAGGATATAGTAATCTGGAGCTACTAAACCAATTTGAAGAAGCAATTGGTTCTACACAAATAAATTCTTTCAAGTCTCCTTTACATTTTGAAACTCCTCATCCTGTAATAAAATCTAGTTCTATATCAGGTGGTGATAGATTAGCCCGTCCATTATCACCTTTGGATGTAGAAGCAAAAATAAGTCAGTCAGTAATCCATAAGGAAGTCGGATGTAACTTTGAGATAAAACCTTGCAGTCCCAAAATGTTACATGTAGAAATTGCAGCTCCAGTACAAAACATTGGTGAAAGAATAATTGAAAAGATTTCAAATCCACTATCTCAGTTGGTTAAATCTCCTTCAATGAACTCTGTAGATGAGAATAATCATTTCAAATCTCAAAGCCCATTTAACCCAAATGATAAAATTACAAGTTGTAAAATGGCAGAAACTCAGTATCTTAATAATGCAGACGCCATAAAATCCAATTATAGTATACAAGATTTTGACAGTAGTTCTGGCGTGTGCTTAGCATCTTTACCAAGATTAGACAATGATATAGAGTTTAATTTCCCAGAAGTGAACCAGCAATTTGTTAATGCTAACAAAGGAACAACAACTAGTATTCCTCCTACATTAAATGAATCTGAACCTGGACCTAATGATAAAGCATCATTAAATAATTTAATGAATCAGCTCTCTCCAACTGCTGAATCTGAAAAAGAAACTGTAAAGTTGAGTAAATTTAGAAAAATAAAACCACAGTCTGTAGAGGTGATGAAAACTGATCAACTTCCTTCACCAACTATTAGAACTGACAGTGTAATTATAAAGAATCCAGAAAATCTGCAAAATGTCAATGATAATTTGACAAATCCAAATAAAACTCATTTGGACAATCATGATTCTACTGATTCTCGTGATATAAAACCATCTGTAAAAGAGAGTCAAATTTCTGATTCTATTGTGGAAGTATTTAGTCACCATGACAAATCGAATGACATGGCTATTGATTTCAGTTTAAAAAATGATGCTAAAGCAATAGTTAAAGAAATAGTTTTCCATAAAGATGTAATACATTCAACATTATATCAAAGGGCCAAAGAAAAATCTACTGAAGATTACACTGAAATTGCACCAGATGTAAATGATATAAAAAATAAAATATTTTTGCAAAAAGACCCAGTCTGTTCCATATCTCAAAGTGATAAAGTAAATTTTAATGAAGACTGTGTTAAACAGGTAGCTGATGTAACTGATATAAAAACAATAATTTTACAAAATGATATAAAATCACCAGCATTTCAAAGTGACAAAGAAAATTCTATTGAAGAAGCCACTGAACTTGTAGCAGATTTATCTGATATAAAAACCGAAGTTGAGACTAAAACAGAGAGTGATTCAAAAGGGTCTTCAAGCATTTTATCAGAGATTGAAGTATCAAATATGCAAGTTGATGATAATCACAAAGTATTGAATATAGAATTCCAATTACCGAATCTAATTGAGAATCATGACTTAACAAAAGTTTCACACAGTTCCAATACTAATGAAACTTTTATGGACATGGAAACAAGTTGTAACCTTATAGAAACCTACAATAACATCAGAGAAGAAAAATCGAATGAAAATAAATATACTGATGAGAAGTACCAAAATAATGAAATTCATTCCACCTGTAACAGAGAAGAAAATATCGTCAGTATCGGAACTGATCAAGAAATAAATGCTCTAGATGAAATTTCAAATAAATTAGACGAAGAAGAATTCCAGAACATTAATGAAATGAAAGTAAACTCAGATAGTGATATAGATACATCGGACAAATCATGTAAATGTCCTTCAAAATCGAAGATATGTCAAACACTTCATCCTTTAGAAGATACTAGTTCACACACCTTAAAGTCTGAAAGTACACCTACCACAGAAAATCATTCAATTGATTTTGTATTTCATGGCGATGGTCAATTGCATAATTCGCAATCATCTACTAATAACACCAATGAATATAACATCACTGATGATTGTAATATTGAAAACCCTCATTCGAGAAACACATATTCACTCCAAGATGATGGTAAGTCAGAAAAAGAATTAGACTTTTTAAATACTACTGGAGAACTTGCATTTATTTCCGAGATTAATATAAAAAGAGAAACTAACATTTCCAAAGTTAAACTTTGTTCTCCTTGGCTACAAAAACTTATTTTACACACGAATGAATCCAGTCAAACGCAAAATAATCATCTAGAAAATCCTATAAAGAGTCTGAATCATACATCAATTTTAACCTTAGATGGGGAACCGTTAGTAGATAATTTGGGCTCATGCAGTAAGTGCGCTGACTATGAGAATAATTTCGATGAAGAAAGAAACTGGAAATGCAACGAAAGCAACTGTTCACCAAATGCCGGTTGTAATACACAAGACCCATTTGTTCAACCAGATCATACTGTTCTGCGAGAAACTAAGGGTCAATTAGACATCGACAAAGAAGAACACGTAGAAAGTTTTTGTCAGCAACTTGTGCCGGAAGACCGTATAGCAGCAGAACACCTCCATTGCGAGGATCATTTGACTGACCTAGAAACCTCAAATTTACCAACAGATGTGACCATTTTAAATAATGACAATGAGAGGTATAACATTGATTCGTGTAACAAAGTTGAAGATGACGGAAACAATGCTGTGAGTAATTCTGAAGAAAATATTATAGATTGTACTTTGGATAATGTATCTTTTGAATGCGATAATTATTCAGGAGCTGTCTTACGGCAAAAAATTACTCTGAAAAGATCATATTCAGATTCGGCTTTGGATAAAATAAAAAATGGGTCAGAACAGGAAGATTCTTTAATATGGCCTACGAAACGGAAAAAAGTTAATAATGCTGTTATAACACAAAATATTTGCAATATCTTTCAAAATAACAGAAGAAATTCCATTTCTTCAGTATATAATGAAGAAAACGTGTCTTACTGCATCTTTATAGGTAACGAATGTATTATAGATGATGAAGAAAATGTTGAAGAAAAGGTATGTCATACACAATGTTCTGAATTAAGTATTACTAATGAAAATAATGACAATTTAAAGAAGCACGATGACAGTATTGGAATAAGCGATGAAATACCAGACAGAAAAGATTCTGACCAGTTGCTTATTTTCGAAAGCAGCGAAGAACAATCACCTGTTGGTTCGTGGGTTGAAGATGTGGCATGTATTGAAACTGTCGTTAGTGATGAAATTGCTGAAGACGTTTTTATAAATGACGCAGTATCACCTAAGCTCAACGAATTTTTTGAAAATGCTGCTTCTGATATTTCTGCTAATGAACTCCCAGAAAATGATTACGATTATAGAGTTCAGACTTACCAAGACGATGAGGACTTAGTGCAAGCACTGTATAGCGCTAATTTGAGTGAAAATAAATCATTTCATAATTGGCCCAGTAGAATTACGCAAGAGCCTGCGTTTGATAGAGAATCATTAGAAAAAATACTGTCTGATACTCAAGATGAAGTAGAAGCGTTAGTTAATCAACATAGATATGATAATAATTTTATGGTTAACGATATAGATACCAATGAGGTAATAAGAGATAATAAAGAAAACGTCGATATCGGTAACTTTTCTCCTTTAGGAACTTTTAGAAATAACGACAATGTCTACAAAATAGAACAAGAAATTATTAATTTAAAGACATATGGTAGCGCTCAAGATGAAACCATTCATTCTTGTGAATCTAGTATAGACAGTGTCACTTATAAAACGACTGAGGGAGATACTAATTTCAATAACCCCAATTCTCCAGAAGTATCATCAACTACTTCTGAAGAAAAGAGCTCTGGTATATTACTTAAAATAAAAAATTACAAGGGCTCAAAAATATCACAAATAAATGAATTTCGATTACAGAATGATACCAAAACTTGTAAACATAGTGATAACACAAATGAAAATTACATGCATTCCAATATAAGTGATGTACACGTTAATCGTCCTTTAATAACTAAAGCTGCTCAAAAATACATTCCACCACTAAAAGAATCCATTGGCGATCTTAAGGTGAAATTAGTTTTACCACAACATAGTTTATTAAAATTGAAAAAAATGAAATTGTCCAAAGATTCACCAAAGCCTAGTATTAAAGAAAGACAAACACAGGACACTGTCGCTAAGTATCTGAAAAAACCGAAGCCAAAATTTGAAGATGTTTTAAAAAGCATTGATGAAATTCATTTTAAAATGCACAAAGAAAAGAAGAAAATAAAAAAATCGATACCTAAAATGGTAATTAAAAAAGCGGAAAACGGTTCGCATTACGCCAGTACACCAGAGAATGATAACTTTAATCCTGATTTAACTGGACGAAGATGGCAACCTTGGGTGTTCCTAGAGAAAAACCAATTCATCGACAAAATGGCTTTGAAAAAAAAAATTAAAGCCGTATTCAGTCACAGGAAAAATACATACGTTTTGGCTGAAAAATTCCACAAATATAAGTCTGTTTACAGTACAAAATTTGTGATATCACAGCCAAAACCTAGTGATCATCTTAAATACACGATAAGATTAAAACATGATTAAGGAAGCTTGTTTGAAGTAAAAGTTTGAAAAATTTTTGGACCTAAACCTAAATACAAACAATCCCACCATGGCAAAGGTCCGATTCCTGATATAATAATTCCATTTATAAATTATATCATGTTACCTAAGGTTGTTGACATATCTAAGTGTTTTATTATGTATTAAGCCAAATTCTATAATTTAAGAGTGATATACAAAACAAAGAAAATAATTAGGCATTGCACGATCGCGCAATATGATCTGATCTGTATTTTGTTATTGTTTTTCAAATTTTATGATATACTCGTTTTGTACACCGTCATTCTATCATCTATGAATAACATTTTGTGTAAGGGCGTTAAATATGTGTGTAAATATTATGTTTTTTCAGATTAAAGAGAATTTACAATATTTATTTTAAAGTTAATTTTTTTTTAAGTAAGTAAAAACAAATAGTTCGCAACGTTAAGGTTTATGGTTTTTGTTCTTGTGTATTTTTTTATTGTGCTGTAAATTTTTATAGGATACGTTTTCGTTTATCAACTTTTGATTTCAGTTGTTTCTTGTGATTCAAATCATGCATTATGATTATGAACCCTCAAGTTTATTTTAGATAGTTCCATTAATTCAAAATAGCGAATACAGTCTGGTGCTTTGTAGATATTCTCTAGTAGGTGGTACCTACCTTCCCGCAAAATAGTAATTAATTTTATTATCAATATACAGATATTTACTATTTATTACATATTGCAATAAACAGATTTTTCCCAAGTAAATAAAATCTAAATCCAGTTAAGAATATTTGGGTATTCGAAAATGTTTCTATAAAGCTACAAAGATTTGTTATGTTACTAGGATAAAAGTATATGAAGATTTCCTTTTTTTTTGAGTGTGACTGACCATCACGTATGTACGAAGGTTCGAATTGCTCACTTAAATAGTAAGCGCGTATTGAGATATGTACCTATATTAAATTAAGATAATTATATATTTTATGCTATCTAGATTAGATAACAGAAGCACAGGAGACGTGTAGTTAATAACATATGTATATAAAATATGCGTTATTGTTATATTTACATTATTTATATAGTAAATGGGTACAGGTCCTGAATATAAATAAAATTTGTAATCGTACTTTAGATTTAGGTAGTTAATGAAATAAAAACCGTGAAATAACCGTATGTAGTGAATATAAAAATCTTCGATATTGTAGAAAAGAGGGGAAGCAAACTGGTAAAAAGTATTTACGTAGCATTATCTGCGCATAAAATAAATCAAGATACAATTTGTTTTTTTTTTTGAAGCTTTTTATTGTTATGTAAATGCTTTTCTGCCTTCCGATGTTGCCTTAGATATTACACAGATAACAGCACTCGCTTTAAGTTCGGATTTTATCAATAATGGTAATACATCTAATAATGCGATCAACCAATTTGGATAACTCGCTAACAGTGCCTTTCTAGCTAGTGCTGCTATCAGCTAGATTGAAATGGCAATAATTTAGGTGTCTTTTTTTGTGTTTTATACCTTTACTCCAATAATATACATATTAAAGAATTTGCACTGATCTCATTTTCAAGGCACTCACCATATTATTGTTTTGCCTGAACGTGCCTATTTATGAAAATTAATACAACTATTTTGATATCTTGTACAGGGTGTTTAATAATTATACCAAATATCTGCTTTTAAGTCCTGCATTACATGTATTTGAAAGCGTTGCCTTTGTAGTTAATAAAACATAGTTAATTTTAATGTATTCACGTTGATTGATTGTATAGATTTTATTATTTATAAAATATTTATGATCGCGTAAGATTTGGTAGTTTGTTGAAGTGGTTAGGATAATCTATGTACAAAATATGAAAGTTGAATTTTGTTCTTTTCATTATTTTGTTAAATATCTTATCTTATAGTTGTTGCAGAATACGTATTACGTCCAATTGTAATGGGTAAGAAGTTTCCAATGTTTTCATTGTTTGTTTTGTAAAGTTTTCTAACATTGTTAATTCCAGATTCATGTTTAATTCAACCTATATTTATGATCGAATGGTATTGTTTAATCTGCATATTCACCAAAAAGTTAGAGATTTATGTTAATAATTTTGTATTTATTTTAATTGCGACGAGATGCGCATCTTTAGTTACAAGAATTCTAAATGAAAAGTATAAGCCTAATTAGAATAATTTTGGATCGGAGTAATCAGTTGAACAACTACGTAAATATAAACGAGTGGTGAATAAAGAAACTGGAATACCGCTCTGGTTTTGAAATTCTGAACATATTATTCCATTACTTACATTATTCCATTACCCAACATTCGTTTCAAGGGAATTGTTGAAAACAAACAGCTCCAAAATTAGTTAATTTATATCGAGCTAGACTGGAGCTGACGACTGATACTAATACTTGATATTTATATATTAAAAAACTTTTGTTTTTAATTATTATTATAGACTTTTAAAAAAAAAACTCGTATTTTTGATAAGCACTATGAGTGGATTGTTATATTTTATTTTCTTGCACTTCGTTGGCCATCGTTATTGTATTATGTACGTGATTTAAAAGAGTATTTGTATATAAAGTGGTGATTTACCGATTAATTTTAAGGGTTACGGAGTTAATATATAGATTTATTAGGATTTGTTTTGTCGTTAATTCATTTAATGCATATCTTTTAATGCCAGTACCGAAGCACGTGATAATAGTTGGGTGATAGACGTAATATACTATAAATGTTTGCTCTGTTTGAGTATGTGTACATTATAATTTATAGCAGTACTGGCAAAATTAAACAAATGCGAGATATTGTTAAAATAGTTGGTAAAAGTAATTGTTTTTTGAGTGGTATCTTGTTTTAAATTGTTCAAAAATTGACCAAATAAATGTGTTCTCAATAAAAAAAAATGTTTTATTTATTTTGAATAATTTATTTATTTGTAATTCGAGCTTTCATACAGGTATAGTAACTTTAACGGCTTCTTGACGTATTGCACTGATGAGATCTTGGTTGACGAGAAAAACGAAGCGTAGTGCCGCGATCTGTAACAACGAACAAAGAAAACAAATTTAGTTTAAAAAAAAAAACAAACGACATACTCGCTCTTTACGTCAATGCTTATAAAGTTGACTAAGCAAGGCGACGTCTGAAAGTAAGACGAGTTAGCACTTCCTCGTTCTCGCTTCCGCGCTTCTCGTGTGAATCTTGACACCGGCTCGGAATCGCGACCCACTAAAATTCGGCCAGAAACGCGGCGGACACTTATATGAAAAATGCGGGAAATGCGATCTGGTTCAGTATTTAAGTTTCAAAGAAACAAAGTAAGGAAAACCACGTATAATCGAAATCAACATACTTTTTTCTTTTTTTTTGTTTAGATGGGTGGACGAGCTCACAGCCACCTGGTGCTAAGTGGTTACTGGGGCCCACAGACATCTACAACGTAAATACTAACCTAAGTTCTAAGGTCTCAGTATAGTTACAACGGCTGCGCCACCTTTCAAACCGAAACGCATTACTGATTCACTGCAGAATATAGGCAGGGTGGTGGTACCTACCTGTGCGGACTCACAAGAGGTTCTACCACCAGTAAGTTCAGTATTTAAGTTTCAAAGAAACAAAGTAAACCGAAATCAACAAATAAAGTATAATCGAAATCAACATATTTTAAACCAATATTCATTATATTATTATGTAGTTTTAAAATTCTATATAATAAACAAAAACCATGAATAAACCTTTTATCAATATACGTTTGTCTGCAGTCGAAATTATTTGTCAATCCAATTTGACATTCGTAAGTTTTCATCGTTTTAATCCAAAATTATAGGTACCTATTCCGTTATTTGGGCTACAGGGCTTTTTAAAACGTCCCTAGACTTGTAGCTGTATACTTTATTCATAATTTCGTAAATATGTTTTCTTACAAGTCCGCTAGTAGTTATTTATCTACTATATTTTTGCCGTAAAAATATAACATATTTTGTTTAATTTATTTATCTATTACCCGGATACTTGTGCATGTTTTAGCACCGTAGCTGATATTGAACAGAGGATTCGACTATGCATCTAGTGTTAAATGGTTGGAGGAGCCCGTAAGACTGCAACCTGCATGCCGCCGCCTACCTTAAGACATTAGGTCAAAGAATCGTAGTGAGGCATCTCCTAGACATGTTTTTTTTTATTGCTTAGATAGTTGGACGAGCTCACAACCCACCTGGTGTTAAGTGGTTACTGGAGCCCATAGACATCTACAACGTAAACGCGCCACCCACCTTGAGATACAAGTTCTAAGGTCTCAATATAGTTACAACGGCTGCCCCACCCGTCAAACCGAAACGCATTACTGCTTCACGGCAAAATTAGGCAGGGTGGTGGTACCTACCTGCGCAGACTCACAAGTGGTCCTACCACCAGTAATTACGAAAATTATAATTTTGCGGGTTTGATTTTTATTACACGATGTTATTCCTTCACCGTGGAAGTCAATCGTGAACATTTGTTGAGTACGTATTTCATTAGAAAAATTGGTACCCGCCTGGGATTCGAACACCGTTGCATCGCTTCAACACGAATGCACCGGACGTCTTATCCTTTAGGCCACGACGACATGTACCTTTAAATACATGTTACGTACATTATTTTGAGAAAAACTTCAAATGAAATGGTACGTGCGGTGTAGAACGAATGACATTGTATAATGAACAGAATAATGCGTCAAGGATAGGAAAACTAGTATCCTAATGCAATTGGGACTTCAAATTAATTGTTTCTAAGTCACGCAAATTCCATTACGCCGTCTGTATGCCCTGGCCAACCATTGTCGGGCCAGAGACAGTCTAGTATGCAGATCTATGAAAAAAGTGGTTTTTCCCAATTTTGTATGTGATACTTTTAAAAACACCGACAAAAAAAAACTACATTTTTTTTAAAATAAAACAAAATAATTATAATATTAAAAGTACTATTATGACTAACAAAACCAACATTTCTGTTTTGCGACGAATGTTATCCGTATTTTCACAGAGCATTTACATAATTGTAAGGTCAGTGAGATTGTTTAATAAAATCAAGGCATTTTTTTTTGCTTTAAACTAAAAAAATTGTTGAGTTATATAAACAAATAAAACTCATGACGTTTATCTTATAATTATTACGAGTATAACAAGTCGGAAGTTTGCATGTAGGAAGGAACATCGCGTCACACCTTTGAACTTGACTAACTTATCTGATTCTGTCCATTTATTACCAACGAAATTAATGAGTCTAAAACCAATAAATTTCACCTCCGCTCCGCGGCGTATACATTGTAGATTGTAATATGGAACCTAGCTCACCTAATTTTAAGGGTTTAGTGAATCCCACATACATACAAAGTGAATACTGATCTATATCCAAATTGAGACTTAACTTAGAAGTGAAACAAGAAATATGACTGTGACCAGCGCAAACTTCCAAGATAGACATTTTACTACTGCCGACAGTGCAAGATGTATTTTTTTAATAACAAAATGAACGAGAAAATCAATGAAAGTTTTAATGAAAAATACAATACTAGCATTAAAATATAGAAATTCAGTCGTGTGGTGGCGTTATTATTGTATTCACGGACCATAAAATTGTTTTCTAGTCGTCACAACCATATAAAATTCTATATTAGCATTTCACCATTATTATTATGTATTTACAACAAAAGTTGAATGCGTTATTGTGAATATTTATTTCAAATAATAAAACGGAAAGCGATTATAGTAGTAGATTCGTTTTTTTAATGATATTTTGCCGTCGATGTCCTCCATCTCGATTCAGATCGATTCAGATTCCTAAATTATTGATTATATTAGAAGAACAATTCCATAAATCATTAATGCAACATGCATATCTGAAATCCTCGCTTACCTCAATTACACTATTGTGATTCAGCTTGACTTTATTTCCCTGCAAAACGGGACGTCCGTCAACAAATATAGGGCGTTTTCCTTCAGAGGACATGAAGAATTCACCACTGTTACGGAGACGGATTGTTGCTTGTTTTCTAGATACCTTCGCGGCGGGACCTTCCAAACTTAAGTCGACGTCAATGGGGTGATCTCGTGTGCTACGGCCAACGGCAATCTGGAAAGAAATCATAGCTCAAGATACTTCGAACTAAACCATATCTAAATTACAGCCTGTTTTTAGGGTTAGAAAAAAATTTGCATTGTATCGTCTTTCCTAATCAAGCAATTAAGTTTTCGCATTAGGAATTCGGACACGTATTTTTTTTTAGATTAGTATCATTAACGCAAAAGAAGTTGGATCTAGTTGATTCCTACCATATTAATTTTATGGTATATAAGAGGCCCAGCGGAGGTTATCCATTTTCCGGCCAGGGGCCGAACCTCTTACGAGGTTCTCGTATCTACATGAGCGCGCTTGATTATCCTGATTTGAAAAAAAAACCTGAAATTTAATCGCGTCACGTTCCAGCCCTTTAAGAGAAGCTCTGTGATAAACGCATAAAGAAGAATCATGTAAATGCTATAATTTTTTCTGATCTTAGCAGTAGCAGCTAGTAGTAGCCCGCATGGCATTACCATTAACCTGTTTATGCCGCAAAGGATTTACGCGTTCCGGTTTGAAGAGTGGCATAGTGGTTATGCAATTAAGATTTCGACCTCATGTCTTGAGGTGAGTAGCGGTATTAACGGTGTGGTGTCTATTAGCTTCGGTAACTCACACCAGCGTGAGGTACCTCACGCTTGTAATGACTTTATTCGCTAATTAAAAAAAAAAGGAATATTTAAAGTAAAGGTAATTAAAACGGTCTGAGGCGCGGGATCAAAGGTCGCTGTGACGTGAGGCAACATCCGCTAATTGCGATTTATTTAACGTTGTGAGTTCACTAAATTGATTATTTATTAGGAAGGCGAAAATCGGCAAACTAATATTGTTATCGGTTACTTTGTGTCCTAATTTATTTAATAAACTAAACTAATTTAAAAAAATTAACTAATTTAAGCTAATACTAGCTAATTGATATGTAAAGAAGTACTTGAAAATATTAACCTACATTAGAAGAAAGGGAACGACCGAACCTCCGAATAATTTTTATACTACATTTAAAAATAATATTTTATTCAATAAAAGTGACCTTCGATATGAAAACAAATTATTTAAATGAATGACGTTCAAAAGTTTATCGACCCAAGTTATTTTATAGTTATTATTTGTACATGTGCCTATTAAAATACATGCTTAAGACATACAAACGTATATATTATCAATGTTATTTTACTTGATAATGAAGAAGAATTATATTACTCAATAACAGGTGCTTATTAATACGCAGTTATTTAAATGTTTCGAATAACAGTAAAATATTACCCACACAAATACTACTGTGCGTAGAAAGCTGATTGTTTTAAAAAAAAAATCCTGCTTCAGCGTGTCTGTTCCCTTATGCCAGTTTATCGTTACATCTGAGACACCGTGTATTTACACCAATACACGTCCAATACGCCAATACGCCAATTTCCGAGGGCGCCAAGGATGGCTGAGCGTCCGTTTCATCAACATTCGCATTCAGTAAAAACGAGTTCAATTTAATAAAAGTCCTCACAAGTATAAGGTAATTTCGATCTGAATGACGACTCTGTCCACAGGTCGCTCTTTTATACTATTATTGATTCTAGATTAATCATTCCATGGTTTAGATTATTTTTGATTCTAGATTAAACATTCCAAGGTTTCGATAACAATTAGTATCTTAAAATTATAATGGTGTTTCTCTACGACAGTGTCATTATTTTATTATTTTAATTATTCACATTCAGAAGTTAGAATTTAAACAATCAAGTAGGTATTGAAGCTTTTGTTTTTTTTTTGAAGTAGCTACAACTTGGTTGATTCTTTGCCATCAGAATCGCCTTCTCTCGGCAACCAGAGAAAACTTTAACAGAGTCCCATCTTTTTTGCCTTACCTAGTCATTTGTGCCGTAAGGGGGCTACTATTCCCATTACGTGCGGACGGATAAGTGAGCTCACGCGACTCGACCTGGAAGACCTTACTAATACTAGCCATAGCAAGAGCAATGCTTCGCTGAATCTACCACCGCTTTTTCTTCTTTGGTTTTGTCCACGAAAAATCTTTCTCAAGTAGGCGAGAACCATTCACGAAATTATTTCCTATTCCGATGTTTTTTATACGTGGTACAAGAAAATTAAAAATAATCGCGATCCACATAATCAGCATATTTTATCAACGTTACATGCACACACGCAATGTAATACAAATAAAAACAGATGTTACGTGGCACTCTGTTGACGCGGGAGGGCTGATTCAAGTATCTTTACTTTGGGTTGTGGGATCATAAAGCTTTAATTTATTAAAATAACGAATATTTAGCATGTTTAGTTATGAAAATTAATATTTCATATGGGTTAGATTTTATCCGTTTTGGGTACGGTTATCTTGCACTCCATAGATGACTTCGTTATTTTAAATTTAAAGGTTATTTTTTTATTGCATACTTAGGTTAATGAACTCACGGTGCTCCGGTCAATGGAAGCCGTCGGAGCACCATGGTTCCTGAGGAACGTGGATCTCCACGATGACCTGAAGCTCGACTGTGTCAATAACTATCTACATTGCGCCATTTCGAGAAGGCGACACGACATGAGGACCCTCTTGTCGTGGCCGCTGAAAACTACATACCCGATCCTGTAAACCGAATGGTAAACAGTCGACGTCGCCCAAAGCACGTCATTACGGATCCTCCCGATCCATTAACGGTGCTTTTAGGCACCAAAAGCACCGGTCACCGTCCTCGTCGAACCCGTCGCTTGCGACGATAGGCTCGACGAGCGAATTAACCTATAGACACAGCCCACTGAGTTTCTCGCCGGATCTTCTCAGTGGGTCACGTTTCCAATCCGGTTGCATGTTCTGCGAAGCACTGCTCTTGCTAGGACCAGTGTTAGGAACACCCGGTTTGAGTCCCGTGAGCTCACATACATGTCAAGGAAAAGCTGATATAGCCTCTCAAGGCTATCAGCATAGGTAGGATAAAAAAAATGACGGTGCACCTCGTGGTAAATCGTTACAAAAGCTTCTATAAGATTCTTTATTCTATAAAATTGTCAACAATTTTGTCAAAACAATTTTGAGGCACGAGCTCTAAGTCTCATCTAGATTTCTTTCCTACCTATTCTGTGGTAGCCTAAGGGGCTATTCCATATACGCGCAGCCAGGTAGTTGGGCTCACGGGCTCAAGGGAGTCCTAACACAAGCCGTAGCAAGAGCAGTACTTCGCTATAACCGGATCGGAATCGCGACCCACTGAGAAGATCCGTTAAAAAGCTCAGTGGGTTGTGTCTATCGTTTAATAGACTCGTCGAGCTCTTCGTCGTTATCGACGAGGGCGGTGATCTAGATTGTATAATGGCTATCCTAGCCTTCAAACCAGAGTCAGTGATTGCTTTGCCGCAAAAATAGACATGACCCGTGCGGGCTTACATGTCATCTTACCCAACAGTAAAATATAAATTATTTGTCGCCAGATTGAGACTAATAATATAATCGAAGACTTCTCATAACATCGTCTCGTTTCCGAACAATCATTATAAATTTAAATTAATATTTTGTAATCAACAAATTCTGTGACATGTTTTGTTTTGATTACAATTATTATTATAAGATCATCATCAAAGGTCATCGAACTCATTTGACCTATTCATTATGTGATCGGTTGTTGTATTTATCTGAAACAATATTTCATAAAATAAGTGTTTTGAATTATATTCTTGAATGTACGCGTTTAATGTGTTATTAACAAAACGAGATAGAGTTGTTGACACATTAATCGAGCAGATAAGCTTATCAGTTCTCTTTTTACTACTTCCATTATGTGTGCTCTGTATTTGAACTAATTATTTACACAAATGATACCGTCAGTTTATTTTCGGTGTAAATTTACAACAGTCGCAATTGTAAGCGATTTCCATTTGTACGATTCGATTTTAATTTGTAAACGTGTTGTTTTTCGTATTTTTGTTTTTTCGAACAGAGGCCGTCGGGTTCAGCTGTTCAAGGCTTATCGAACGACGTAAATTAAATTAACGATTAATTGTTTTCGCTGAGTTTTCTACACGAGTGCCCGATCGGTAGTACGCGGAAAATTTTAATGCAAGATCGTCGATTAATATTCGTTCTCGGAAAAGCTAGTGTGCGCCGATAGTAAAATAAAGTGATCACGTTTCGTGCAAATTCATAGGCTATCGAAATTACTTGAATGTATATAGCTGTTGGACGTCATCTAATCCAATACGAGTAATGTGGTCCAAGTCTCAATTGTATAGTAAAATGGGGCGTGCACTTCTTCGTGGCCCAAAAAACAGGACGATGGTATTACTTACCCGTGCGACCTCGCAGAAGCGCCGTGTAATTATCAGTAATTATGCAAATTTATAATTCTGCGGGTTTCATTTTTTAAACACGATTTTATTCATTAGCTAAAATGGTGTTTTTTTTTTTATTGCTTAGATGGGTGGACGAGCTCACAGCCCACCTGGTGCTAAGTGGTTACTGGAACTCATAGACATTCACAACGTAAATGCGCTACCCACCCCGAGACAAGTGCTAAGGTCTCAAGTATAGTTACAAGTAATCATACGTGAATGTATAATATATAGGGTGTTTACCACGTTTTTATATTTCTATATTTTACTGGACGATACGAGTATGTACGCTACTCATTTGTCATTTGTCCACTGATGCTTTAAAATCTATATAAATATTAAATTACCACGATAATGCATTGGAAAAAATAATAAATACGATATGGCGTTTAAGCGAACAAGCAGCCAATAGGGAATATGCATGTGACTCCAAAATGGAAAAAACATTTTTATTTGTAATTTTGATTGCTAAAAAATATACCTATACAATTATTTTTGAAAATTATCATAATTTAATAGCGAAATCGTCAAGAATTGACTTGATTCAAATTCCCTCGCAAATTTCTAATACGCAACGCTATTGGTGGAACAAAATGTGACGTCAAACTACACTGTCAACAGTGTCAACAAGTTGTTTGTATGGTTTCTAGTGATGTGTATCATTTGTTTCATGTTAA